ACGTGAGATCAATTGCGAAAAGTGCATCCCAAAAACGTGGTTTTCTGTTTCGGGCCATCAGGAGCTATATTTCACTTCCAGTCACTTGTTTATGATCTATAAGGCACAGATCCGACCTGTCCTGGAATACTGTTCCCATATTTGGAGTGCAGCTCCCAAACATACCCTGAAACTGTTGGATTCTGTCCAAAAAAGGGCAATTCGTCTCGTTTGTGATGCCTCGCTCACAAACTCACTCACTTCTCTGGAACATCGTAGAAAACTTGGCGATCTAGTTCTTTTTTATAGATGTTTTCATGGACGATGCTCTTCTGAAATATCAGCAATTGTTCCTCCCTTGGCAGTTCCCGCGAGATTAACCCGTCGAGTTGAGGCTTCGCACCCCTTCGTGGTCCTTTGGAGACCTGCAGAACATCTCTCTCCAAAGACTCGTTCATCCAACGAACAGCGAGGCTCTGGATCACATTGCCAAGGAAGGTGTTCCGCGAGGCATATAACCTCCAGAAATTCAAGAAGAACACCAATTCCTACCTTATTTCCCTTGGTTCTCACGATGTTCTCTGAACATTACAGGATATCCCTTTTCGGAGGAACCAGAACATAAAAAAAAGTGCTCAAGTATCCATCGTCTCCAGAACGAATTTGCTAAGGCTTCAGCGATTCGCCATTGATTTTCATTTTGAAATATCACGAGTTTGAGTCGTATCTCCAATAAAACCATACCCCGAAAAAAAAAAGAAGGCGCCACTGGATTCTGCGTAAAATTCTCTATGGGATGAGATTTTTATTCGACATATTCGCTAAGAAACTTCGTAGATATAGAGGTGGTCCGAAAAGTATAAATTTTCAAAATCGCCCTGTATCTCATAAACGGAAACAGTCATGCAAAATCTGATTAGGTCATCTTGAATTTCACAACAAAGTGGCACAAGACTGCGAAAACCACAAGGTTCTATCTCGAAAGATAACTGAGATATCACGCAAAAGCAGCGAAAACTCGACACATTTTTTTTTCATTTAGGTTCATTTTATTTTGTCACGCCAATTTATCGCTAATAACCAATCGGTTACACTAGCTTTGGCATTCCCAAGGTGAATGAATAATATAATAGCTGAGCATAAGCAGTTGAGAAATTTCCTCTCGGTGCTTAATACCAACCCGATACCGGTTTCGTAACCTAGATGTCATCAGCCGTTGAATATTTACTAAGACCTAAAAGCAACCTCGTCTCGCGGCGAGTAAACCAAGAAATCTCATTAGTCAATTAAAAGTTCAAAATCGTCGAATCAAGTTGGTATAGTTTGTTAGTTAATAATTAGTGAAACTGTCCCAATTATCTACTGTTATAGACCAGCAGTTCATCATAATAAATTAGAATCGATCTAGTTTTGCAAAGATGGAATGAAATCGGTAATTATAAATCATACCGATTATACAGGGTGTATGTATATTCAAGGGGGGATTCCTTGTGATATTTAAGGTAATAAAATCCATATAAACATGTGTCCTACCTTGCTTCGTTTTCGAGATACAGAGTATTAAAATTCCCATGAAAAATCGTTTTGTTATTCATTACTCAGTTGTCTTTTCATCAATTTCAATAAAACGTTGTGGTTTTGTTAATAGTGATATGAGGCTTTTTCTGGTGCAATTATATCCGAAATAATATTTCCAGTTGCGTCACAGTGGGTAAATTCATCGATATTTATGGTGAATGTAATTGTACGCCACCGCGGTTTTTCTGAGTTTCATATCTTGATTAGATTGAACTATAGAAATAACAACTTTTTCATCCTTTGTGTAATTATTGTATCTACCTTAATTTTTGAGAAAACAATAAAAATTCGATTTGACTCCATTCCGTGTTTTCAAGACTTCCATTGAGAATACTCAATAACCTCAATGAAAATAATTTTGAAATTTTGTGGTGGTGGTGCAGAATTCAGAATCCTGATCACCCGGTATATGTCCCAATTAAATATCAGTAGATAGTTAATCAAAAGTTGAGATAGGGACATGTAAGCCATTTTGACCAATAATGAATAGTTTCGACAAAATAAATTCCTAAAGTTGAAAAATGACGATTTTTCACACTATATCTCTGTAATCATTTCCGCTAGACCCCAAGTGTGATACATCGATGTGATCAGATCTTCAGAGAAAATCTGAAAATGCAATGAAATACAGGGTGTCCCATTTAAAAAAATTAACTTCTAAGTCACCGTGCTCTTTAGAGACACTCTGTATGAATGAAACTTAAACCATTAAAGAGATCGAATGAAACCCTACAACTTATGTATTTCACATTTTTTTGTAATATGTAGAATAAAGAAGTTACAGGGGGGGCGACGGACTTTTGGTCCTCACTGTATATTTCTGTCTGATTTACTCAAAATTACAATGTTGAATATCAATTTGGGGAAGCACAAGTATATCACATTCGAAACCATCAATGAAATTACAAAATTAGATAATTAAGTGCATTTACAATTTACATAACCTGTAACCAACTATTGATCTTCACAAACCAAAAAATCTGTTGATTTATCATCTTCATATAAAATAAAAATGTCCAACTTGATGGATACGATTCATACTCATGAAACGAGACTGTTGACTTCATTAATAGCAAACCCATATACAGTGTGTCCACCTTAAGGACTTACCACCCCTGTAAAATCGTTATTATCCGACCAATTTCAAAAAACCTTTTTTTGTTGGATAGGTATTTGAAATGCCCATCCAACGAGAGAGTGATCTAATTCTTGGACTGTTATCGTGGCCAACTGCGACAAATTTCAATGACGCATATTCCAGAAAGTACTATTAGGGATTTTTTTCTACGAAACTTGATGATGGATTCTGAATCAGTACCACTTGAAATATACCTGTACCGATTTTCATCATCATAAAACACAGGGTGTCCGAAAAAACGAATCATCATTTTCTTCAAATAGGTGATCAGCAAATGTAGTTCTGTGTTTTTTCTAGAAAGAAATAATCACAAATTATCATTGAGGATTATTTCAAATATACCTGTACCAATTTTCGTCATTTGAATGTACAATGTGTATGAATATTTTTCATCCTGATAATTCTTCACTCAAAATAAAAAGATGAATCAGGGTCACTTGGAACATACCTGTACCGATTTTCATCATCATTAAACACAGTGTGTTCGAAAAATCAAATTAATACATTTTTTTGAGTTGATGAAAAAATATTGCCTACTTTTTCTGTTTAATTGTTTTCTCATACACATCGTATTTTTGAATGATGAAAATCGGTACAGATATGTTCAGAATGATCCTCAATAATAATGTGTCATCAATTCTTCTCAAAAATACCACAATACTACATCACCTCATCAAAAAAACATAATTCGTTTTTTCGGACACCCTGTGTTTTATGATGATAAAAATCAGTGAAGGTGTTTTTCAAGTGATCGTGATTCAGAATCCATCATTGTTTTTTGTGAAAAAAAATCCCTAATAGTACTTTCTCAAATATGGATCAATAAAGTTGGTCGCAGTTGGCCACGATTACAGTTCATGAGTAAAATCACTCTCTTGTTGGATGGACATTTCAAATACCTATTCAACAAAAAAAAGTTTTTTGAAATCGGTCAGATAATAACAATTTTACAGGGGTGGTAAGTCCTTAAGGTGGACACACTGTATACAGGGTGTTACAAAAAAACCTAACCCCCTTGCTAGGGTAGGCATGCAAAATAAGTTGGGTTTGCTCAGTGAAACAATGTCGTAACGGCATCCGTTTTCAAGATACAAGGTGTTGAAAAAATTTTGTATAGATGTGTTCTGAAAGCTGACACACCGCATGAATTTGTTTTTATATCTGACACTCATAGAGGGCGCTACTTACGCGATTCGTAACGAGTAGTTTTGAATATAACTTTTTTTAGGTTAGATTTTTCAGTCCAAATTCAATGTGAACTTGAACACCATTCAATTTTACTCCAAAATGATAATCTTCGTAAAACTCGATACTATGTACCGTTTTCGAAATATTTCTATTTGAAAATGCTGAAGCAATTAACTCTGATTCTGGTATTAGAATAAGACTTATAAATAACAATTATCTATTTATTGAGGACAAAAAACATTAACATTATTTTACTGCTGAAGAAATCGAATAAACAAAATCACATCAGAAATAAATTAATTAAATTTGACTTGAAACATCATCTAGTCAGAGTAAGTGTCCAAAATGTCCTAAGTTTGCACGAATACACAATTCGATCCTTTTTTCTAAAGAATGCATCAATCTTCTCAACGGTTGAGGATCAGCTATGAGATCATCGAAATAATGTTCAATTCTTGTTTACAGCCCTTGACGTGTGGTTTAAAGGTAACAGTCTTTTATAATACTTACTTTTAACTAGCATCAGTTTTATACTTCATCATTTTCAAATCGAAATATCCCGAAAACGGTACACAGTATGAAGTTTTACCAGGAGTACCTTTTCAGTGTAAAATTGAATGATGTTCAAGTTCACATCAAATTTGGAGGAAAAAATCTAACCTAAAAAAAGTTATGTTCAAAAGTACTCGGTACGAACAGTGTAACTAGCGCCCTCTATGAGTGTCAGATATAAAAACGAATTCATGCGATGTGTCAGCTTTCAGATCACATCCATACAAAATGTCATTACAATGTTGCCAGTAGTTTCAACATAATCGTAAAAAATGTGTAAAAAAAATATTTTTTCAACACCTTGTATCTTGAAAACGGATGACGTTACGACATTTTTTTACTGAGGAAACCCACCCAACTTATTTTGTGATGTTCTACTAACCCTAGCAAGGGGGTTAGGTTTTGTTGAAACACCCTCTATATATATGATATGTGTTTATATATCCCTATAATAATCAAATATGTTTTTTGGGCTACTAAAGAAGAACAATAACAACAAAATAATCATTTATCAATCGCTTCAAACTGACTCAAAATCACGTTGACTCTATCCTTTCTGTTGCAGGAGCCGATGATCCCTCAACCAGAAGAAAAAAGAAATGTCCTCAGCTATATGCCAGAACTTCGTCCAGAACGCTTGGAAGAAGGAACTCTGTTCGAACTGCTTCAAGTCGAAAGATGAACACGCCGAAAAACCGAAACTCAAGCCGGTCCATCTGATAGCAGCAGACCGAGTCGAAGGAATCATAAGAAAAGAGAAGAAGTCGAGACCCAAACGTTCAGTGGCTTTCCTCAAAGATCTAACGGAAGTGATCGGTTATGGTGGGGAGGACTGGTCTTCAGACAACGAAGAAGATAACGTAACCTCAAGCAGCGAAGAAGAAACCGCGATAGAATCCGATGAGGAGGAAAGTCTGAAGGAGCTGCAGAGGCTCACCAAAGAAAACACTGACTTCAATACTACTTCCCTAGCTGAGGTGGAAGTTAAAAAGTCCTACACCCAATTGCTGCTAGGAAAACCAGTGGTGGACTCTGCGGGGAAGAAGAAGACTCTGCTAGTGTCCGTTACTCCCTTTGGTGAAGATATCTCAGCTCCACCAAAAAAATATAGCCAGAAGAGTCTTTCACACATTCCCATTGCGAAAAACAACAAAGAGATTATAGCTGAGCACAAAACGAACAATGTTGTACTCACTTCTTATACTAAGAATGAAGAAAACAATTCGAAGAAAGGGGAAAAGTCTCTGCTAGATGAAATATCAGAAACACTGGAGAACAGTAAAAACCCAATTCAGATAATGGCGAAGAAGAAGAGCCAAAAAGAGGTAGTCCTGAGTACCGACTCTAACAAAGAAAATATAGAAAATGGTACAACTGAAGTAACAAAACTGGAGATTGTTGAAGAAAAAACTGTGGAACAAAAAACCGTTGTTTCCGAAAAGAAAATAAGCTTAGCACGAACCCCAGCTCTGAAACGTGACATAGAGAAACCAGTCATCTATCAAACTTCCACTGCTAAAATCGAGCTACTCAACAGCAAGAATTTGAAATTGAACAAAGAAACGGTCAACAAGATGAAAACCGAAGTTAACAACAACGAAAGAGCAGAAACAAACGCTACCGAAACAAAACTTGAATTGAAAACCATAGCCACCAGTGTTGAACTGATAAGAGCCGAAAGGACTCATTCAAGCGATATTATCGAATCGAAAGAAAGGAAGGACGAAATCAATAACACCGTGGCAGAGAGAACCCACGTGGAAGAAAAGGTTGTAAGTCTACCGCCACCTATACCACCAAAGTACATCCCATTTTCGCAAAGCAGGGAGCAAGCTGGGAAACCAGATGGTCGCGAGGATCCAGTTATAACAGAACTACCCCCGCTACCCATAACACCCCCACCGATCCTAGAATCGCAGACATCTTTCCTACACGGCATCCCGCCACCCATCTATGAGAAACCCAAAATCCTCTCGAAACCAGCCATCGTGATACCAAGAAAACCCGTTCCAGCTGTTCCACCTAATTTTTCCACATTCGCCAAGGCAGCATTGTCCAGACAAGACTCGAACGACTCAGACTCGAAGACCAACAAAAGGAAAGCTCCCCAACCACCAGAAGAAGTGAATAGTCCCATTTACACCAGAACCAGTGATTCGCCAAGGGAAAAACGAAAAGTGGTAGTGTCTCACATACCAACAACCGAATCTAGCGAGGGTAGTCAAGAAGAAGCCATCTACGTCTCGCCTGATCCTTCGCCAAGAAAGTCACTGTCTGTTTCCACTGATTGCCTGACGACCGAAGAAAAAAGGAAAGAGAAATCCAAAGCCAGGTTTTCCTTGAAGAAGTTCCTACGGATGGGGTCCAGCAAAGACATCACGAAGCTGTCGGAATTAACGGTTGTCAAGTTCGAAGAAAATAGCGAGAAGCCCCAGCCAAAGCCTAGATTAGTGATCGTTCACCCAAGCGAGTTGAACGGCGATAAGGTAAGAAAAATAGTTATTTATTATACAAAGGAAAAAAGTAGTAGATTTTAGCTCCAGGTTGTGAGTAGAAGAACAACAATTCCAGGAAAAAGGAAGAACCTTCTATACTTTTCCAGTTTTCAGTAAAACTTGAAAATCTTTCTACAGTCGACAAAGGAAGACCTGTTAGTCTAGTACAAGCTAGGCCTTCTGATATTCCAGGAAAGGAAGTAAAGCAAAGTTATTAAAGGCGAAGAAGACTTACCAATAGTACAGGAAAAATAGTTATTTATTATACAAGGGAAAAAAGTGGTATATTTTAACTCCAGTTTGTGTTGTCTCCCGACGCGTAGCGGAGGGAGACAAAAAACCGTGAGCTAAAATCTAATATCTTTCCCGTGTATAATACACTATTTTTTTCTGTGACAGAAGAAAAGACGAATCAATATTGAGAAGATATTACATTATTTTGAAATCTGAAAATTATCGACGTGAAATTTTGAGTTTTTTACAGTTGGGACACCTGCGTTGTAGGCATCTTTATCATTCTTTTGAAGTAATCAAATATCTTATGTTACTTCTGTCAGTCTAATTCTATGATTTGATTTCAAAAAATTGCGAATTTAGTGGTTATTTAGTAATATACGTAACCGCGAAGTCGAATGGAAGATAAAAGTACTTGCAGTTTTTTCTCGGAGACGGTATTATTGACTCATTCTTCGGAACTATAGCCATCAACAGTGTTTATATTACTTACTTACTTTTTCCCACGGGAAGAAAGTAATTTATGAAAAGTGACATTTTATAACCTGCCAACAGAGATGAAATGCCAAACTTTTTTCCCGTCACAGAAAAAAGAACTTTTTCAAAAACTGTCATCTAATGTTGAAATTTTCGTTGAAATGTTAGCGAAGTAGCTATTTTTTGTCACTCAGCTGATGATAGTTATTTATGTACCAATGACGATAAACTGTCTGGGCATGACAGGCTAAATGTTGATATTTGAGGATTTACTATACAGGGGGGCATATGTGTGGAAACACCTTAATATCTCGAAAACGACAAATGCGATCCCAATGAAACTCGGTCCTTGGGGGACTGTTTGACCTGAGACAATCAAAAATCGTATCAGCAATATTGCCAGATTTCTGTATTTTGCTGTGCGTGACACAACTTCGTTTTTTTAAATGCAACACCCAGTTTATTATGATTGCATTCGACTGCTGATGCTTTATTCAATAGAACCTTCAATTAACAAATTTCAATTCTGCTGGATATTTTCTAAAATTTGGCAATCCACAATTTTTGGAAAAAAAACTATGAGAACTCATGGATATCTCGGAAACAATAGATGCTATATCGATGAATTTCAGTCCCTAGGGGCTGTTTGACCAGAGGAAGTCAAAAATGGTATCGGCGATGTTGCCAGATTTCTTCATTTTGCTTTGCGTGGCACAACTTTGTTTTTGAAATGCAATACGCAGTTCATTATCACTGCATTCAAGTACTGTTGTTTCATTTGATAGAACATCAAATTGACAAATTTTAATTCTGGATATTTTCTGAGATTTGTCAAACCAGCATTTTTTTAATAAATCGCTGATACGATTTTTGACTTCCTCAGGTCAAACAGCCCCCACGTACTGACATTCATCGATTATTGTTTCGGAGATATTCAGGAGTTTTTATGCTTTTTTTTTTCAAAAATGCTGGTTTGCCAAATCTCACAAAATATCCAGAAATGGAATTTGTCAATTTGAAAATCTATCAAATGAAGCATTAGTAATTGAATGCAGTAATAATAAGCTGTGTGTTACATTCAGAAACAAATTTGTGCCACGCACACCAAAAAATAAAGAAATCTGGCAACATCGCCGATGCGATTCTTGACTTCCTCAGGTCGAACAGCCCACAGATACTGAAATTCATCGATATCACATCTATTGTTTTGGGGATATTCAGCAGGTTTTATGCTTTTTTCCAAAAATGCTGGTTTGCCAAATTTCACAAAATATCTGGATTTGAAATTCGACAATTTGAGGTTATATCAAATGAAGCATCAGCTATCGAATGCAGTAATAATAAACTGGGTGTTGCATTCAAAAAACCAAAGTTGTGTCACGCACAGCGAAATACTGAAATCTGGCAACATTGCCGATACGATTTTTGATTTCCTCAGGCCAGACCGCCCCTAGTTACTGAAATTCATCGATATAACATCTATTGTTTCAGAGATATCCAGGAGTACTCATACTTTTCTCCAAAAATGGTGGTTTGCCAAATCTTAGAAAATATCTAGAATTGAAATTTGTCAATTGGAGATTCTATCGAATAAAGCATCAGCAATCGTATGTAATTATGATAAACTGGGTGTTGCTTAAAAAAAACGAAGTGGTGTCACGCACAGCAAAATGCAGAAATCTGGCAATATTGCTGATACGGTTTTTGATCTCCTCAGGTCACAGAGTTTCATTGGGATCGCATTTGTCGTTTTAGAGATATTAAGGTGTTTCCACACATATGCCCAACCCTGTATGTAGTTCAGAGATTTCCCATTCTTAATTAATCACATTGTATAGGTGGAAGTTGTAGCGAAACCAGTGCTAGACCAAGTCGACTACCAGTCCAGTGGGCACGAATACAGCAACCCCTTGGGAGATTATGAAACTTACACCCCGAAAACCACCAAACCCCCACCACCCCCGAGAAACTTCAACGAGGGCAATGTTACCAGCAAACCTAACCTGCCACATCCGCCCAAATCCCTAGAAATCATCAACAAACAGAGGCAGATATCCAGGAGCGACTCGGCCTCCAAGAAACCGGAGACAGTGTACGCCAACATTGGAGAAGTGAGGTATGTTCTGATTCACCTCCCCGTAAATTGATTTGACGGTAAAATTCAGCCGAGCGGAGATTAAACCCAGAAAATCAAGGTGGATACAATATCGTGTAATCACAGACAGTGTTTTGTTTCTCTCAAAACGGTTGACTGCAGATGCCGCAATAATGGCATATTAGTTCTCAGTTGTCCGCGAGATGCCGACACTTTTTACAGATTTCTTACATAACAGAAAACGGCGCTCACCATCAGTGACAATCACCCTTATTAGTAATATTGAAGTAAAACATGACACATAGCAATCAGAATATACATTATACACAATGATACATACCTTTATATTGAATACACTATACACTATAGGTACATTACCTTGGGATATTTTATCCACCTTGCTTGAGATTGAAATATTCTTATCTCCGAGGACAGAGGTATCAGGTTATGTAAACTGAAACGTTAATAGTGAAATTTGGCATCAAGTTTGACTTCTCGTAATTTCTAGAATATTGAACCAATTTTGAATTGCCGCCCAGATTCTGAATGCCTTTTTCATCGTCTTTCGAACCGTTCCTTACAGCTTCTTCTAAATTGATCAGGACTCGAGATACAGGGTGAAACAAAGTTTCGTGCATTTTGAAAAAATTTCTCCGCCCCCCCATTTTGTCGGAAGACCACGATGCTCATATTTTATTCGGGCATTTCATAAATAGCAACCATACCTCGGGACATTTTCGAGTTTTTGCCAAAAACTACTGTGGTTTCCGACAAAAAAAATTTTTTTGTATTTTTTTCAATGGACTAACTTTTAGGGGTTCCATAAATGGATGCTTTTATGCATTTCAGGAAAGCGTTGGAGCAGATATGTATACCAGGTTACTCAAAAACAATCAATAATTTATTACTTCGCAGTCTATGATAAAAGTTGTCTACCTTAGTGAGCAGTAAATCAACTCATCTCGTCAACAAAAACAAACAACGATATCTTGTTTCTATAACAACGTATTGTTGAAACAATGTAGGTATGCATAGAGGTTATATCAATTGCCAATTTTCATGAAAACGTCAGTGTAATTCGGGTCCTAAAAAATTTGAAGATGCCTCGTTCAAATCGGGTCGAAATGGAAAATATCATTTGGTAAGATCATTTTGGTGATATAAACTATAATTCAGTACAGATAATTATTATTTCAGGTTACGACGATTAGGATATACCCAAACTCATTTAAGTACCATTTTCAATAAGTCAGTTATGACAATAAATAGACTGATTCATCGTTTTGAGGATACAGGTAATCTAAAAAAAATGCAAACAAAATTATTTTTCGGAAACCACAGTAGTTTTTGGCAAAAACTCGAAAACGTCCCGAGGTATGGTTGCTATTTATGAAATGCCTGAATAAAATATGAGCATCGTGGTCTTCCGACAAAATGGGGGGGCGGAGAAATTCTTTTCAAAATGCACGAAACATTACGAGAAGTCAAACTTGATGCCAAATTTCACTATTAACGTTTCAATTGACGCCCAGTTTATATCAATGTGAATTATGCATTTGACCTCGATTAGATGTAGTTTGATGAATGCCCCTGCCACATTACATATTTTCCTGTTTGTGATGTTACCTTTGTGACTTAGATATCGAATCAACGTCGATTAGATGTGTCAACGAGATATTGCATTAATGTAAGGTTGTTAGATTTAGTATTAGATTTAGAATGGGGCCTTCGGGCTATCTGCCTCCACACCGCGATCTTCTCAGATCTATTGTGTCTGCCCCCAAAATCGATTAGAGTTCTTCGGCTAGCTCCGCCTTCTCTGAGACTCCATAGGGTAGCTTTCAGATCCCCTGTGTATCTTTGGGCTTCTGGTTTCTCCTCACCCAGCGTAAGCAACCTTAGTCTTGACAAGCCCTCACAGTGGCAAAGTATGTGTACTGCTGTTTCCTCCTCTTCCTGACAGAACCTGCACAGCAGTTCTTCAGTCAGACCTGTCGTACTCATGTGTTGAGTCTACAATACCCTGTAAGAAGTCCCACTAGTATTCTAGTTGAACTTCGATTCTGGCTCAGTAGATATTCTGTGAATGTTGGCGATGGTTTTTTAATAAACTCTTTTGCCGGTCTCATTCCTGGCGAGTTGTTCCACCATTCTTCCATGTAAGGTTGTTACATCACACTGATGTAAAAAATAGCTCATAGCATATTTCAATTTCTTCGGTTATATAAATATTTGTATAAGTAGAATTGCTGAAAATGTTAAGCAATTTTTGAGAAATATTAATTGATGAGCCGACCAGTAGACTGAGGGACAGAATGATTTGATATATGAACTTTATTTTGTAACCTTCATCTTTTCTCCTGAACCCTTCTTATTAAAGTGGAATATTTGTTATCTCCTTCCTCATACTCAATATCAAAATGTATGGCAATGTGAATGATATTCGTCTTCAATTTTGCAAATTATTACAGGTCGTCCATAGTACCGAACAAGCCGGTACGAACAGCCAGCATGCGCGAAAGAGAGGCTTTGCAGCTGAGGAAACCTAACCACAACTACGAGCCAATCGACGTGCGAGACAAGGACAGCGAGAACGTGTACGACTACATACATTCGGGCAGGTCGAGTTCGCCCGACAGCGACTCGAGTCGCGACAAGGGCAGCCCGAGGGGCAAGACCGTCAGGTTGGGCAAGCGGTCGGAGAGCAGCATAGACGTGTCTGGGGAGTATTTCAAGTGCAACAATATTCCGAGGAGCGTGTCTTTGACTTATTGTGGCAGCGAGACCGAATCCGAGATCTATTCTCCGCACAGCTTTTATGGCAGTGAATCGGAAGTGAGTTTTTTGAATGATTCTTTTGTTGTATACATTAGACAAACACGACAGAATACATATAACCGATTCAAGGAACATCAGATAAGGGACTGGAATAATCAGTAGTGGAGTAGTTCCTGATGTCATCATAACTCTAGATCAATCACTTTTGATGTTAGTTTCTGTAGAATGTCTCCTGCAAGGTACTCAGTAGGTACTCTTTAATGTTTATTTCTCCAATGCGGCAGCGAGACCGAATCGGAAATTCATTCTCCGCACAGCTCCAATGGCAGTGGATCGGAAGGTAGTTTTTTTGAATGATTTGCCGTATCAAAAGGACAAACACGCCAGAATTCATACAACTGATTCAAAGAACATAAATCATTCTAGATATAATCGATTGGAAAAATCCGTAGTGGAATAATTCCTTATGTTATCAGATCAATCACTTTTAATGTCAATTTCTGGATAATGTCTCTTGAAAGGTAATATGTAGTATCTATTGACTTCTCTACTGAAATTTGTTCTCCGCACAACTTTTATGGAAGTAAATCGTAAGTAAGTTTTTTGGATGATTCTTTCGTTGTATATATTGGACAAACACGCCAGAATACATATAACCGATTCAAGGAACATCATATTATAATGGATTGAAAGAATCCGTAGTGGAATAATTCTTCATGTTATCATAACTTCAGATCAATCACTTTTGATGTTAATTTCTGGAGGATGTCTCTTAAACGGTAATAAGTACTATCTATTCACTCGTCTACTAAAAATTTACCCCGTACAACTTATAAGGTAGTGAATCGTAAGTTTCTTGAATGATTTGCCGTATCAAGAGTATCAATCACTTTTGATGTTAATTTCTGGAGGATGTCTCTCGAACGGTAATAAGTACTATCTATTTACTCGTCTACTGAAATTTTTTCCCCGCACAACTTTTAAGGTAGTGAAGGTAGTGAATGATTTGCCGTATCAAGTGGTATATATTGGACAAACACGCCAGAATCCATGTAATCGATTCAAGAAACATCACATTATTCCAGATATGATGGATTGAAAGAATCTGTAGTGTAGTAGTAGTATGTAGTATGTATTGTATGCCCTGGAAATTTCAATCATATTTTGCAAATTCGTATAAACAAAGACCTTTTGATACTCTTCCTGATGAAACAAATAATAGTTGATTCGGTTTATATGATTCTTCAGTCTTAATGGGTCATGAGCTGGAGCCTATTAGACTTCATCTTTGCGTCATGAGAAATCTCAGAAGTATTGAATTTTGAACTTGAAGCAATATGTGAATTCTGGTTTCCCGTTTCAGGTGACTGAAGATGATCATGACTGGATTCAAAATGGGAGAACACATAAGCTGCGTTCGAGAAAAGGGAGGAGCATCGTCCACAAAAATTTGGAAGACAATTATGGGGCGGTAGTAGTGGCAAATCACGAGGCTCTTGCTCAAGTACTCGAAAATGTAAGTTTCAAACTCGACGCTCTGATTTAACGGGTGTTTCTCCAAGATGGTTCATCCCTATAACTTTTTCATTATCGAGTATAGTAAAATTAAATTTGGTGGGTTGGTGATTTCATAAAAACTGTAAGCATTCAAGAATTGAAATTCAAACATTTAAGACTTAAAGTCTCAAGTGGATTCAGTTATAAAGAAATTACGATTCTAGGACAATACATATGTCTTCGGTCATTACTGACATGTTGAGTCTTATTTTTTTTTATAAAGTGGCCCGGAACTATAGTTCAATTTACTATGGTTATTTAGTTTGGTTGGTAGGATGGAAACGTAGACAACAATGTATCACTGCTGGCAACGTCGCCAGTTTGTATATGTCATTGGTTTTGTTTTTTTTTTGTTCCGTGTCAACTGTCATTTTGGTATTTAAATTGAATAAGGAGTACCTTTTTCACGTGAAACAACCTTCAGGCACAGTTTAATGCTTAAAAAAATACCATAAAAAAATTAATTATTCCCACCATTAACTCATCCAGTTTGAACTAAATTTGAATAAGGTTTTGAAATTTTGAGCTCTAATTCTGATTCAGCATTAGTATCATGCGATGTACCGGGTGCACCTCTTAAAATGGAATCCCCCTTTAACTCTTTCGTTTTCAGATATATGAAAAAATGTTAAGTGGAAAATTTGTCTCAAACGACCCAAACTTTTATTTCGTGAAGTTCTTTCATATACAGGGTCATTCGTTTTTCCAGAAAGGACATCAACTTTTATTTTTTCAATGGAACACCCTATATAATTTACGACATGTCGATAGAGCCTTTTTTTTCTAATTTCAAAAATATATATGAGTTGCAAATTTGGATAAAAAATAGTTGAGTCATTGATGATCAAAATTTACCATAATACCGCATTATGAACCTCCACTTCATATCATCTAATGTAAGTTGAATATAGTGGGCTTTGAAATAACGTTCAAGCTCTATGGAAATGTCATAAGTATTGTTTATTATGAAATTGTAATCGTTCAATCTCAATACAAAAAAATATATATAGACAGTTTCATTGAAATATTTTTCATCCAAATATGCAACTGATGTGTATTTTTGAAAAAAAGGCTCTATCGACATGTCAGAAAATATATAGGGTGTTCCATTGTAAAAATCAAAGTTAATGCCCTTTCCGGAAAAACGAATGACCCTGTATATGGAGCCATTTCACGAAATAAAAGTTTGGGTCGTTTCAAACAACTTTTTAATTCAACATTTTTTCACATCTCTGAAAACAAAAGAGTTAAGGAGGATTTTACAATGAACGGTTTCTGAAATAGAGAGGAAAAACGGCCTACAAGGTGTACCTATACTATCTGAAGGCCCTCCCTTATTGGAAACATTTTTCAATAAAATATAGGAACTTTTTTCCATACTTCAGGAATCACCTCACAAATATTTTACCAATTATCAGAAAACACACTGTATACGCGGGAAAAAATGTAAACATATAATTTTGGGCAATAATAGTTATTTATGTATTAAGGGAATTATGAGGGCCTTAATTACCGATGGCAAAGTTTGCGTCCCGAGGGCCTCTGGCCCGAGGGACAGCAATTGCCAGAGGTTATTGAGGCTCTATAATTCCCGTGATACATAGATAATTTTATTTCTGACTGATTTCATTCATCAGATACCTTCCCGATTGGAAGTTAGACATATTTTTCCGTATAGTTTCAATGTCATCAGAACGTCAGATGATGATCTTGACTACCGCGAATAGGAGATTCCTTATTGCTACGTTATTGCGTGGTTGTTGCTATGCATTTCTTATTTAATTTTAGCTAGAGGGAATTATAGCATCTATAACATCCCAAGGGAGTTATGACCCTCATAATAGATATCGTAACTATGACGATATAAGCTCATAATGTCACTGTCAGAAATAAAATTATTGATTATATATAGCCAGGTGTGCGAAACCTGTTCTGTATTCGTGTGGCCACTATCCAGTTGTTTGGTGAATTGAACAGAAAAATCACCGCTTCACCTGGTCTCAAACCGTTTTCCATAGTGTTTCTCCAAAAATATAAAACTGCCGTCGTTGTAGGTCCAACAGACCTGCCACATCCAGCCGGCCCTGCGAGGCCTCAAAGCGCAATCGAACCTGCGCTGGGCGGACTTCTCTTTGATATCGGGCACGCCGCCCATCACCGTGGGCGACCGAACGTTCCGGCAGGCCGTGTGGGGCGCCCACCACGTCACGTTGCTGACGAACGCAGGCGCAGTGGGGTCCAGCACGCTGCAGTTGGGCACGTTCAATCTGACGCCGGTCACCGAGTTCAGCGATTTGGTGCCCAACGTGTACCTGGCGCTGCCCGAGGGCGGCGGTAGGGAAGACAAGGACAAACAGACGCAAGGTTAGTTCGATCGTTTTGTCACCCCAAGTGAACTTGACATTAACGAAAAAAATTGCCTTCGAAGAAATGACTCGGGTCGATTCTGTTCGGATCTTGTTATAATATTGCTAAGATAACAATATTGTTATGATAATAACATATAACAATCTTGCTATGGAGATCTGTATTCTGTTTGCAGAGTAACTGCAAGATTGGTTATGAGTTCAAGTGATAGCAATATTGTTGAAAAATTGAGAATTTTTGAGCTGACAACACTGTTTTCAACTCATTTTTTAAGTGTTGGGTATCGATTTTGCCATTTTTTCATGAGGAAGAAGAGTTCATGATTATCTAACCTCTCAAATTAGTCAGTCCTGCACTGACACTTTACAAAATTATATTGTTCAAATTGAGAGATTCTGTATTCGATGAATCTGGTCGTCGTTGTGCGACTGGTGCAAGTAATCAATCATGTCCCCGAAATGAGAAAACAACCTAGACGCCGGATGAAAATGATCGTGATGTTTTTTTCGAATATTCTAGCAAAATAGCTTGATAAACTATCCATCAGGCAACTGGAATGGTTTTCTGGTTTCTCTGATATGCCGAAATTGTAGTCTCATATTCCCTCTACAAATTGCAACTTCAAGAAAAGGTTTTCAAGTAGTTGGTCACAGTAGTGAACCTATCCTATATGTTTGTAACCACCATTCTAGTTTTTGAATAATTCTTCTACAAATTGAAACTTTGAGGAAAGGTTTTCTAGTAGTCAGTGACACAAGTGAACTCACATATGTTTTTAATCCACTATTTTCTGAGTTTTCATACACTTGGAAGAATTTGTAGTGCAAAAACGAAGAATCCACTACTATGTTATAAGATAGCAAGCACAAAATTAATGTTGCCGAGATAGCAAGAAAGCTGACCAGATGTCATTGAAATTGACAGATCATATTGCCAAAAATCGATGATTAGAATTCAACTTTTTCGAATCTTGCTATGATAGCAATATCTTCTCTACAACCATATTGCTATTTCCAAACAGAATCGACCCGATAATGAACATTGTACCCATTCAATCAACATTTTTATTTTATCGACACAATAAAGGCAAAAAGACCCTACCTAGCAACTTCAGACCGTTCCCACTGCTATCTATTATTTCGAAGATCATGGAGAAAGCTATCAACATCGAGCTCATGAAATACCTGGAACATTCAAGTATTATCAACGATAGGCAATATGGCTTCCATCATCAGAGATCAACTGGTGACCTGCTCGCTTACGTCATCACATGTATGGCAGCAATCTATTGAAAAATATGGTGAAACCTTAGCCGTGGCACTTGATATCTCCAAAGCATTCGATCGAGTCTGGCACCACGGACTCCGTGCCAAGCTTCCATCTTATGGCTTGCCTCCCCAGCTACGTTCTCTGCTAGCTAGTTTTTTCTCATATAGGTCTCTCCATGTAGTGGTCGACGGAGTTTCATCTGACTCTCTTATCATAAATGCTGGTGTTTCGCAAGGATCAATTCTAGCACCAACACTATTTCTACTCCATATCAACAATTTGTTGGAAGCGAGTTCGTGTCCCGTACACAGCTTCGCGAATGATAGTACCCTCCATACCGCCTTCTCTTCCAGGGCTCCAATACCAGCCAGACAAATCAGAAACGAACAAGGGAGAAATTTTGACAACATAAATATGGACTTGGCAACAATTCTCGAATGGGGATCCAATAACTTGGTAGATTTCAATGCAAACAAGACACATGCATCTTTTTTTTCTAGAAAAGCCGATCTCACTGTGCCCAACATAAGCTTGTCAGGAGAAACCGTATACCTTTGAAGACATCCATTTCGATGCTTGGTATTACTAACAGCAATAACCTTTCCTGTGAAAATCACGTGAGATCAATTGCTAAAAGTGCATCTCAAAAAACTTGGTTTTTTGTTTCGGGCAAGGAGCTATTTCACTTCCAGTTCCTTATATGATCTATAAGGCACAGATCCGACCTGTCCTGGAATACTGTTCCCATATTTGGAGTGCAGCACCCAAACATACCCTGAAACTGTTGGATTCTGTCCAAAAAAGGGCAATTCGTCTCGTGGATGATGCCTCGCTCACAAACTCACTCACTTCTCTGGAACACCGTAGGAAAGTTGGCGATCTGGCTCTATTTTATAGATAATTTCATGGACGATGTTTTATTGAAATATCAACAATTGTTCCTCCATTGACAGTCCCCGCGAGATTAACCCGTCGAGTTGAGGCTTCGCACGTCCTTCGTGGTCACTTTGGAGACCTGCAGAGCATCTTTTTCCAAAGACTCGTTCATCCAACGAAAAGCGAGGTTGCCAAGAGAGGTGTTCCCCGAGGCATATAACCTCCAGAAATTTAAGGAGAACACCAATTCCTAACTTAGTTCTCTTGGTCCTTACAATGTTCTCTGAACATTACAAGATATCCCTTTTTGTGGGAACCAGAACTTAAAAACGAACATTTTCCATCAGTTATTTCTCTCGAAAAACTGACATCAGACGAAATTGCTCGATCTACGGTCTCGCAATTTTTTCATGTCAGTTTTTCACGTGAAATTACTGATCGGCAAATGTTTTTCGTTACAAAGAGAAATTTATCCGATAAAAAAAAAGCCGTTTTTACTGTTGACTAAAATAGTCACCTCACAGCTACGGCAATATTTTTCAGAAAATCTTTTTTTTTCAATTTCAGCGACTGTTTCAGTCCTACCATGCATCCAGGTGAACTCGATTCCGTCCTACTGTGAATCGGTCAAATCGAAAGTTCAAAATCTGGATGAACAATGGAAAGACGCCACTTTCATCATGCTCCAGCTGGTGAACGCTCTAAAAACGTTACAAGCTCAGGGCATCGAAGAACTGCCGCTCTCTCTGACCAGTTTCGTGTTATGCAAAGATATGGACAAAGACACCCATCACCGGTTGTGTGTTTTACAGGGGTAAGTAAGAGTCGCTAGGGTAAACTCTACAATGTGTTATCGGCATCTAGTTGTCGATATTATTTGAAGACATTGTATTGTCAATCTTGAACAGGACTTATTTGAAACTTCGCGAGTGCGACGAAAACAACTATCTCGGGCTGGGCGGAGGGAAAAACACTCAGTACTGGTCTGAATTACCAGGATTAACCCATTCGAAGGCGTTCCTGCCTAAACCATCGGAAAAAAATGTTTCTTGGGGTAATAAAGACAATCAATCAATCAATCAAAAATAACCAGGCAGATCCTAGAATGGAGCAGGGGTAACCTGCGAATTCTGACTGGACTGCTTACGGGACACTGTCGTCTAAGATACTACCTGGGAAGGATGGGTCTGAACCAACAAATGGACTGTCGGTTCTGTTGTGTGGAAGACGAAACGGCTGAACACATATCATGTTCATGCTCTAGCTTAGAAAGACTAAGGTTCGACACATTTGGCTTTACCAATTTAGAACCTATCGATTTCAGACAAATCTCACCCAATTCAACCATGAACTTTGTAAAAAGATGTGGATTGTACGGTGAACTGTAACCTCTAGGGGTGAGCCACAATAGACCCATCTGGGGTCGCAGTGGAGGGGAGGTATTCTCCCCACTCACATGGAACCTAACCTAGCCTACTTGAGCTCATCATCGAACACGTTATATTTCATTCCGATATACCGGGAATGTATGGTATTAGTAATATTCTTTTTACCAACTTTAGTCGCGTTCGGTATTAGACTGCTCCGATGAATCTGAATCGTTTGTTTAGACATCTAGATGTTGGGGAAGTAGATCTCATCCGTTCGGCAAATTAAAATCGGAGCGATCTGATATAGATCTTAATGCTCGGAGAATTTTGACAGAACAAAGCGATTGATCTGAATTTGTGAGGTTAATGTTCAAATGTTTATGTATGACTGGCCGTTGTGCTCGTATTCGTATTTTCAAAATAACGTTCTCATAATGAAAGAAATACAACTTTTTGATTCTGAGCAAGACAGAACACACACCTTTATGGCGTCAGATGAGAATTATCAAGAAATTGTCACAAATAACAGTAAGTGAACACATTTAATAAATGTGTTTAGATGATAAATTCGAAATTATTTTTTCTATATTTTTTCTTATAGATTTGACTCTGGCTGCGATTCTTTTGGAAAAAGAACAAGAAAAAGAAAATTTCTGGTATACTCATATTGAAATGGAAATAAATGAAATGAATAAATGGGGTTAGGTTAGGTTACCGTCACACTGTCAACAAAATGTCCACTTCGTTCGTTTATTGCCGATTGCTCCGATCTATCTGTGACCACGTGACTAGAATCTGCTCTAATCTGCGATGTAAATATCGAACGTGACTTTTGACTGAGATTAACCAAGATTATTCTCAGTGCAGCTCAATAGCAATATTCTTTTTAACTTGTTACATTCACACTACTGAGATCAATTAAGTTAGAAGGAGGTGAGACGGATCTGAGTTGTCGATTGAATAAAAAGAACACGTTTTTATCTGCCAGGAAGGGCAAGGGAAGGAAACATAACCCAACATAATTAAACCAAAATGTAAAATGGCTGAGGAAATTAATGAGGAGCATAGAAATATTATTCTAGTGAGTATTCAAAGGATTCAACCTGTGGACTGAAAATTCAGAGCTGAAAGCATGACAAAAATGAAAATATAACCTCACAATTTTCAGCACAGAACTACAGAATTACTAGGATTGATCCAGCCAAGGAAGGTATTCCCCGAGGCATATAACCTACAGAAATTTAAGAAGAACACCAATTCCTATCTTTTTTCCCTTGGTTTTCACGATGTTCTCCTAACATTACAGGATATCCCTTTTCGTGGGTACAGAACATTAAAAAAAAACTTTGAGCTACAATGGACGAGTAATTTTATCCAAAAGACAACTTGTCATGAACAAGTTTTTTTTTTCAAGTTGCCGTGGAGATCTTCTAACTGTGAATCTATAATTATCAAATATGTTTGTGGAAATAGATGATTTTGAAGATTCATTATTTAAATATTTCAAGCACAAATTCAGTATGAATAAAAAAGTCACGATTCAATCGAAAAAATAGTTATTTATTATACAAGGGAAAAAAAAGCGGAGGGAGACAAAAAACCATGAGCTAAAATCTTATATTTTTCCCGTGTATAATACACTATTTTTTTCTGTGACAGAAGAAAGGACGAATCAATATTGAGAAGATATTACATTATTTTGAAATCTGAAAATTATCGACGTGAAATTTCAAGTTTTCAACAGTAGGGACAACTGCGTAGGCATCTTTATCATTCTTTTGAAATAATCAAATATCTGTCAGTCTGATTCTGTGATTAGATTTCAAAAAATTGCGAATTTAGTGGTTGTTTAGTAATATACGTAACCGCGAAGTCGAATGGAAGATAAAAGGACTTGCAGTTCTTTCTCGGAGACGGTATTATTGACTCATTTTTCGGAACTATAGCACAACAAAAGCCATCAACAGTGTATATACATGTGATATATATTCGGGAAAAAAGTACTCACTTTTTTCCCACGAGAAAAAAGTAATTTATGAAGAGTGACATATTATAACCTGCCAACAGAGATGAAATGCTAAACTTTTTTCCCGTCACAGAAAAAACCATTTTTTTTTAGTAAATCGTGATATTTCGCTACTCTGCTAATACTTGTTCCAATTTTCTTTCCAGTCTGGCCTCCGACCTCGCCAACAAAACCACCAACGAAAAGTACGGCACCCTCTGCATGTGCGCCCTGCGAGCCCTCAACCTGCTCCAACCCTCCCCCAAAATCACCCCCGTCATACAATCCCTCCTCAACCACGAGCGCGCCGTCTCTCTCACCCAAGTCAAGAGCATCCTCGAGTTCTCGCTGTGGGGGCCCTCGGACGTATCCTTGGGGTGCACCGTCAAAGAACGGGAACTAGCTCTGCAGCGATGGTTGGACCTTCAAAGGGCCACTGTTCTACACGGACTGGTGTGCGCCAGAGTGCAATTAACGGTGTACGAGGAGTGCCATTTGCTGTTTTTGGTGAGGAGCAACGCGAGGCTCATGAGCGACGCCTCGTTGCTCATTGATAGCAGTAACGTGAAGCACTCGTTCGGTTACGGACAGAGTAGGAGTGACAAGTGCGTCGGCGCTTGAGGGAATGAGTGAACAAGTTTCCTTCATGTGTTGTGTTTTTTCTATCCACTGTCATACTACACCGTTTTACTGATAATCAACCGATTCTTCAGCGTCTCTTCACTTGTTTCGATGACTATAAAAGGTCTTGTCGACGAAAACTGGACTCATTGCCCCAGTGTCCGAGGAGTATCATCTGTTGTTTTTGGTGAGGAGCAACGCGAGGCTCATGAGCGACGCCTCGCTGCTCATTGATAGCAGTAACGTGAAGCACTCGTTCGGTTACGGGCAGAGTAGGAGTGACAAGTGCGTCGGCGCTTGAGGGAATGAGTGATCAAGTTTCCTTCATGTGTTGTGTTTTTTCTATCCACTGTCATACTACACCGTTTTACTGATAATCAAACCGATTCTTTAACGCCTCTTCACTTGTTTCGATGACTATAAAAGGTCTTGTCGACTAAAACCGGACTCATTGCCCCAGTGTAGGAGGAGTATTATCTGTTGTTTTTGGTGAGGAGCAACGCGAGGCTCATGAGCGACGCCTCCTTGCTCATTGATAGCTGTAACGTGAAGCACTTGTTCGGTTACAGACAGAGTAGGAATGACAAATTAGTCGGGCTTGAGGGAATTGAGGTTTGGAAGTTGTCTATCTACTGTCATGATTTTTTTGGTCCCAGAATCATTTTACACTGTTTTACGAATAAGCAAACCGTTATTTTAACACCTCTATACTTGTGTCGATAACTATGCCATCTGTTGTTTCTTATAAGGAGCAACGTGAGGCTTGCGAGCGACGCTTTTACGAACAGAGCATGAGCTACAAGTGCGTCGGCGCTTGAGGGAATGAGGTATCGGTAGTTGAATGAGGAAGTTTCCTTCATGTATTGTGTTTTTTTTATCCACTGTCATGCCATTTCGGTGCCATGCATACTACACCGTTTTACTGATAATCAAACCGATTCTTTAACGTCTCTTCACTTGTTTCGATGACTATAAAAAGTCTTGTCGACGAGAACTGGACTCATTCCCCCAGTGTCCGAGGAGTACCATCTGTTGTTTTTGGTGAGGAGCAATGCGAGGCTCATGAGCGACGCCTCGTTGCTCATTGATAGCAGTAACGTAAAGCACTCGTTCGATTACGGGCAAAGTAGGAATGACAAGTGCGTCGGCGCTTGAGGAAATTGATGAAATTTCGCATGGCTTGACGGTTGTTAATAAAAATCTTGAAATTCCATCTTATAAACAATTTATCGAATGGAAAAACGACATAGAACTGAAAGATAGAACTCATTTCGTCAAGAATTACAGAACGAAAATATCGTCCAGATTAGAGATACAATATTTTTATGGTCATCGCTCGGGATATTTTCACTCAAAGAGCACTGGAAGCGGTCTCCCACTACGTTGTTTATCGTTTTGCTCCTTCCTCCAGACGCTATCATAAGTAGCAGCTCCATGCCTCTTTCTCATTTTCCGAATTCATTGGCTGGTTTTTATAATTTTTCTTTAAAAAATGCTAGTCTTCGAAAAAAAAAATTACGTATGGCCAAAACGATCTCATAATCAGTGTCTTTCAAGGCCAAGTGAACAAATTTAGTAAGAAAGTAGGATAGAACAGTCAAGTTTCGATATTGTCCTGGAAGGCCATTGAATAATCTATAGTGGTAAAACAGTGTAGTGTGCCTTCTCTCGATTATTCAAGATATTGAAATAATTACTATTTGTGAAAGCAGCAGTATACAAGTTTTGGCCAACAAACTATGACGTTTCACTGAGATACATTGTCTACCATGGGGATGACTTTTGTTTTCATGTAGATCGATTTTATGATGTCCGATAACCTCAAAACCGATTTTGAATCAATTCGCGATAGAAATGAACACGTCGCCCCATCTGACGGCAATATTTTGAACACTTCTGCAAGTGTAAGAAGGGGCTAGGTTACAAATATGATTTTTTGGATGTATGATAAATTGACATTCATCATACAGGACGTGGAAAGATATAACAAATATGAGTTTGTGAGGAAAATAGGTTTTAGTAAAGTTAGCTGGCATTTTTTAACGGAAGCTAGTTTAATAATTGAATTTATGTAATAGGGAATTTCACCATGATTTTTTGATTTTTTTTCACGATTTAGAACACAAACTGGGTGAATTCAGCATTTTTATAAATTTTCTTACGATTGCGGTTGACCCAGAAAAAAATTATTAAATCGAACCTAAATTCAAACGACATTCTCATTAGGTAATTCGTCTGTAACTTGGTCTTGTCACCATTTGTAATTGCATTTGTCACTCAATAAAAACTATAATATGACACTGATAGATCACTGAGAATGAAATGAAATAATGAACTATGAACTAGATTTCGAGAATAATCTTTTTCTTCTTCTATAGTTTGTTTTGTGCTCAAGTTCTGTGTCTGTGGTTTTGTGCAACGTGTTTATGCATACAATTAACAATTTATCATTTATCAAATAACAAGTACTTTTTACATTTATTGAACCAGGTTTTCTTATTGTGTGCAAATAGTACGCAGATGGCCTTGTATATGACTGAGGATTGGTCCATCCTATGATGGAGATTAACCTCAAAACATTTCCAGGTTTTGTGTTTCCTTTTACATTTTATAATTCCTATTATTTTGGAGTCTTGGACCCACTTGTGATAGCAATATCCCAAAAATGTGTCTAATATATTATGAAAAAAGTTTCTATGGTTATCTTAAATGGCTTGGAATGGACTTTTGCGCCTGCGTATTTTTTATTGTTAATTGGTTTGCATAAATAGTAACATTTTAGCTACTCCTTACTTGATAATTGTTGATTGATAATTGTTACTTGATAATTATTGATTGATAATTGTTACTTGATAATTGTTGATTGATAATTGTTACTTGATAATTATAAATTGATGCTGCATAAATCCACACTTAGGTTATTTAAAGTGGCGCCTTCACGAAATAAACAAAAAATTCAAATTCGAATACATTATTTTTGACTTGAGTTCACAGATAGATGCTCAATACATATGTTGGAAACTTGTTCATTCAATGCTAGTTCAGTAACTTGTCCGAAGCCTCGATATAACTAGCATTATGTTGATACTTGTTGATATATGTCAATGTTATTTGTATATATATCGTTCTATTTTCTCATAGGTACGATTTTTTAGACGTTTGTGAATTTCATGAGCATATTTATTGGTTGTTTGGTGTTCTAATGTATTATTTTTATGAAACTATTGAAGCAATATATTTGTAAATAAATTGAAAAGTGCCTTATGTATTTAAAACTCCAATTTTGTACACAAAATCACAATAAAGAATTTTGAAAAACAACATCGTCTCACTACTTGAGCGCAAATATTATTAGGGCTTGACAATGAAGCTAGGAAAGCAAAAAAATAAATCTAGGGTGAAATTACACTTTTGAGTTCCTCACATATTTTATTATATTTTGTACACAAAATTGAATTAACAATAAAGAAGAAATTTGAAAAATTATTGTCATATGATATAATACCACATTGTTTAGTATTCTAATATCATTTTTAATTTTTAGTATTCAAAGTATATTGCTTAATAAATAGAACAATACAAAATAAATTAAAAAAATAAAATTATTGCCGCGCTTATATCACTTTTGCAAAAAAAACTAAATTACATATTGCCAAAACAGTTGACAAGTAATAAATTACGTAACTACCATATTACTACTAATAATCTCCGATGGGACTTTCAAACTTATTGAATTACGTATTTTTCAATTGAAAGTTATACCAGCTGATCGCCTATTATTTTACTAAGGTTTTTACCGTCTCACCCATTTAGATAACGGAAATCTAGAGCCCTTTGTTGAAGTAAACAACTTCTGGAACCTTATCGTCACAAGATTTCTTCATTTTTTCATACGCCTCTGGTTCCAGCCAGGCGATAGTCGATGTTTTGATGGAACTGAAAAAAACAGAAGTTTAGACGAGGTTGGAAAAAGCAAGAGACAACATGTTTACCATTTTTGTGGGAAGATGCCACAAGCAACTGGAACCATGAATGATAAGCTGCAACAAAAATTGTTTGGTTCAATCCTTAGATTCCTTAGACTAACTAGTTGAAAAGAGAGAATGGGGAAGTTTCCTTCAGATGAATTTTCATGAAATAAGTTCGGAACTCTCCAGTTTTATGACCACGCTGTACAGAATGCCGACCGATAGAGTCCAAGTCGTTTTCATTTTCAAATTAAAGCAATTTCTAATTTTCGGGGCGGCAAAATGTGACGGTACATTCTGAATCTAGTCTGAAAACAGCTGATGGTGAAGAATGTAGCTAGCACATAGCTAAGGAATGAAAAACGAATGAAAAAAAAGAAGACGAAGTCAACCTGGTAAACCTTCCTTCCTTCCTTCCTTCTTTGTACAGGGCGTCACGACCCCCTGTAGATGGGCTCGTGGGGTCGTGACGCCCTGTACAAAGAAGGAAGGACCTGGTAAACAAAAATATACATAACCACTAATGCACTCGAGCAGGAATGCAGAAGGTAGTTGGCTTCATTCTGACAGGTTATGGTTTTGTTATTGTGACCAAATTTGAATCATTTCAAAATTTAGTGTAGGTATCGTGATTCTCGGACGACCCTGTATGTTTCTAGAGTGTTTTTATCATTTCTTCTAATTCATTTGTGGCAAGAACGACGGTGATCTGCGAAATATCTTATAAGTATCGTTTTACGGATTTCTTCGCATTGTTCACTGAATTAGACAATTTTTTTGGGATACCTTATTATATTATGGAAATTGATATGTCTTGATGCCTTGATGAAGAAGGATTTATAAGTTGAAAGCATAATCAAAACGTCTCTGAATGCTTGGGTTATCTGCTTTGGAGGTCAGTTTCTTTTTGTTTAGAACCGGTACTTTACTATTATTATTTTTCTGATAGAATTTCATACGTTTTCGCACGGGGTCGTATAGCAAATATAATGTATAGAGTGAACTAAAATATGAATGATATACTGGGTGATATTCACTCATGGTCCGAAACTTCGTTGGTTGTTTGAAGATAAGGAAATCGTAGAGACACTCATCTACAATCTGATGAAGTCATCCTCAACTTCGCAGGAGCAGTGATGAGTACCACCTAGTGTTTGTCAGACTATTGATTCAGTTTGCTCAGTGAATGTTGACTATCCCGTTGTAGTTCATAGCTCGATTTACTGTCCTTTTTTTTCATGGATATAATAATTAGAATTATGAATAGTCCTATCGAGAGTTAGGTAGGTCACAAATTGAAATTTGAATTCAATTATATTCCCCTCACACCAGGAATACGTTAGTTTTTATTGAGTTCAACCTGTAGACTAAATTCTTGGGGTCTTTTTAGTGGTTTTTACAAGACTGAGAAAACTTTCCGAATTTCGGGGTGTGATTTTAAGAAATCATTTGGCGCTCAACAGTTTTTTTTCATTATTTTCTTCACCTACTCCCGACTCCACTGAGTATTGGTCGGCGCACACCCAAATTATTGTCTTCCATGGCGAAGTTAACGTAATATTATTTATGCATTGAAATATCTAGAATAGATCTCCATCCAAATCTAAAATATCATTGAATCAATGAATTACTATCGGCTAAATATTATCTCTCCTAACTTCCTGCCATCGGTCAGAACAGAATGAAGCCGACACCCATGGCTCCTTCCTCTTGTTGTGACTGTCAGTATTTTGAGTGCTGTGGACGGACTCGAAGTATTATGCGCTGTTGCAAGATATAATCTGCAACTTTCCCAGAAAATAGATTCGTTTTATTAAGGAACGAATTCATTAGCAAAAAAATTACTGACATGTTATTAATAACATATTGTAATACAACGATAGTGAAAAATTATAGATACTATCGCAGAATATCATAATTTATCTTTATTAGTAATTAACTTCATTCAGCCAATGAGAGATTTATGGGAATTATCCATATTACTTGACAAAGTAGGATTGAAGTACCTATATTATATCCCATTGCTGTTATGATATAGTTATTACGCATTCAAAGAACAATTTCCGGAAATCTAGACATATTGATGATGTCGGCAACGTCGTACACAGGGAATCGTATTATAACTCTGTGTGAATGTGGATTTTCAGAAATAAGTCAAACGAATGGTGGAGGAGCCATGTTTCTCTTTTATTTATTTTTTCTGAAGTGAAATTTGATCTCAAGAAAAGGAAAAATACTATTTTTACAAACTTCACAGTGAGATAAAAACCTCAATAGTTTCCTAAACTCATTATTTTGCTTGCAGAAATGGCATCACATTTTAAGGACATTTGTGGCACCACTGCAAAATCGACAATTCAAAAGGATTTTTCGGATAAAACATCTTATTCATTTATAGCCTATGGAACAACCTACTGTATAAGGCTCTAAATCAATCAGATAGATCTTTAATGACTTCATGAACTTGCCAATGTGCCCAGCAATAACTTTTACTTCTTGAGGAGATGGTTGAAGAATTTGAGTGTACTATAAGTTGTACCTTTCTCCGTAGATCCTCTATTATGTATAGGGAAGTCATAATCACCTTCATGTCTTGTGCAATGGAAATGGCTTCTTCTATAAGACTCAAAGTATTGTGGATACTTCATCAGAAATTCAAGTGTTTCCAAAATGTAAATAGCAGGAACTGTAAGCATGCTGTTTGCTTTGAAGATTGCAGGACATGAGTTTCTAACTTTGATATTAAACATGACTCAAACAACCCTCTTCTGACATATAAATATTTTGTTCAAGTCATGACTACCGCCCCAGATGGTATCACCAAACTTAAGAGATGAGTAAAAATTTACATAGTATACTGTAAGTAGGACAGAGTTATCCACATTTTGCTTCATTATCCTAATGGCGAAGATAGATGAAGCTAATCTCCATCTCAGAGTGGCATCAACGGTGATAACAAGGAATTTCACTGCATTGCTACAAGTCAATATTTGATTGTCTATAGCCAAAGAATCAGGAGTTTCCATCATGTGATTGTTCTTAAAAAAAATACAATTCGTTTTGTTTGAAAGGTAATTGAGAGATGACTCTATAAACCCATTATACTCACAAACATCCAACGCCCAAGACCTGTATGGGCCCGTGCAAGAACGTGATCCTCTGCATGAACTTCAACTTCTCTGCCCGCTCCATGATGACCGGCAGCACCAGCATGCCGGGGGCACACATGGCGATGCGCGAGAACACCACCTGCGTGATGCCCTTGGCTGCCGCCAGCTTCGACTGCCCGACGATTTTACCCTTATCGTCGGTACAGTCAATACCTTGGCCGATCTCGTTCTGCCTCATCAACGGTATGTTGACGCAGTTGGCTGCTGCGACCGCTGCGAACGGCACGTATCTCTGCAAGAATATGCTTTTTTGGCAACAATAATAATTGAATGATAGTATGAAAATATTGTTACGTTATTCGGGTGCAGAAACGAACACGACACTATTTATTTTCGAACTGATTTATTTTAACTGGAGTAACACCGATTTATTTCGAACTTATAACTACTATTTATGTAAAACGATTTATATCACGCGGTATATGACTCTCTCTCTGGCACTCGCTGCTTGACTGACTGACTGACGACAGTTGTCCGGCCGTCCTTATATATGAGATGCCTTGGTAGGCTTTGCTTCTCGAACTTTCTCGAATGATCTTCCGTGCCCTTCTTTTTGTTCTAGAATCTTCTTAGAACAATACCTCTCTCTCTAATTGTTCCATCGATTGTTTCCAGAACATTCCAGAATCTTTTGTCACGTTATTTGTCACCGAGACATATATTGAGTGTTCGGAAATAGGGTAGTACATGTAGGAATCATTGGGATGTTGGAGAACAATCTCGGATGCGTGTTACAGGATGATCGATGTACTCTTGCCTTCCTGATGATGTGTTTCTAGAGCCCCTCTGAGGGGAATATCATTACAATATACATGGCGATGCGCGAGAACATCACCTGCGTGATGCCCTTGACTGCCGCCAGCTTGGACTGCCCGACGACTTAACCATTCTGGTCGGTGCAGTCGGTTCCCTGGCCGATCCCCAGATAACACCAACCATCGGCCCAGCGTTTGTAACACACACCTCTCCCGGAAGTTCATGTACTTTCCCTCCCGGAAGCGAGGTGTTCAGGCGGCCGCCAGACGGCCGTAATACACATTACCGGCGATTAAATTATTGACTCAGAAGTGCTACATCAGCGGCAACAAATTTCTATGCACCATTGATGGGAGCGCACAGCCACCAACGTATGTGCGCTTGCAAATCCGTATCAAGGAGGATGAGTTTTTCGAGCACTTTCCAAGTATCTGACCAGGAACTACAAACTTTGAATGCGCACACAAGCGTCTAGCTAGACCAGCGAATCTTTCAAACATCGAGGTCAAGTGACGTCACCCACAACACATGATATTTCATTCTCCTTTAAATTGAGAAACTACGACTACTGCGTTCTATGAGTAGAGCGATAACTTAGTGGTATGTATATCTTACTTCCACGCTGGTGACTGGGGTTCAATCCCTGTGAGGCGTCAATTTTTTTTTCACTCAATCAATTTTTCAAAAACACACTTTTCAGAAAAAAAGGCTCATTTAGGACAAATTAGGTTGGAAGTACTTTTCTATTTCATGCAGAAGAGATATTTGCCTTCCTCATATATTACCTCATAAGTCTTATAAACACGAATAACCTTCTGATAACCTTGAGGTTTGAAAGATTCGCTGCTCTAGCTGGACGGCGGACGCTTCTATAAAAAACGAATTAAAATAATAGAAGAAGACTTGACGTCGTTGTTGATGATTATGTCACGAAAAATAGCAATGATTACCTAACTAACAAAACAACTTTGACCTGTAGACAGGGATGAGTTATCATCTCTCTGCTGTAGACACAGGCTAAGGAATAACTGGAGATAAAAAACTGGTAAACAAAATCATACATAACCACAAAACAAAATCAGATCAGCTCTCGGTGTGCCTGACTGCCTGTTAGTATGTTGTGTGGCGTGGACGGACTCAATGTATTATGCACTGTTGCAAGATATAATTTGCAACTTTCCTAGAAAATAGATCCATTCATATTTTGAGAAATAATAACTGACAAGTTATGATTATCATTTCATAATCTGGTACTGGTGGGGGACGTTTGCACGTCAGCAACTAGTCCCTAATGGGACCTTTTTGCATACCCCAAGTGTTTTCGATGGCTGATGTGGTTCGCTCAAGAGAGCTGGCTAACATCCCTTTTCAGGCACCGCCCATCAGCTCTCTTTCAGAGTTTTTCGGCTGTGTTTTGTAGGCTATTAATGTACTCACTACCATATTATGCGCAGTGGCAGGCCTGCTAGCTATCCTCGTTATCATCATCATCTCTTTCTGCGTGTTCTGTGTAGGCTTTGTTTCTCACTCCATGCGCCACTTTAGGAGCAGCACTGTCAACAGCGAATCGTGCAGGACGATCGCCAGCCGATGCTCCGAAACTTTACAATATTCAATTCGTAAATAAAATATTGCTCGTGCTAGGAATCGAACCCACGACCTTGCGGTCGTGAGACAGACGCTCTTCCACTGCGCCAATCCCGGCTTATCATTTCATAATAGAAGGGACTTATGCAAATTATTCATAATACTTGAAAAGAAGGATTAAATAACCTTTTATATCCCATAGCTGTTATGATATAGTAATAATGTATTCAAAGAACAATTTCCAGAATTCTAGATATATTGATGATGCCGGCAACGTCGCACTGACACAGTAAATCGTATTTTAACTCTGTGTGAATGTGGCTCTTCAAAGTAATACATAGTACCTACGTCAAGGAATGGTGAAGGAGCCTTGTTTTTGGCAATTATTTTTTTCTAAAGTGAAATTTGATCCTAGGATAAAATGAAAAAATACGTTTATTTTACAAACTTCACAGTGAGATGAAAATCTCAATATTGGAAACTTCTTCAAGAGGTTACCATACTATTTTTTTTCTGCAACCGACACAAAAGTCGTCCATTTTGATACCAAAATTAGCTCTTAAATTGACGTTTCTATTACTGACACAAAAATAGGTATGTTGCTAGGCAACATATTTAGTTCCTAGGAGCTAAAGTTGAATTTTAGTTCCTAGGAGCTAAAGTTGACCTTTAGCTCCAAGGAACTAAAAAGGATGTACTGTGCGTCATCAAGAATAAACAACATTGTGACGGTTGGTTATTTGGGTTGAGACGCATACCTGATTTGTTTCCGATTTCAGCAGATTTGGCATTTCATACCCATGCTGGAGATATAAATACACCTTATTATAGTTTAGTATTGGAATTATAAACATCTCAGCTAAGTATTTTTGTTTTGATCAGGGTAGCCTTCAAGATTCAAATACTTGCTTGATCTGTATTCCATTCGTTATTCTCGGGATGGATAAGTTGTTTTTGAATAATCACGGCAAGCAATAGTTTTTTTGTCTCAAACAACAATATGGTTTAGCTTCATTTGATTATCAAGTCAAACACAGTGTAGTATGCCAGTATGGAGAAGAGAGAGGAATAAATAATCACTATTATCATTGTTGATATGCTCACTAACCTAACATTTTCCACGTCTTGTTCCTATAGCTGGCAATGGCGCGGTATTTGCCATTAGAGCACCTGGTCCATACACAAATATGTCACTCTGTGGTTGTATTTATATTGAAACTACAATTCGAACATCCTAGAAAACCTAACCTGCTGTTAATGCAAGTAAAATATTCTCACCACATGGATTATTTGTCAATATTTGTTGGATTGCATACATATGGCACGGCATTGGTATGGTTACTTCACATGTTTATTTGAGTTTATTGTTTCGGTTGCAGAAAAAATAGCATGTTTCATTCGGACCAAAAGTGACTTTGTTCGACTCGCAAATTTCGCTTTCGCTCGGCTTCGCTAAGCGCTCCGCCTCGCAAATGCAAAATTCGCTTGTCAAACAAAGTGTCACTTTTGATCCTAATAAAACAATCTACTATTTCTGAATTCACATTCAACATTTTATTTACTGTTTTAAAATGTTCAGGAATGTTTTTGGTTTGAGCATGGTTTGGGAATGTTTGTTGCTTAGGGACGGTCTAAAATACTAGAGGAGTATATTTTGGCGTTCTGGTTTCCCGCACGATTTTTTGTTTAGAAAGTTGTACTTTTCTGTATGATATTACTTTTCCACACGATTTTTACTTTTACATATGATAAATCGATAAAATCGGGCGGAAGTAATACTTTCCGACACTAGTGCTGAAAAGTTACTTTTCCACACGATTTTTGTATTGTTGAAAATGAGGATATTTTGGACAAACCCAATGATCTATGTCAACTGATTGTTGGCAAAGTTGTAATCTTTGATGAGCCTCACCTGTACAAATGGACTTGCCCTCTTTGACCAATAATATTTGCAGCCCAATGCTGTGAGCATGGCTGATGAAGTTGCAGAAGCATACGCCACTACAAGCTGTGTAGTGGATGTGGGTGATTTTGCATTACGGTTTGTATAATTCACCAAAGCATTGAATGACTGGTTCACCCATTGCCAAAATACTACAGCAAATGGTGTTCTGAAAAAAATAAATATTTGCATGTAGATATAATTTTTGCAGTCACTTGAGATAGCTTGATAGCTTGATAGTCCGCCGGCCCCTTTGATGGTCGGGAAAATGATGGAACTAAGAGATGTATAGAAATTTAACTGGTGCGCTTGCTCCCTATTGAAGGTCGTTTGCAAGTTTCTCGATGGCGCCTACTCTGATAAACCTTTGATAAACATACTTGACGTGGGTAAATTTCGCTAAGCTCATCCCGGTTACAATCCATATTTACAGGAAACATATTACCGACCGATAGATATTTGGATACGTATATGATTTGGATCAGAGCAGTGTACTGATTCCTGATCAAAGGATCGAAACGTCAATATGTCAAAAATATTCTTGAGCTGAAAAAAATGGTTATTTCTGAGATTGGGGTCAAGTGTTCCTTAGGGACGTGTTCCGTTTGATACATTCTTTGTTCTGGTTCTTCAAAGAGGAAATTCATCAGATTTCATACTTTAAATAGGTTCATGTCATGAAAGAAGTGAAGCTTATTAAAATCGGCAACAAAAAAGATTTCTTGCTTCTATTTCAAATTGAAATTTGAATGAAAATGTCGAGCACAGTATTTATTCGACCACAGAACAATGATGGAAATAGATTCATCCCTCACAGAACCAAGGTTTTGAACGATTTTCCGATTATGGCGCCTCTATCGCAAATACCTGAACCCCACGTCCAAAACTCGCTTGCAATTGTTCCATATCGGGAGTTAGTCTTACGAAACAATTGAAGAGTGAGCCCACCAGTCAAATTTCTATACATCTCTGAACTAAGATATGGTGTAATTACTGATGCGCTTTTGTTTCAGAAATTTTACTCCACCTCTCGAGAGCACCGAGAGCAATGGTTCCGATATCTTCAGATAGATGGCGACATTGCACAATTAAGACTTCTGTCAGTTTTGAAATTGTCACAGATTTTTCGAATTCAGAGTTGTTTAACTGTTACATATTATGTTCCGCGTACCTAAAATGGCATTTGTCATTTCATTTCCACTCGTCACAGCAGCAATAGCAGCATCACCATCTAGTGGGAAAATGTAGAATCAACGTCTTGCTCGTTGTGACGTAGAGAAATCATAGTAGGCCGGTCGAGTGATTTTTGTGAAATTTTCAATACGTAATAATGGCCGAATGCGCGCACCATATCTTCCATCTTACTTCCATCATTGTCGGGAAGAAGCTTTTTGCTGAATTTGTCTTGAGTGACTTTGTGGAGTATCCTACAATGTTACTTACCCGTGACCGACAACACAGCCACTGCCGAATATGCATATTTATAATATCATGACACATGATGTAGACAGTGATGGATGACAGGGACTGTTTTTAACTTATTACCTAACATCTAACATAACATGATTGTGATTCTTGTTGGAATCATTAAAGTAATAAACGTATATTTACTACTCATATATGAAGCATAGCTGTTGGAGGCCGACGTAGGGAAAAAATAATACGATTCTTGTCAAACCAATATGGCTGTTTCCATCCTTCACTTTCCGTCCTTATAGATTCAAAAAGTACCTTTCATTTTGGTTCCATTTTTGTTGAGATATCATATATAGAAAAAGTACATATTATATGGTAATAAATCTTTATTACTAATATTAGTTCAGTCATTGGGGATCCAAAATAAGGCTTACCTGGAAAAAAGTCCGGAAGTTTTGAAACTTTGTAGGATTATAGTTTTGGGTGTCCAGAACTAAAATTCATAAAATGCACATTCCGGGACATGCCGCTGGCGCCGCCATCTTGCCAAGATGGCGCTCAAAAATGGTTTTTTGAAAATATCTCCAAAACGGTGCGTTTTTAGAAAGAATATGAGGACATAAAAATTCAAGATGAAAAAATTTTCTACAAGAAATGTTCCGAGCATATTTCTGCTAAAGAGAGCCGTTTAGGCTCAAGAGCTGATTTAATGACAACATATTCTGTTAATTTCCATAAACTGCCCGTTACTATCTCCATATATGCGTATAAATTCATATTTTATTATAAAACGTGCTATTCAATTTGTTCCTCGTTATATTGGACGATTTTAAGATCAATTATGCGACAAAAATTTTGCATTTGTGACTTGCGATTATTTGGGCGATATAAAAATTGCATTATCGACGAATCTGGCGACTTTGCTCCAGAAGTATGTGGGTGCAGGATGGTTATGAGTAAATGTCGTACCTATACTATGTATCCGTAGATATAGGTACCTTCTCGTACTGTGAAACCGCCCATAAATTCATAAAAATTTGAAATTTTGCTTTCTTGTCTTTACCACTCCATCCCAATATGAGTAAATACACAAAATATATATTTCAGATGAGATATTTTTATGAACGGTAAAAACACAAGGACTTTTTCATCAAATAAATTACCTTTCCTAACGAACACAATTTGCCAATCAGTAATTTTACGAGAAAAACGGACATGAAAAAATTGCGAGACCGTAGGTCGAGTAATTTTGATGTGCTGAATATATGTACTTATTTCAAAAAAAAAACTCGTATGAATAGCAAAAAAATTTAGTTTCATTAGACTCTTTGAAAGAATAATAACATCACACAAATTGGGCGATAATTTTTGGGCGGTTCATTTTTCAAATTTGGCGCGCCAAAAATAATTTCAGTACCTGAGTGGATTAGGCCTACTGGTGAAACCACGTTAAAAAAACGCGCCGTGTACTTAACCTCTTGGGTGGTGTGGAAACAAGTACAGCATTTAAAATCGAAATTGATTGATCATAAATTATTAACATGGATTAATTGATGAATTCATCGATTAATTGAATGATGGATATCCACCGTTTCGTGATAAATATTTCTAAAGCCCTTAAATATCAGATTTGGGGACCCCTAATACACATATTATTTCTGAAACTCACCACTACAGAAAACTTACGCAACATTTGTAATTTGGTGAGGGCATCACTTGTGCCTTGACGAGGGTACTTTAGCGAGAATATTCTAAGAACATATTTTATAGGAAATATCCTCTGTCAGCAAGCTATAAATATAACGAGAAACCAATTAGATAGCCCGTTTCATTATAAAAGATAAATTTATACGCATATTTGGAGATAGTTAGGGGCAGTTTATTGAAATTAACAGAATATGATGTCATTCAATCAGCTCTTGGGCCTAAACGGCTCACTTCAGCAAAAATATACTGGGAACATTACTTGTAGAAAATTTCTTCATCTTAAATTTATATGTCCTCATATTTTTCTAAAAACGCACCGTTTTGGAGATATTTTCAAAAAACCGTTTTTGAGCGCCATCTTGGCAAGATGGCGGCGCCGGCGGCATGTCCCGGAATGTGCATTTTGTGAATTTTAGTTCTGGACACCCAAAACTATAATCCTACAAAGTTTCAAAACTTCCGGACTTTTTTCCAGGTAAAAATCCCCAATGACTGGCCTATATTGTGTTTCAATACAAAACACTACAGACTTTGCAAAGACTTCACCATTGATGATGTTCCCTTATTTCCCAGATTATTCTTTATGGTTTCATTTCATTGCTTTGATTTGTACTATTACTTTTATTTAGTGACAAATTATAGCTTGATATAAGTATTATTTCAGCCGTCAAGTCCTAATTTTTAAAAGCTTTTATTCAACTTGCAATGTATGGATGTATGTTAGTTCAGGTGTAATCTTTGAACTAAATTTTGAAGTAGATATCTTCAACCAATTGAGCTGAATATTTGTATACACCTTTAGTTTGGATGACAATGCATGATAAATTCTGTGAAGTTATTCTAAATCCAATATGGCGGACCATCCAAGATGGCGGAATAGTTATTTTTAATGCATTTCTACAAATGAAAGGGCTTATTGAGAGTACCTCGGAAAATAATGTGAAGTCATTCTAAATCCAATATGGCGGACCATCCAAGATGGCGGAAGTTATTTTTAATGCACTTCAACAAATGGAAGGGCTTGTTGAGAATACCTCGGAAAATAATGTGACGTCATTCTAAATCCAATATGGCGGACCATCCAGGACGGCGTAATAGTTATTTTTAATGTACATTCACAATACGGGTATCAAATGAAAGGGCTTGTTGAGAATACCTCGGAAAATAATGTGACGTCATTCTAAATCCAATATGGCGGACTATCCAAGATGGCGGAATAGTTGTTTTCAATTCACTTCTACAATATGGGTATCAAATGAAAGGGTTCCTTGAGAGCAACTTGGAAAATAATGTGTAAAATGATTAGAAGGTCTCCTTATTGAAGAGCAGGACTGTTTGAAATCAACCAGTAAAGGACTTATTTCCTTTATAATTTTAACCATCAACTTATAACCTCATTATACACAATTTATATGATCATTAAAGCTTGTGGCATGATTTACTTTTGTGAATAAACTAGTACTCATTTGATTTTTTTAAATCTGCTGAGTTAAAGTTTTTAAAATTCCAATTCAATTAAATATTGATCATCTGAACAAGAGCTTGTATGATCATATAAATTGTGTATAATGAGGTTATAAGTTGATAGTTAAAATCATAAAGGAATATTTTATTTTATTCTTTTTAGAGCATTTTAATAAAAGGTTTCAATTAAAAATGTGTTTTCTACTTTTAATTCATTATTATCTAGGTGTATTACTTGAACAATGAGTAGTATATTCCACTTCTGTATTTTCCATTTTTATTAAAGCTTTATTATATGGTGGAGTTATGTCATAATTCAACTTGATGATTCACTTACCTATACCACTGAAGCATAGCTCCTGTGATAGCCATACCACCAGGTACTTGGAAAGACATCCTACCAAAAACATTTTGTTTCTCTCCACTGTCTGGATGGAAAGCACTTTCATACAACTTTTTGGCATAAATGATTTGTTCTAGAGATGTACCCGGTGGTTCTTGTCCTTTCCTATATTGCTCTACTAAAATTTTTGACCTATCCAGAGCTTCTTCACTCACAATGCAAGTTCTTGGATCTGTTACCCAAAGAAAATGTTTGAATCTTCCAACAAACGTGTTTTGATCCCATAGAGGTTCATCGATATTGATTCTTTCGGGCATTATTTCCTGAAAAGTTGCAAATAGAATCGGTACGATAATGTTCTCGACTTGAAAATTTAGAAATATTTTACCATCACACAAAATGATATGGAAGTAATTACGAATGATGAACCAAAGTGCAAAGTGCAATGAATTTTGAATATTCTGGTTACATAAAACTGAACATACCGAATATTAATGTACGTGTTTATATAATTTTTTGAACTTCTATTTTTGAAAAATATTAACCCCTGACCCCCTTCTAGCCTAACAGCAAAGCAACAAAAACAAAACTAGTCTTGTCATTGTCAAATATCAATAGTCTCGATGTTAACAAACCGGCCACCTAGCCTCACCGCATCACCGGCCTTAAAACCAATGGGACAGTGTGGAGAAAGTACACTGCATCATGTATTCATGTATACGGGCATGCGGTGAAAATGAATTCTTGTATTCGAATCAGTGCGGTTGGTGAAACTGACTGTCAATGAATGTGTCAATGTCAGTGTGTCAGCACATCAATTTTGACATTTTAATGACAAAGGTCGCACATAGAAAATATAAAATAATAAAATTCTCTAATCTGTGATTCTAATGATAAGATTTTTCATTCTTTGCTGTTTACTGGCTATTTAAATGACAAAAGAAATGTAATTTTTATATAGTGAATTATTATTAACTAGATTTTACAGTCTTCGAAGTGGATCAAACAGTGTTTCGAAAAAGTAGTTGACAAATATTTTTTGAATTTTCATTATTTTTCATCACGCAAACATGGCGGAAGAAGATATAAAGTTGTTGAAGAAAACTAAAATATCCGTTTTCGTTGACGAAGCTCTGCCAGACATTTTAGTAGTAACATACGAATTTGGTGTTAAAATATTTAAAGGGGTGTTACTTGATTCTACCAAAAGGTAAGAGAAAGAGACATTTATTTTCCTCATTGTGTGGGACTATATTTCTGATTCCATTTGATATCAATAAAATTGTGATAGTTCATTTTCTTAACGACCTTGGTATTGTAAATATGAATATTTAGTATTCACAAATAACATGCATGCTTTCTAGTTTAGTTTTGTTATAGTATTGCACTTGAAATGTATTTCAAATATTTGTAATGAAATCACTTATAGAAACCTTCCATGTGGTGTTCCAAACATGAACCCAGCTTTTAACACCCCTACAAAAAATCCGGATGATGATACATTGTATGCAGTTAACCAAAGATTTGCTTATATGGACCCCAATGCACCCAAAAAGAAAAATGTACAAATGCCTAGCAAATATAAAAATAACAAGATTAACAAGATGACAGTCAGATTAAGGCCACGCCAAGTTTTATGTTCCAAATGCAAGGGGATTTGTAATGAAAATTCAGAAAATGTCTCCAGAAAGAGGAAAGCCTCAGAGAGCTCTCATAGTTTGTCTTCACCACCACCACGAAGGAATGCTAATGCTCCTGTTACCAGATCAGTCAATATTATGAATATTAAAAAAGGAACAAGGGAGAAGGGGCCTTCACTTGTACCTAAATTAACTAGGTTGACATTCCAGGAGGAAAGTTCTATAGGTAGGTAGTATATGTGTTTCAACCCAGTGTTCAAATTAAACTACCCTTCTGAATTCCTGCTTCTAACATTTTGATTATTTCTGAGATAATATTCTTGCTTTGATGAACACAAATTTTCTATTTCTTTTCTTTCAAAAGTAACCCTTTGGAGTACATGGATTTCACTGCACCCTTTTCCATTAACAATATAGCTATTTTGCATTTTTTTTAGTTTGAGGACAGTTTGAATTAGCCTCTTACAAACAAATCTCACTACTGAAATGTCTACAAAGTTCATGAATTTATTCATTACAATGATTCAAAATAAATCTTAAATTTTCAGTTGATGGTAAAAAAGCTGAGTAGGCAAGAACACAAAAAAAGCACTGATTTGTTTTTCCTATTAGATTTCCCAAAATGAATTCCCAAAAACATTTTCTCCTCAGAACACAATGAAAAATTGGCAGCAGTATCAACTTCACAAGTACTATAAGGTACCATCCCTCTATTGGTAGTCAAAAAAAATCAATAATTCACTAATCAGTAAGACAAACAGTTTGTTTGGATATTTTAACATTCATTGCTCTCAAGATTTCTCTGATTTCAACAATGTCATGGATGAACTGAGCAATAAACTCACATTTTCTTGATTTCTTTTGAACCTGATTGTGAATTGTGATATATTATGGCATAGATATTAGAATCTGATGGTCATTATAAAATGACATGTCTCCATATATTTTGACCCCTACCTACAACCTCAAATATAGGAAGTGGAAAAACTTCAGATATGGAAGTTTTTGGGTTACATCTGTTCTATCTTTTGAAACTCCTTGAATAAATTAATGCAAATCACAAAATGATGAAAATTAATCCAAATCAGTTTTTTTTCAATGAAATACCCTGTTAAATTTCAACTGTTCTTCTTCTCACAAATATATAACCCGTTTTCCAGTAAATTCTTGCTACAATACTGAAAATTTTGCAATATTCTCATAATATCATACTCTATGAAAAACCCATAATGATCAAAAATGTTATATTGGCAACTTTGATTCAATGCTAAATCAGTGAAAACTTGCATGAGGAAACATTAGCAAACTGAATAAATTTGGGAACAGAAGAAAATGATCTTTTACCAGAGTTAAAATATGCAGGGAGTTTCATTTAAAAAAACTGATTTGGACTTGTTTGAGGAGACAGTGGAGAGATAGTACAAATGAAATCCTACGACTTTCAAATTTTAAGTTTTTTCCACCTATTTTTAAAATATACGGAGACATCCTTGTATACGAAAATCGTTCAGCTTGATTGTATGAAGTAAACCTCGGTCTCAACATATAATGGGCGAGGGAACTGATGATGAATTTGGTATTCTATTACTCCACTGTGTCCTTACTCGTTAGGGACCTGGTCTAGTTCCAACTTTTCCGTTGAGCATGAATGGTCGATTTACACTTTGCTTCTTTGATCTAAAACATAGTTGGAATTAAACCACAAATTTTAAATGAATTGGGAAATGGAATCGTCAAAGTTACATGGAATATGAAACTGAAATATATTCGAGAACTGTTTTCAAATTCCGTTGCTGAAATGCGGTATATTCTTTTTTTTAAATTGACCAGAACAGATAGTCAACAATTTTCTCCTTGATGAAAGACACTGTATACCTAACCCATCGGGCGTCTACCTCAGTTGCAAAGAGGGGTTACCGACGCCAAGTGTTGTTACTCTCCCCTCGTAAGGGTACCTGTCGTGTCTCCATAGAGACACAAAGGTGACTATTGAAAATTTTTCTATGATATATCGCCTTCCATAACGAATATAGAATGTTGAAGAGGTATCTGAATTAATTTGAAATACAAATGGGGAACTCATCACTGGTTTCTGGTCTGGTTCCAACTTTTCCGATGGACATGAATGGTCGATTTACACGTTGCTTCTTTGATCTAAAACATAGTCGGCATTTAACCTCAAATTTTAAATGAATTGGAAAATGAAATCGTGAAAGTTACATGGAATATGAAACTTGAATTTATTCGAGAACTGTTTTCAAATTCCGTTGCTGAAATGCGACATATTCTTCTTTTAAAATTGACCAGAACAGATAGTCAACAATTTTCTCCTTGATGAAAGACACTGTATATACCCAACCCATCAGGCGCCTACCTCGGTTGCAAGGAGGGTTTACCGACGCCAAGTGTTGATACTCTCCCCTCGTAAGGATACCTGTCGTGTCTCCATGGAGACATAAAGGTGACTATTGAAAAATTTTCTATGATATATCGCCTTCCATAACAAATATAAAATGTTGAAGAAGTATCTGAATTAATTTGAAATAGAAATGGGGAGCTCATCACCGATCACTGGTTTCTGGTCTAGTTCTAACTTTACCGTTGGACATGAATGGTCGATTTACACGTTGCTTCGTTGATCTAAAACATAGTTGGCATTTCACCTCAAATTTTGAATGAATTGGAAAATGAAATCGTGAAAGTTACATGGAATATGAGGCTGAAATATATTCGAGAACTGTTTTCAAATTCCGTTTCTGAAATGCGACAGATTCCTCTTTTCAAATTAACCAGAACAGATAGTCAACAATTTTCTCCTCGATGAAAAACACTGTATATACCTAACCCATCATTTACTTCACGAAAGCACTGAATAAATGGCTATTACCTAAGTTTACATTCTTGTTAATGTTCCGAATTTTGATATGATGTGATGTCATATATCGTCCAAACTTCGATTCATAGGTACGATTCCATTCAATTTGATGTGTTTGAAGCATTCTATACCAAATTTCGAATAGTTTTGTATGCTGCTTTTATATGCTCACTTTCTCACATTTCAGTAATTTTTTTCTTCATTCCATAATCATTTTGGGATTTTCTTAACGAGTTCAACGATACCGGGTTTGAGAGGGTGTTCTCGAACGATAACAAAGAATATTTCATTTGTTTTCATATACTTAATATCTAAACTTCTATCTCTGTCACACTCATTGAGCCCGTTGAAAATTTGAACGCGTATATCTTCGTAATCATTTGAAATAACCCAATCATACCCGCACCCGGTATCGTTGAATTCATTATAATAATCTCTAAAATGTCAAAAATACAGCTAGAAAAACAAAGGAGAAAAGGGGGGTATACCATGACTCTGTGTCACCTGGTATACCTATATTTAGTACGGCTGTAAAAGTAAACAAAACAAATTATTTCATCTCAAAGGTATAGGAAGTTTTGAAAGATTTATGTTAACTCTTGAAAAAATGTCGAATATGGCCACTTATTGCATTGATCTCCTTCCAGATCATCTGTATATATAGGTAAAGAAAGCAAATTTCAAATATTTCCATCGTTATATGGAAATATACCAAAGCAAAGTACCAACCATGTGATGAATACCTTCATATTCATATACAAAAACACCATCTTCAAAAAACAAAACACACACAAATAAAAATACAATGAGTAAACCGAAGATGAAATTTAATTTTCCACTTTTAAATGATTCGAGTTCTTGTTTGAATCGACCGTATGCGATGAAATTTAGAGCAAGACTGTTGATCTGTTTGATTGCTCATCCTAATGACTAATCAGTTAGGTCATCCTTTCAAGCCATTGATTTCCGAACAAGTATGACTAATTCCGATATCGATAGTAGGTATACGGGGTGGGGTGAAGAGAATTCCAATATACAATGTCAACGTTGAAGTCCACCTCAAACTGAAAGGTATTAGTGTGATATAGTCCACTCGCCTATTCATTAGTAATTTTTCAGGTATACAGGGTGTTTCAAAAAGAGGTGATCCCCTTGCTAGGGTAGGTAGAACACTGCAAAATAAGTTTGCTTTGCTCAGTAAAAAAATGTAATGGCATCTGTGTTCAAGATACAAGAAATTGAAAAAATATTCTTTCACATATTTTTTTTTCATTACGTCAGAACTACTGGTAACATTATAATGAAATTTTGTATGGATATGTTCTGGAACACGCTAGTCGCTAAGAGCTATTCAACTTTTTTTAGATTAGATTTTTAACGCCTAATTTCATGTGAACAAAAAGGTACATCACCCCACCCAATAATACCATAAATTAACTGAGACTGTACTTAAGCAAAATCTATCATTTCTGAATTATTAATTTTCAATACATGTTTTAAACGTTTGAACTTAAGTATGAGACATCTAATTTTCTTTGTAACATAATCAACATGATTCAATATTTTTATGTTAATATCAATTTTCTACTCGTTATTTCAATAACTCTAGCACAAAAATGATATGATGTTACAATTTCTGAATTTGAATAAATAATTGATCTCAATAATACTTATTTTATATTATATTATATTATTTTCAAATCTGAATATTCTGAAAACGGTACACAGTATTGAAATTTATCAAGAGTACCTTTTTGGTGTTCAATTGAATGATGTTCAAGTTCACATGAAATCTGGTCTGAAAAATCTAATCTCAAAAAACTTATCTTTGAAATAACTCGGTACGAACCCTGTAATTAGCGCCCTCTATGAGAATCAGATACGAAAACAAATGCATGCGATGTGTCAGCTTCCAGAACATTTCCATACAAAATGTCTTCACCATGTTGCCAGTACTTTCGACATAATCGTTAGAAATGTGTAAAACAATATTTTCTCAATACCTTGTATCTTGAATACATATGCCATTACGACAGTTTTTTACTGAGCAAACCCAACTTATTTTTCAGTGTTCTCCCCACCCCGGCAAGGGTTTTTTTTTAAACACCCTGTTTTGCACATTTATATTCAATTCATGCATTTGTGTTCTTGCCTATTGAACAAATTCCAAAATCTGTTCAGTCAATTCTTTGGATTATTAATCTAGTCATCTTGATAACCTAGATATATTTATACTAACCACAACTTAACAGAAAAAATAATCTGGGACCGATTATATAATTTTTGCAGGTGTTAGAATTAATTTAAATAGGAAACTAATAGAAAAAAATAACCAGGAAAACTCGCAAGAACCAGATGAAAAGCATTCCCTGGATCATTCCTCTGATAGTGGCCATTCTGATGATGATGAAATCCCCCTAAGGAGTAAAAGATTATTGAAAAAGAGAAGGAGTGCCAGTAGTGCTAGTGAGCAATGGGATGATACCAGCCAACATGAAAATGCAAATAGGTAACATCACCTATTTATTGTTTTGTAAAATAACTGCCATCAGGAGCCTATTTAGTCAACAAAAATCCTGTTACTGTATTTTCATAATCCCATACCGTTATTTTGATTCAACGGTATTCAGATGACAAGCGGCGAGTGGGCTGATGATGAATTATTGGCATTCAATTAATTCACTGTGTCCTTAGGAACCTAAATTAATTTTTTCTGTAACCGACACAAAAGTCGTTCATTTTGATACCAAAATTAGCTCTTAAATTGACGTTTCTATTACTGACTCAAAAATAGGTATGTTGCTAGGCAAGGAGCTAAAGTTGAATTTTAGTTCCTAGGAGCTAAAGTTGAACTTCAGCTCCTAGGAACTGAAAAGGATGTACTGGACGTCATCAAGAATAAACAACATTGTGACGGTTGGTTATTTGGGTTGAGACGCATACCTGATTTGTTTCCGATTTCAGCAGATTTGGCATTTCATATCCATGCTGGAGATATAAATACACCTTATTATAGTTGAGTATTGGAATTATAAACATCTCAGCTGAGTATTTTTGTTTGATCAGGGAAGCCTTCAAGATTCAAATACTTGCTTGATCTGTATTTCATTCGTTATTCTCGGGATGGATAACTTGTTTTTGAATAATCACGGCAAGCAATAGTTTTTTGTCTCAAACAACGATATTGTTTAGCTTCATTTGATTATCAAGTCAAACACTGTGTAGTATGGAGAGGAATAAATAATCACTATTATCATTGTTGATATGCTCACTAACCTAACATTTTCCACGTCTTGTTCCTATAGCTGGCACTGGCGCGGTATTTGCCATTGGAGCACCTGGTCCATACACAAATATGTCACTCTGTGGTTGTATTTATATTGAAACTACAATTCGAACATCCTAGAAAATCTAACCTGCTGTTAATGCAGGTAGAATATTCTCACCACATGGATTATTTGTCAATATTTGTTGCATTGCATACATATGGCACGGCATTGGTGGTTACTTCACATGTATATTTGAGTTAATTGTTTCGGTTGCAGCAAAAATAGCATGTTTCATTCGGATCAAAAGTGACTTTGTTCGTCTCGCAAATTTTGCTTTCGCTCGGCTTCGCTAAACGCTCCGCCTCGCAAATGCAAAATTCGCTTGTCAAACAAAGTGTCACTTTTGATCCTAATAAAACAATCTACTATTTCATATTTTGTATTTGACTGACAGTGCATGTCTTCCACTTCAAAGAATCATATTATCTACAGTTTTTCATACAAACTTATGTGGAATATTTTCATACAGATGTTTACAGGATTTTTGGTGACTGTCTTCACCAAACTTTTATAGATATTTAGAAGATATTACAAAAAATGATCCATCAGTGTTATGTGAACTTTCACTACTGCTACTACTTTCTACCACTACTATACACATATTTCACTGAAAAAAAATTATGAATGTTGGTATTGTTTTTAATAAACGTTATTAAAAATTGTGTGATTTCTTTGAAACTTTCTGCAGGTTCTTGAAAGTAGTTTCTGTCCAGAAGAAAAAAAGGAAATAATTTCAGCTAATCATGAAATGTTCACAGAATTGGACAACTTTGGATGATCAATAATCATCAAAGTGTTATTATAAAAAAAATGGGATTAGCTTTTCACAAATGCTAGTTGATTTATTTGATATAGAAGAAATTTCCTATTCCTGGGATAACCATATTTGTTTGCAAAGAAAACATAATTTCCTATGTATTGCATGCAAAAATTCTTTCTGAATTCAGGGTGAGTCAATTATGAGCAGTGTAAATCGGATGAAAGTTATATCAGGTCACTGAGCAGTCAGCAAGAAAAGAACACCCTCAATGAAAAAATGTAATGATATAATATTTTTGCTTATTTTCAGTTTCAAAAGAATGCTTAATTTTGGTATTTATGATGCACTTTATATCCCTTGTGTTTCCTTATTCAAATGACTACTATTATTATGTAAGATGAATCAACCAAGAGACAATTGTGTTTTGTTCACCATACCTTGAAATTTTGTACAAAAAAGTGTTCAATTTTTGTATTTTGCCAAAATGTATATTGATTTTTGAAGTAGGATAAATCAATCATTTTCAAAAATACAGGGTGATCCACGGTGGATGGCCTATTAGAAGTATCTGGAGAAGGAAAAGACAGAACATTCTGAAAATTGAAAATATTTTCATCGGTACAGTGTTGCCACTTCTATCAGAAACAACTAGCAACTTCGTTATTTTAAATGGAGCACCCTGTATTTTATTGCATTTTTGTATTCTTCCTGAAGAGCTGATTTTATCAATGTATTACACTTTTGGTCTAGCAGGAATGATTACAGTGATATAGGGTGTTCAAAATCGAGATTTTTTAATTTTAGGATTTTTTTGTGTCGAAACTATTATCATTATTAATCAAAACTCAATAATTATTCAACATTAACTCAACATTAAATCAACATTAACTCAAAATTACCTTGACATTTCCTTAAAATCAAATTAACATCAACTCAATATCAAATTGACATTTACTTCACATTAATCACTAAATTGCCAATACAACATTAATTCAACTTTCAATTGAAATTAACTTGATTTCAACTCTTCATCAACTTAACATTACGTCAACATTAACGACAATAACTCATGTTAAATCGACAGTAACTTCCCATTAACTTGACCATAACTTAACTTAACTTGACAATAATTCAGCATAATAATCATTCATTGGTACATCATAATCTATAGACCCTGTTACTGTGCGATTTTCGAATATTTCCACCCATGTGAGTTTTACTTTCGAACTTTCTAACTGTTATATGTTGTCATAGTGAAACGAGTCACTTTCTCAATAACAAATCAATGTGTTTTGTGCTGTTTTCATAGGTGGTCGTAGGAAAAGATATATATTCAGGTAATTCAGATTTATCGATATGCCTTTTCTTGATATAATAATTCTTCTATTCTTCCTTACTGAGAGAGGTCTTTGTATTTTTTTCTGTGTACATTCCAAAAAAAGATATGTTTTCTGCAATCGACTCAAAACTGGCCCATTTCTGTTCCAACATCAGATCTTGATGTTTCTCTTGCAGACACAATAAAATGATTAGTATGTATCTTGCTATGCAACACTTTTTGTGTCTAGGAGCTAAAGTTGCAATTTAACTCCTAGGAACTAAAAGTGTGTCGGATGACAGCTGATATGATAGCTGCTGTGACACTGACATTCTCAAGTGAGTCAAAATAGTGGTAACTTCACTTATATTTTATTAATTAGATGTCTATTATTTAGATTTCAGACAAAATAGCATGTTTCATTCGGATCAAAAATGACTATTTGACTCAAACAAAGTGTCACATTTGATCCTAATAAAATAATGTGCTATTATTTTTGCTTGAGCATCAATGGTATAATCTAATTTGTATTAAGATAGACCTTCACAGAATCCCACTAAGTTACAGGATCTCTCATTCAACATATATGATGTGATTTCGGATATACAGTGTCATTCATAAAGTCGGCATCATATGAGATAGATAAACTTGATAATAATTTATTCTGAAATGCGATTTGGGCGAGTCACGTGACTCGCTACATGTCAAAAGTGAAATTGTTTCAAATTATTCGATGAGACTTATTTACGTAAAGAAGTTTGATGATATTTTGATAGATAACTTCGCCATAATTTCAGGACTGAAAAAATCAAAGTAAATGAATTTTGTTCCAGAATGATTCAACTTTTCATCAAACAAGAGACATTTGAAGCGGATATTATTATTTTCTGAAGAAAATCATATTTTCGTGATCAGTGATTGAGAATTAGTGCCATTATACAGGGTGATCCTGTCTGCCTATTAGAAATATCTGGAGAACCAAGAGACAGAACATTCTGAAAATTGGGATGTTTTGATAAATGAACATTCTCTATCCGTCTAAAATATTTTCATCGATACAGTGTTGCCACTTCTATCAGCAACAACTAGCCACTTTGTTATTTCGAATGGAACACCCTGTATTTTATTGCATTTTTAGATTCTTCCTGAAGAGCTGATTCCATCAATGCATCACACTTGGGTTCTAGTAGAAATGATTTCAGAGATATAGGGTGTTCAAAATCAAGATTTTTCAATTATAGGATATTTTTTGTGTCGAAGCATTATCAATAACAACAGCTTACATGTCCCTATTCCAACTTTCGATTCACTATCTACTGGAATTTAATTTTAAAAAAACAGGGTGCTTCAAGATTCAGAATTCTGATCACCTTGTATCTGTTCTAATTAAATGTCAGTAGATAGTGAATCGAAAGTAAGATAGGGACATGTAAGCCGTTTTGATCGATAATGAATAGTTTCGACACAAAAAAAATCCTAAAATTGAAAAATCTCGATTTTGAACACCCTATATCTCTGAAGTCATTTCTGCTAGAACCCAAGTGTGATGCATTGTTGAAATAAGCTCTTCAGGAAGAATCTAAAAATGCAATAAAATACAGGGTGTTCCATTTGAAATAACAAAGTGGCTAGTTGTTTCTCATAGAAATGGCAACACTGTATCGATGAAAATATTTTAGACGGATAGAGAGTGTTCAATTATCAAAGCATCCCAATTTTCAGAATGTTCTGTCTCTTCGTTCTCCAGATACTTCTAATAGGCCATCCACCGTGAATCACCCTGTATAGCTATTAGAATGAAATAGTTTTATCTGTGTTAATTTTTCCAATATTACAGACATTTCGTAGAAATTGAAAAAATATCAACAACTAAAAGTTCAAATTCGAGATACATGTAAGATTGGAATAGGAACATATTTTCTTCGTAAATTGTTTTGAAATTCAAACAAATAAGCCTATTCTCAGATAGTCAGGTGACCCCAAGCGAGTAGTCCATTTTTCATATTTTTTAAAGCAAAACGTAACGCCCAAGTCGAATTTCGGAATAAATTATTATTTAAAGTTGTTCCCTTGTTCCCATATTATGCTGCCGACTTTTTGAATGACACTGTATTTTATAGAAAAATTTTCCGCAATGAACTTGAAAAAATAGTCCCTTCCCCCACCTGATTTTTTTATACAATCTCAATGAATTAGTAATTCATATTCCGATTAAACAAGGACGATGGTAAATATCTGTCACAGAAATAAGAAGCACTCATTGTAATGTATCGACATCAATATTCAGAAGCTTCACAAACTTCAACCATTTTGATTCACTCTGTACATGTTATTTCGAGGATTCAATGACCAACCAGACTATCTCTAATTTTTTTTCTCAATCAGAAACAACAATCAGGTTTCACAATTGAACTCCAATGTCAATTCTGACCAAATAGTTAGCTCCAACGTTTCGACCTCTAACACCACTAGAACCATAAAAATCTCCTACGGCCCCCAAGGCGAAGGAACAGTCCTGAAGATACCGGCAACGATCGAGAACCTGAGCAATGACGACGATTCCGAAGAGAACATAAACATCCAACCAAAGACCGCCGACAACAAGGCCGTGAGAAGAGCTCTGAAGAGGGCGAAAAAAGAAGCCAGAAGGAAAGATCTGCTGTCGAGTGGCTCCCAGATTTATTTAGGAGTAGTTTCGCCTAGGTACACGATAGGCAGTGCCTCTCCTAGACAGGGCCTTGGCAGCGCCTCGCCCAGATATAAATACACGCCGTACGATATGAATCCGAGAAGGAGGAAGCACAAAATGAAGCACAAAAAGAAGCATAGGGAGGATAGGGATAGGGATAGGAAGCATAGAGAAGAAGAGGTAGGCGATTTTATTATTAGATTTTCAAGTAATTGAGTGTGTGTTGTATGCGTTAACCTGACTAGGCTCTAGCCGTGCGCATTCAGTACTTGTTATATATCTTATTCACTCTTACTTATGTTATCAAACACCAAAAGACATGACTCGATGTCATGAACGACAGTTTAGGAGTTACTGTGCATTGAGAAAACCCCAAAAATATCTGGTATAATGACGGTTCAATGTCATTTGATAGGGTGACTGCGAACCTAGGTACTCTAATAGAGAAGTTTCCAATATTGAGGTTTGAATCTTACTGTGAAGTTTGTAAAAATTCAATACATATGATTTTTTTCTTTTTTTCGTAAGATCAAATTTTCCTTCAGAAAAATATAAATGAAAAAAGAACTTCGCACCTTCACTTTATGAAAAGCCACATTTACACAGTACAATACGATTCCCTGTGTCAGTACGACGTTGCCGGCTTCTTCAATATCTCTAGATTTCCGTAAATTGTTCTTTGAATACATTGTTGTTTGTTTTGTTTGTTCTAAAATTGTTCTATCCGTCATTCAGTTGCCCCCTTACGAGCAACCCTCAGAAGTCTTCGAAATTCTTGTGCGAGCAAGGAAAAATTTTGAATAGAATCGGATCATAATTACAAAACTTGTCCATCATATTGGATCCTTCATCTTTAAATTCCTAATTTTGATGAAAGAATCATAATCTCCGACCCCGAAAACCATCTGATACCAATTTTGAATGGAATCTGATCATAATTACTAAACTGGTTCGCCATATTCGATCCATCATTTTGAATTTCCTAATTTTGATGAAGAAATCATAATCTCCGACCTCGAAAACCCTCAGATACCAATTTGGAAAGGAATCTGACCATAATTGCAAAACTCGTCCGTCATATTGGATCCGCCATTTCAAATTTCCAAAATTTGACGAAAGAATCATAATCTCCGACTCCGAAAACCCTCAAACACCAATTTTGAATGAAATCGGATAGCAATACTCGTCCGCCATATTGGATCCTCCATCTTGAATTTTCGATTTAAAGAATAGATTACGACCGATTCTCATACCTACCGAATATGCACAAACAATTTCATACGAATCGGTCGAGCCGTTTCGGAGGAGTTCGACCACTAACACCGTGACCGGGACAGGAGAATTTTATATATTAGATCATAACAGCATTAGGATATAATAGGTTTTTATTCATACTTCTTCGAGTACGACGAATAATTTTCATAACTCTCTTATTTGCTGAATGAAGTTGTTTACTAATGAAGATAAATTATGATATTTTGCAAAAAAAATATCTATAATTTTTCACTTTTCTTCTATTACAAAATGATAATCATAACTTGTCATTCATTTTATTCGTCAAATGAATTCGTTCCTTTATAAAATGGACCTATTTTTTAGGAAAGTTGCAGATTATATCTTTCAACAGGGCATAATAATTTGTACCCATCCACACCACACAAAATACTGACAGGCACACCGACAGCTGATATGATTTTGTGGTTATGTATGTTTTTGTTCACCAGTTTTACTTGTGTCGATTTTTATTATTCAGTTATTCGTTAGGCTATGTCTACGGTTTAGTTTTTTTTTTTCAAAAACTCTACAAACGGATATGATTTACACAAAATTCTTAATCACATGACGTTTCGTAAACGCAGTAGGTTCTTCAGGTGAAATATTAATGCAATAGAATAAACTACCCTACCCTAATGGGAAGCAAAATTGAGTTTATGTCTTATTATTATTGGTTTACTTTCTAAACTTACATTGACTTGCCTATTTATATACCCTACTTTCCCCCACCCAAAGGATTTAAATATCTGTGGAAAGGTTCGATAAACCCTCATTTTCGGAAAGTTGGCACGATATCCACATTAAAATACGACGTACCGGATTAACTTGAAATGGTTGATTACCTACTAAGAAAACTAATTTTTATCTGAAGGAAACGTATCCATTGAATCCATGTCAGGTATCTAATTCGTTAAAAAATGTATTTTTTCTGCAACCGACACAAAAGTCGTCCATTTTGATACCAAAATTAGCTCTTAAATTGACGGTTCTATTACTGACACGAAAATAGGTATGTTGCTAGGCAACATATTTAGTTCCTAGGAGCTAAAGTTGAATTTTAGTTCCTAGGAGCTAAAGTTGAATTTTAGCTCCTAGGAACGAAAAAGGATATTCTGGACGTCATCAAGAATAAACAACATTGTGACGGTTGGTTATTTGGGTAGAGACCCATACCTGATTTGTTTCCGATTTCAGCAGATTTGGCATTTCATACCCATGCTGGAGATATAAATACACCTTATTATACGTCTAGCATTGGAATTATAAACATCTTAGTTAAGTATTTTTGTTTTGATCAGGAAAGCCTTCAAGATTCAAATACTTGCTTGATCTGTATATCATTCGATATTCTCGGGATAAATAACTTGTTTTTGAATAATCACGGTAAGCAATAGTTTTTTTGTCGCATTTGATTATCAAGTCAAACACAGTGTAGTATGGAGAGGAATAAATGATCACTATTATCATTGTTGATATGCTCACTAACATTTTCCACGTCTTGTTCCTATAGCTGGCACTGGCGCGGTATTTGCCATCAGAGCACCTGGTCCATACACAAATATGTCACTCTGTGGTTGTATTTATATTGAAACTACAATTCGAACATCCTAGAAAACCTAACCTGCATGCACCACATGGATTATTTGTCAATATTTGTTGCATTGCATACATAATATGGCACGGCATTGGTGGTTACTTCACAGGTTTATTTGAGTTAATTGTTTCGGTTGCAGAAAAAATATCATGTTTCATTCGGATCAAAAGTAACTTTGTTCGACTCGCATATTTTGCTTTCGCTCGGCTTCGCTAAACGCTCCGCCTCGCAAATGCAAAATTCGCTTGTCAAACAAAGTGTCACTTTTGATCCTAATAAAACAATCTACTATTTTTTTACCAGCAGCCTGAGAACCAACGGAATGATATGAATTGCTGTTCCCTACCATCCTAATGTTTTGATAACAAAATAATATACTCCGCTTCACGAGGTTTGGAACTATCCTCATTGGAATATTCGTTTCACAAATAATGTTCACAAACAAATGAGTCGAAACAAAAAAAAAAAGTTTCGTTGTTGTTTTTTTCAGGTCAGTTCAACTCAGGACGATTTTGACTCCAAAGAACAATGCATCACTCAAAAACTGTCGATCAATCTGAAACGGCTGAACGATACTGACACCTCTCGAAATGCATCAGATAAAATGGAATATATCTCTAGTTCCGATGAACACAACGAGGCTGTACCAAATTTTCCACCGCCAAATCCACCTTTGATGTTGAGAATCAATTCTCAAACATTATCTAGTGCCATAGGTGCTGACGGTAAGATTTGAAATGTAAGAACATTAATTTAGGAATGAAGGATGATTAGAATCTGTGCTTGTGGACAGAAAGTCATCGATCATCTTACATCTACAAGTTTTGAGCAGCAGGAGGAAGGAGAAATTTCATTAGATAATATAATTATCTCAAAAATCCAATAAAAAACAAAAAAACTCATCAAGAGAATATGAAACATTTTTCAGGTGCATCAGAAGAGTACCCTTCATAATATCCCCTGACCTCTTATTTTTTCAAGAAAATTGTTTTCAAAACCTTGAAATTCGGATACTTACTTCACCACACTTTAACCCTTTGACGTGTTTTTGTTTCAAGATATGACAAAAAAATGTTTTTTCATATATTTGTAAACACTTTGAACATTTTTTTCGAGTTGACACTCCTAGAAGTACAATTGTAGTCAATGGAACATATGTTATTTATTGAAAAACGAAAGAACAATGGTATAAAATCTACTACCTCGAATTATCCGATGTTGCTTCTGTTTGTAATATTCGCATTATTTTTTATTTCCTTCAAACCCTTTTTGAAACAAACAAAAAAATGACATATAGATTCTCAAACAATCATTCACAATAAATAATTATGACAATCTCAACCTTTTTGGTTTATTTTTCAGGTGTCCGCCTTCTAGTTGGTGATATTGTATGGGGAAAAATTCTCGGTTTTCCTTGGTGGCCAGGAAAAATTCTAACAATCACAAACTGTACTAATCAAGGCCCTCAAGCTCATGTTGCTTGGTATGGATCTTCAACGTCTTCTTTGATGCAATGTGATCAGTTGAGCCATTATCTCGACAATTTCAAGGTAGCTAACAAATCCATTGAAAAGCTTGCCTATTTTCAATATTTCAAATGAGTTTATGCGTTTTTCAAAATTGTTGAATTTTAAAGCTCATTTCAAACATACCATCATGGCTCAGAGGCGGCTCCTCAGAGGAGGCAACGGATGCTGAGCCTCCTCAGAAATTTTCCTTAAACTGATATTATCTATACTTTCTCATCGAAAGGACACCAAAATACATGGATTTTGATTTTATTTCCTGTTTTTGGGTAAATATTTTTGAATTGGCAACAGTGCTTGGCCACGCATCACACGTTGAAGGCAAATCACGCGTAAAATATTCAACTTGGCAACATCTATAGGAGGCTAGACTCCTTCACAAAGCGCAACACACGCGCGCAATGCAAATGCCCGAATAGCACGTGTTTTTCGTGTCGCGTCGCGAATTGCGGACAATCCAGCGCGAGTGCAGAGTTTATGTTTATGTTAGGTTATTGGTTAGGGACTCTATTTTCTGAAAAATGAGTGTTTTAATCGATTGCGATTTAGTGGAATACTTTTTGGTGGACTTATTCAGTGCTTTGTCTTATGAAAATAAACTGATTGTGAAAAACAAACGTCCGACACCGGAATTAAAAAATCTGATTGTAACAGATAACAAACTAAATTGGTCCTTCAATTCTGATAATTATAAAAAATATATCTGGTTGACGGGATCTGAGGTAAGGAATAAGCTATTTTGTTGGTACTGCGTATTATTTTCAACCCATAAGTCATCATGTTGGGGGCGATTAGGATATAATAATTTGAAAAATTTGCCTCGCGGATTGGATAGACACTGCAAATCACAAAAACACATTTCTTCAAGTATTAAGTTCAGGTTAACTGGTAAACAAAATGTCATTAAAGCTATTGATTTGGGTGAGTCATAGAGAGTTGTTTTTCACAATAAATCTCATATCATTCTGCCTCCTCTGCCATGAAAGTCACGAGCCGCCACTGTCATGGCTACCATTTGGCAATACGTAATGGTAACGTCAAAGTTTGTCAACTCACCAATTTTAATCAATTTATCAAAAAGATTATACTCCTGTCGTTGAATAAAACACAAGATAAAACAAAATATAAGGAAGCCATGATATAATCGTTCATTCTTCACTTTTTCGAGTAACCAGCATGTCTAAATATCTCTTACACTCCATAACAAAATAGCATGTTGATGTTGAAGACTAGGCAACAATGTGCTGAATGCTGAGAACTGACAAGGCACCGCCCACAATTCGTGATACCTTGTCACGTTCACCCCCCAATGTCCTGTAGTGTTGATAATAATGTAATAATATTATTATTAACACAAATGTATTAAAGCAATAAGCCACAACAGATGAGGGAATATTTTGAGACAATCGATTTTTCATGTCTAATTAGGATTATAACCGATACAAAATTTAGAATCGATGAATTAGAGAATAATTGAAATTTAGTACAATTTTGAAATTACTTCTAGTACAAATTCAAATCCTGAAACGGCAACAGTGGCAACACTGGCTGTGCGTACATGGCTTTTCTAAGTAGTACGTCATGAAAATGGTGGAGGAGCCGAAATTTTTTCATCACGAATTTTTTCTCAAATCTTTGATCTCACGACAAAAATAATATATATACAGGGTGGGCCACCAGTAACACCTCGGTCTCTAGAAGGCTAACCACTTATCTTCTTGGAATTCTTCCTCTCTAGGAAGTTGCATGTCAACATAGGCTACCATTTAAAATTATTTCGAAACATACAGGGTGTCCCCAAAAACCATAAAACACTGAAGTTAAACTTTTTTCTATCGAACACCCTATATATTATTTCATTTTGAGATTCTCCCTGATGAGCTGATTTCAACGACCCATCATAGTTGGGGTCTAGCAGTTATAATTACTGAAATATAGGGTGTGAAAAATCGAGATTTTCCAAGTTCAAGAATTTTTTGTGTCGAAACTATTCATAATTGGTCAAAACGGCTTACATGTCCCTATCTCAACTTTTGATTAACTATCTACTGATTGGGACATATACCAGGTGATCAAGATTCTGAATTCTGCACCACCCTGTATTTGTTTCAATTGAATGTCAGTAGATAGTTGATCAAAAGTTGAGATAGGGACATGTGAGCCGTTTTGACCAATTATGAATGGTTTAGACACAAAAAATTCTTGAACTTGGAAAATCTCGATTTCTCAAACCCTATATCTCAGTAATTATAACTGCTAGACCCCAACTATGATTGATTGTTGAAATCAGCTCACCAGGGAGAATCTCAAAATGGAATAATATATAGGGTGTTCGATTGAAAAAAGTTCAACTTCAGTGTTTTGTGATTTTTGGGGACATCCTGTATGTTTCAAAATAATTTCAAATGGTAGCCTATGTTGACATGCAACTTCCTAGAGAGGAAGAATTCCAAGAAGATAAGTGGTTAGCCTTCTAGAGACCGAGGCGTAACTGGTGGCCCACCCTGTATATATATATTAATAAAATTTGAATGTTGGAAATTTGAAATTTGCTCATTACCTATCGACCCCGCGTAGTGTTGATGACGTATGACGTAGATGCCAACAACGGTAACATCAACTGTATCAATGGCGTATACAGGATGTCTCAGAGCTTTTAGAACGGTATACAAGGTTTCTTGTCCTTGTATGTAAGATATACAGGGCGATAAGCTCGATGGCGATTAATAGTCTTTTGAATTTTCGTTTCTCCCAAGTCTAGAGTGGGCTCATTAACCCATTTGCGCCGGAATTATATATTCCTTTTCTTCTGAAATTTTATAGCCATGAACTAGTGTGAAATACTTTCGAGAGGCGTGAAAAGTTTAAAGAATCATAAATGAAACTAAGGTTTTCAAAAAAATCTGCTGTTGCCATATGGCAACACTAGGCGCTTGTGATACATGTTTTGGAATATTAACACATTTCGAACACAGTCAACAAGTGATGAGGGGCCAGTACGAATTCCTATATGCGGTAATAACTGAAATTTTGATCCATCTGATCAGTTTTGCCCATAATTATTTGACCCATCACACATCGCGGAATGGAGGTATTAGCAGAATTCCGAAGAGAAGATTGTCCGGCCAATGGTTCAATATCCATTGGCACGGCCGGAGAGTCACCACATTCGCTGAGTATAAGCGCCTAGCGTTGCCAGATAGTAACACGAATATTTGATGCAAATTTTCCACACAAAAAACATTCTTGCAGCTTTTTTCAATATGTCACATACATAACTTGAAGCATGTGCAACATAATTACGACAACAAAAATCGCAAAATCGAATGCGTGAAGACAGGATGATACGTACACGAACGTGACGTCCATGTTTTACGTCAGTTCAAATAACCTCAAAGTTTCACAACTGTCTCTCACCCTAATAGCTAAAAATTTGACTGTCAGGGATTTATTTGAATCTCAATCTGCCTAGCGTTGCCATATGGTAACGCACGGCGCCAATGGGTTAACTCACTGAATGACCATTAGGCTTCCATAAAAATATTCAAAAATGTATGTAGGACATCGCTGATGTACAAATATTTATCAATTGTTACATCTGCAGGTAAGATACAGTAAAAAGAAGAAAGGTCCTTACAAGGAAGCGATCAAACAGGCTACTACTGAAGCAAAGGAAAATGCAGAGAATAGAGTGAGACAACCTTTAGGAAATTCACCTTCTCACAATATCATTCAGGTCGTTCCACCAGCTTTGTCATCACCTAGGGAAATAGATGTAGCATCCTAATTTCACTGTGTTAATTTTCTTCATGATGTAAATTCAATTTTTAAGATTGTTCATTTCATTTTTATCCTTGTACATTATTTTTATAAATTATGAAATGCAATTTTAATCATCTTTGAAGTCTTTTTATTCATCTATTCTTGACCTAGAATCACATACTGACGACCTTTCACCGCCTCAATAACGTCGACGAAACTGCAAAACCAAGTAACTGACAAAAATTCGAAAATGGGATTCTGGCGGCAATCGGTGGGGATGCGTATGCAAAACCTCACAACTGGTAAAAAATTGTAAATATTTTGAAATCCATGAATACAAAACCCCTTATCTGAAAAACAAAATGAAAGGGGTAATCAAAAACAAGTATCTAACAGTTGGCAACGTGATTCACGCCTGATATTTTGTGTTTAATTTCTTTTCACAGAAATCAATCTGCTAATTGGTGAGTGACTTTTTATAGAACAGATATGTAAAACAGTTTATTCTTAACTTCAATTGGTATTTCAACACAGGATGTGAGAATAAATCTCAAGTATTTGTTAAGCGAAAAGTCCGAAAAAATGAAGTTACGTGTTTTTGCGAATTACTTTGCTTTCGCACAGAAGCAGATGTCAAAACCAAGTATCTAATATATAAAATTCTCCTGTCCCGGTGTTAGTGGTCGAACTCCTCCGAAACGGCCCGACCGATTCGTATGAAATTTCTTGTGCGTATTCGGTAGGTATGAGAATCGGTCGTAATCTATTTTTAAATCGAATAGTCAAGATGGCGGATCCAATATGGCGGACGAGTATTGCTATCCGATTTCATTCAAAATTGGTATTTGGGGGTTTTCGGGATCGGAGATTATGATTCTTTATTCGTAAAATTTTGGAAATTCAAGATGGCGGATCCATCCAGACTCGGGGATAATGATTCTTTCATCAAAATTTGGAAATCCAAGATGGGAGATCCAATATATGACGGGCGAGTTTTGTAATTATGATGCGATATTTCATTCAAAATTTGTATCTGGGGGATTTCGGGATTGCAAATTATGATTCTTTCATCAAAATTTGGAAATTCAAGAAGGCGAATCCAATATGGCGGATGGGTTTTGTAATTATGTTTCAATTCTATTCTAAATTAGTATATGGGTGTTTTCGTGGTAGGAGATTATGATTCTTTGGTCAAAATTGGGAAATTTATAAGATGGCGGAACCGATAAAGCGAACAAGTTTTGTTATTATATGATCCAATAATTCTATTCAAGATTAGTATCTGGGATTTTCGGGGTCGGAAATTATGATTCCATCGTCAAAATTAGGAAATTGAAGATGGCGGATCCAATATGGCGGACGAGTTTTGTGATTACCATACGATTCTATTCAAAATTTGTATCTGGGGGTTTTCGGGGTCGGAGATTATGATCTTTTTCTTCAAAATTGGGTAATTCAAGATGGCAGATCCAATATGGCTAACTAGCTAATAAATATTAGATTGAAAAAGTATAATAATACACGCTTTAATAGATAGCTTAACTGGAGGCCAAACTGAAAAGAAGTAGAAGATTGAGTATAGTTTGAAACACTGAAGAGATAAGTTGTCCAACCAAAAATAAGTAGAAAATAAATAGGAGCTTGCAAAACTAAAAGAATGCGATTTAATGGATAGTCAAATTAAAAAGAAGTAGAAAACAAAGTAATAGAAGTGTGTATTCAACTGACAAAATATTCTCTAGAAATAAATGTATATAGCAAAACAACATTTGCCGGATCAGCTATTGCAATAAATAGTAGTTTGAAAAACTAATGAAACACTTTTATGGATGGCCAAACTAAAAAAAAAGTAGAAAATAAAATAACAAAAGATTGTTGATGAATTTTCAACTGAAAAAATATTTTCTAGAAATAGTGTTTATGGCAAAACAACGTTTGCCAGGCCAGCTAGTCAGTTACATAAATTTAACATGACAAAAATTCAGTTATTCAGAAGTTTTTGACTAAAAATTGGATAATAATATTATTTATATGCAACATCAAATCCTCAAAAGAATGTTCATCTCTATACCAGAATAATAGAAAACAAAATCTCCTATACTAAAAAGATGTGGGAAGATAGGTACCTAATTGAAATCACATAAACTCATGATTCTTGCATTGATTTTTTTATAGAAAAGTGTAAATAACTGTAAAATGGACAAAAAACTAAGACTAAGGATGATGAAAATATTACACACACACTACACTATATGTTGAAAAACCCCTTGTCTTATTAATTCTTCACATTCACTACGTGGCAGGTAATGTCTACTGTCTTTCTTCAGGAGTAACACAGATCCATCAGTGAGTTCAAAGCGTCCATAATCTACCAGACACCTCACTTCTATATAAAGGGCTTTTGGAGGCTTCATATCAATTGCCAAATTAACACCTTCATCTCCTATAGATCTCATGTATGATGCCAACATTTGTGAGTATTTTGAAAACCACTCAATTTCTTCAGCACTGAGATTCACTTTGATATCAGCTGGTAGAATGCTTCCAAACTCCCATCTCATGGTTCTGAGGCATTTGATTCTGTTATAGTGATATGAAAGCAAACAACGCAAGTTTCTTTTGATTCCTGCATGTGCTATTGTTATAGTTGAAATTTTGGAACCAGCAGTGACTAAAGCTGACTCATTATCAGATGTAGATCTGGATAAAGATTCTAGTGAGATTTTTACATTATCAATAACAGGAAAGAACTTACTGTGCATCCTTTATTTGTTCCAAAAGTTGTTTGATTTCATTTGATACAGCATTGACCAAGTCTGTCTGAAATAGTTGATATATTCAGTGAATGCAGGGACCAGGGCCAGAGGACAATGAACATTATTAATTTGCTGACAATATATAATCAAATGATTTGCTCTTACTGCTTTTGAAAAAATGTTTCAAGCATTTCATAGTTCCCTACATCCTATAATAATTCTATAATCCTTGCCTTCCATAGCTACTTACATTATATGGAGGTAATGTTTCCTTACAACGAGATAATTCTTTGATAAGGGCAAAACCCTTCTCACCATACATGTTTGAGATATGAATTTATTTACTGAATTTTATTAGCGAGTTTATTCATTTAATAAATAAAATAATAAAAATAACACATTTGGTACAAACTTTAAGATTTAAAAGTCCACATAAAATAGGTTAGATTGGACTTCTTCTTAGTTCATATTAGCAAACCTGAGAAGCTTATGGCATTGAGCAAGGAATATATACGACTACAGACTACAGATCGTATAATCCTTGGGCATTTGGATAAAAAAACTAGAAGTTGCAATTGTTAGGTTATCAAGACAACATTGTCATGTCAAAGTTTGATTCACAATATTTTGGGTGTTGGCATTTTATTTTGTGATAAGAATTTTATTTATGAGTAGAATGATAGTTTAGTTGAATTATAAAAATAACATTATATAATAATCTCCAATTCAACCATGTGGAAAGCTGCAGCAGGGCATCAAGTTAACATTAGTAATCAGAGTACAGAAGATGATGAGTGGGAAACAGATCCTGATTTTGTTAATGATGTTGATGAACAGCAACAAAGATGGGGTTCAACGACTGTTGAGGGATCTGGACGTACAGCAGGAACTATTGAGTAAGTATTTCAGAGCTCATTTCCTTTTTGGAATAACTGAGAAGAAATTTAATACAGTACCTACTGAGCTTGATTCATTTTTAGTATGGCAAAACTGAGGAAAGAAACGGAGGAATCTGACACATTGAAGAAGAAGAAAGCCCTAGAAGAAGGTGATTTCAATCCAGCCTATGGCTATGGTGGCAAATTTGGAGTTCAGACAGATCGAATGGATCAGTCTGCAGTAGGTCATGAATATGTTGGGAAAGTTGAAAAGCATGCTTCACAGAAAGATTATTCTGCAGGATTTGGGGGAAAATATGGTATACAGACAGATAGAATTGATAAGGTAGGTAACAAATTTAGAGAAATCAGAGGATGTATTGTATCTACCTCAATAACCTATGATATAGGTACCAACCCAAATCATTGTTTTCTTTCAATATAAGTACAATTGAGTGTTTGTTTTGCACACTTCTTTATTATAAAGATGTTGAATCACTGGATATTTTTGTTCACTTTCAATTGGTAGTCATGATATGATCCTAAACATTTTTCAATTTTCACCATGTGGCATCAATTCAGGAACATTAATAATTTGTTTCTGTTTTATTTTTAGAGTGCTGTCAACTGGGATCATAAAGAAAAGGTGGAAAAACATGCCTCACAGAAGGACTATGTAGCTGGTTTTGGAGGAAAATTTGGTGTGCAAACAGACAGGCAGGATAAATCTGCAGTAGGGTGGGATCATGTAGAGAAGGTTGAAAAACATGAATCACAGAAAGGTAAGTCAGGAATTTTTTGGCCAAACATTCTGTATAGAAGGTTGAAAGACATGAACCACAGAAAGGAAAGGAGAAAGAAATTATCAGACCAAACTTTCTGCTTTCTCACATTGTACAACCATCCAGTGAATTAAATTTGTAAATAAATATCCATTGTATTGTATATTGGTTTCTGTAAGTTTCTGTGTATTTAGTCGTTTATACTGAAAGGTTCACTGGATGATGAAGGATGTATTTGATTTAGGTTGTATATGGAATTTCAAATGAGTCACATGTTACCAGATTGGAGGTCTATTAAAGAGTGACTGTGACTGACTGACTGTGCCCATGATATCAGCTTATTACATTAAATCTTTGACAAGACATCTGACATAAAATATAAATAAAAAGACAAATGACATGACACATGACATTCTGACAGTTTCCTCATTTTTTGTGTTTTTCCAAAATGTCATTGAATATTCAAAGTACAAAAATCCTATTCCTGTTCTCATAACCAATAATAATTTATATGAAAACTATCTGAGCAGTCTGAATATTTTGCTTTTTGTATCTTTTGGATTGTGTAAATTGGAATCCCTATGATGGTTGTTACAATCCTTCATACCTGGAGAGATGGTAGGTATTGGACAGGGGTGTTCCATCCATGGGTGCAAAGGCAAGCATCTGTTTTTTTGAAATTTGAAAGTTCTCTCAATCCACATGTGTTTTAAAGCTATTCTCTTTCTGGAAGTCTCACATGTGAGATTGAAATGCAAACAATCAGGTATAGGTGGAAGACTGCAATGTGTTCTAGACTAGAGTCTTATAAGAGTGAGGTGATTCACTATTTCATGTACAAGGTGTTTCATAATATATGTGCAAGACTTCAGGATGTGATAGCTCCTCCAAAAATATGAAAAAAGTGTCTATCAACTTACCCTATATACAAATCACACACATATAGGATCATTACAATTTGCTATTATTGTTGCAGTGGAGCAACATTAATGAAGAAGGTACCTGTGAGAGTTTTGTAGGTTTTCAATATATCTGTGGTGCTAACAAAAATCCTCCAAGATGCTAGAAGTAATCTTGCTCAGGTTGGGCCATTGATGATATCAACTATAAATCCACGGTAACCTCAGGAGCTGTTTTGAAGCATAATTCCAAATTTGCAAACATTATTCTACACTTGACAAAATTGAAATTGTTGTGAGTTGAAATGTTTCCTTCTTCATATTGGCTTAGAAAGGGCTTCCCTAGGGCTGCAGCTATGAGCATGTTGTGGTCATATGAAATATCTCCTGGTTTTGGTATGGAATGTATGATACCTAACCCACCATGCGTCTACCTCCTTTGCAGAGAGGGTTTATAAACGCCGAGTTGATACTCTCCCCTCGTAAGGGTACCTGCCGTGTTTCCATAAAGACATATAAAGGTGAATATATGTCTATCTGTTTGCTTGAGAATGTATCTGGAAAGGAAATCAATATATCGCCTTCCGTAGGAATATAAGGATCTGAATAAAATTCTGAAATGTATACTCTGGTCAGTTCTCTTTGCGGATCTTCTGTTTAGTTCGTCTTGACTGGATGGTTTTCTCCGATTTTTTGACAAGTATCAAACACCTTGCTTTTCGGATCTGCAACTAAACATCACATATCAAAATATCCATGAAAATTAAAAATAATTTCCATGAGAGGTGGAACATAGAATAGATGTCGAATCTGAAACATACCTGAATAATATTTCCAACAAGCGTAACTGATGGATTGCTACCTATTCGCTATCCTTCCAAATAGTGGTTTTCCCAGTAGACATCTGCTACATTTTGAATTTCGTGGGTTATAATAAGGACCATGAATGCCAAACAGTGTGCTGCTCAGATCTAAAACTAAGCATCAATTTGAAATTTGAATCGTGAGACGTACATAGAATATAAATCTATAAAGTCTGAATATTGTTATGAACAATCGTAACTAAAACGCGATATATTTTTATGATTATTCATCAACTCTCTCAATGCAGACGACGTAGGCAGATAAACAACGATTTTCTCTGCAATGAAAAACACTGTATATACCTAACCCACCATGCGCCGACCTCCTTTGCAGAGAGGGTTTATAAACGCCGAGTCGATACTCTCCCCTCGTAAGGGTACCTGTCATGTTTCCATAGAGACATAAAGGTGAATATCTGCCTATCTGTTTGCTTGAGAATCTGGAAAGGAATTCAATATATCGCCTTCCGTACGAATATAAGGATCAGAATTTTGAAAAGTATACTCTGGTCAGTTCTCTTTGCGGATTTTCTATTCGGTCCGTTTTGCCTGGATGGTTTTCTCCAATTTATTGCCAAATATCAAACACTGCTTTTCGGATCTGCAACTGAATATCACATATCAGAAAGTCCATGAGAATTAAAACTGATGTTGAATCTGAAACATACCTGAATAATATTTCCAACAACCGTTCCTGGAATGCTTCATATTCGCTCTCCTTCCGAATAGTGGTTTTCACAGTAGCCATCTGCTAGATTTTGAATTTCGTGGGTAATAATAAGGACCATGAATGCCAAACAGTGTGCTGCTCGGATCTAAAACAAAGTATCAATTTGAAATTTGAATCATGAGACGTACAAAGAATATAAATCTATGAAGTCTGAATATTGTTTTCAACATTCGTAACTAAAACGCGATATATTTTTATGATTATTCATCAACTCTCTCAATGCAGACGAGGTAGGCAGATAAACAACGATTTTCTCTGCAATGAAAAACACTGTATATACCTAACCCACCATGCGCCGACCTCCTTTGTAGAGAGGGTTTATAAACGCCGAGTTGATACTCTCCCCTCGTAAGGGTACCTGTCATGTTTCCATAGAGACATAAAGGTGAATATCTGCCTATCTGTTTGCTTGAGAATCTGGAAAGGAATTCAATATATCGCCTTCCGTACGAATATAAGGATCAGAATTTTGAAAAGTATACTCTGGTCAGTTCTCTTTGCGGATTATTCGGTCCGTTTTGCCTGGATGGTTTTCTCCAATTTATTGCCAAATATCAAACACTGCTTTTCGGATCTGCAACTGAATATCACATATCAGAAAGTCCATGAGAATTAAAACTGATGTTGAATCTGAAACATACCTGAATAATATTTCCAACAACCGTTCCTGGAATGCTTCATATTCGCTCTCCTTCCGAATAGTGGTTTTCCCAGTAGCCATCTGCTAGATTTTGAATTTCGTGGGTAATAATAAGGATCATGAATGCCAAACAGTGTGCTGCTCGGATCTAAAACAAAATATCAATTTGAAATTTGAATCATGAGACGTACAAAGAATATAAATCTATGAAGTCTGAATATTGTTTTCAACATTCGTAACTAAAACGCGATATATTTTTATGATTATTCATCAACTCTCTCAATGCAGACGAGGTAGGCAGATAAACAACGATTTTCTCTGCCATGAAAAACACTGTATATACCTAACCCACCATGCGCCGACCTCCTTTGCAGAGAGGGTTTATAAACGCCGAGTTGATACTCTCCCCTCGTAAGGGTACCTGTCATGTTTCCATAGAGACATAAAGGTGAATATCTGTCTATCTGTTTGCTTGAGGATCTTGAAAGGAATTCAATATATCGCCTTCCGTACGAATATAAGGATCAAAATTCTGAAAAGTATACTCATCTGGGCAGTTCTCTTTGCGGATTTTCTGTTCGGTCCGTCTTGACTGGATGGTTTTCTCCAATTTATTGACAAGTATCAAACACTTTGCTTTTCGGATCTGCAACTAAATATCACATATCAGAAAGTCCATGAGAATTAAAACTGATGTTGAATCTGAAACATACCTGAATAATATTTCCAACAACCGTTCCTGGAATGCTTTATATTCGCTCTCCTTCCGAGTAGTGGTTTTCCCAGTAGCCATCTGCTAGATTTTGAATTTCGTGGGTTATAATAAGGACCATGAATGCCAAACAGTGTGCTGCTCGGATCTAAAACTAAGCATCAATTTGAAATTTGAATCATGAGAGGTACAAAGAATATAAATCTATAAAGTCTGAATATTGTTTTCAACATTCGTAACTAAAACGCGATATTATTTTATGATTATTCATCAACTCAATGCAGACGAGGTAGGCAGATAAACAACGATTTTCTCTGCAATGAAAAACACTGTATATACCTAACCCACCATGCGCCGACCTCCTTTGCAGAGAGGGTTTATAAACGCCGAGTTGATACTCTCCCCTCGTAAGGGTACCTGTCATGTTTCCATAGACATAAAGGTGAATATCTGTCTATCTGTTTGCTTGAGGATCTTGAAAGGAATTCAATATATCGCCTTCCGTACGAATATAAGGATCAGAATTCTGAAAAGTATACTCATCTGGGCAGTTCTCTTTGCGGATTTTCTGTTCGGTCCGTCTTGACTGGATGGTTTTCTCCAATTTATTGACAAGTATCAAACACTTTGCTTTTCGGATCTGCAACTAAATATCACATATCAGAAAGTCCATGAGAATTAAAACTGATGTTGAATCTGAAACATACCTGAATAATATTTCCAACAACCGTTCCTGGAATGCTTTATATTCGCTCTCCTTCCGAGTAGTGGTTTTCCCAGTAGCCATCTGTTAGATTTTGAATTTCGTGGGTTATAATAAGGACCATGAATGCCAAACAGTGTGCTGCTCGGATCTAAAACTAAGCATCAATTTGAAATTTGAATCATGAGACGTACAAAGAATATAAATCTATAAAGTCTGAATATTGTTTTCAACATTCGTAACTAAAACGCGATATATTATTATGATTATTCATCAACTCAATGCAGACGAGGTAGGCAGATAAACAACGATTTTCTCTGCAATGAAAAACACTGTATATACCTAACCCACCATGCGCCGACCTCCTTTGCAGAGAGGGTTTATGAACGCCGAGTTGATACTCTCCCCTCGTAAGGGTACCTGTCATGTTTCCATAGAGACATAAAGGTGAATATCTGTCTATCTGTTTGCTTGAGAATCTGGAAAGGAATTCAATATATCGCCTTCCGTACGAATATAAGGATCAGAATTCTGAAAAGTATACTCATCTGGGCAGTTCTCTTTGCGGATTTTCTGTTCGGTCCGTCTTGACTGGATGGTTTTCTCCAATTTATTGACAAGTATCAAACACTTTGCTTTTCACCTGTTTGCTTGTTAATCTGGAAGAGAAATCCGATTTAGACTAAATTCTTGCTGCATTACCGAAGTTTCCGCAATATTTTCATAATATAACAACTATACTATTTCGTATTTTTCCACTGCTGAATAACCCATTTCAATTCAAAGACCGACAGAGATGTCGAAAAATGCCTGTTTTGTTTCCATGGCATTTCTGTGGTGTCTACAGCTATCTAAATGTTATTGGAAACTTTGATTCAATCCCAAATGAAAAATGGTTTTAGGAAAAATTTGCAAACTATACAGGATGTCCGGAAAGGTGATGTTGTAAATGATAGGACTGATAGAGTGAGCCAAAATAATGTTGGTACTTCATATAAAAAAAAGTATATCGCGCTTCGTTTCGGAGATATTGACCTTGAAAGTAGGATTAAAACAAAAAGAATTTCATGTATAACTTTCCAACCATCATTATTTTATGAAATACTGAAAATGTAACGAGCACTTGAAACTATCGATAGGTCACCAAATTTTACTCTAATGAGGTTGAACTTTGAGGACTGATTGTTTTTTTTGTGATAAAATTGGACTTTGAATCAGGAGTTCAACAAACATTCTATTTCGAAAAATAATGATGAAAAAAAAAGTCAAATTGAATGCACCCTGTTGAAAAGTAGTAATATAAACTGAATATACCTATGTAGTATGAATCGATTATACACCATGGTTCAAAAGTTATGAGCTGACCAGAGAAAGATTTTGCCAAAATCAAGATAACGTTCTGTATCACAGTTATAAAAGATGGTAGACACATCGATATATGTACATTTATATCTGAAACACCCTGTATAGCCAAAAAATTTGATTTGATGAAATAATCTCGAATCGTCTTATTTTCTTCTGGTTTGCTCTTTTCGTATTATTTTCTTCTGAAAAAATACCGTTCTGAACGGAAAGTACGAAAATCAGAAGAAAGTATATCGTCATCGTAAAATATTCAACAAACGGTACCTCTGTGATTGTGAAAACATATAAGGTAATGAAGTTGTAAGTAAAGATGGAAATATGAGGAAAACTTGAGAGAATTTCTCATTACTCACCAGCGTGAAAAATGCTTTGATCAAACAACACGAAACACCAGAACAGCACACGATCGCGATAATGTAATCACTGAATTGAATGAGGAACCTGTACCCTGTATTTTTATTTTCCCTGAAGAGCTGATTTCATCGATGCATCACACTTGAGGTCTATCGGAAAAGATTACGGAGATATAGGGTGTTCAAAATTGAGATTTTTCAACTTTAAGTTTTGTTTGTCTTGAAACTATTTACTATTTACTGAAACAGATACAGGATTATCAAAATTCTGAATCTTGAACCACCCTGTATCTGTTCTGATTAAATATCAGGAAAATGTGAATCAAGAGTTGAGATAGGGACATGTGAGCCGTTTTGACCGATAATGAATAGTTTCGACACAAAAAAATCCTAAAGTTGAAAAATCTCGAATTTGAACACCCCATATCTCTGTAATCATTTTTGATAGACCCCAAGTGTAATATATTGATTAAATCAGCTCTTTAGGCAGAATCTAAAAATGCGATGAAATACAGGGTATTCCATTTGAAATATCAATGTTGTTACTACTTTCTAATAGAAGCGGCAACAGTGCATTGTCGAAAATAATTTATATGAAGGTAGCGTATTCTGAAATATCAGCATGCACATTTTCATGGATTTCTCCCGACTGATTCTCGATATAAAGGTAGTGTAAGCTCGTCGTGACATACCCTGTATATTATATATTGATTATAAAAGATCGAGTAGAAGATGGAAGACACATCCATAGTGATTGGAACCACCAAAGTGTCCTCTATCTACAGGTTTAGTATGTACATTCAAATCTGAAACACCCTGTATAGGAAAAAGGTATTTTTCCATGGAAAAATTTCGAATCGTCTTATTTTCTTCTAGTTTGCTCGTTTTGAATTATTATCTTGAAAGTATTCAACGAACAGACGTTTCTTATGTTGAAAACATATATGGTAATTAATTTAAATATAAACAGGGAAATATGAAGAAAAACAGAATCTCTATTCACTCACCAACGTGAAAAATGCGAAGCTTTGATGAAACAACACGAAACACCAGAACACACACACGATCGCGTTAATGTAATTATGTGATCACTGAATTGAATGAGGGATACAAAAACACTACACTTGCACTCATTTTCAAGTGAACACTACGTTTGGAACGATAAATAATTCCTTTCGCGTATTTTTCAATTGCGAACACTAAATTCGACTGTACGTGATGACATCTAATATAAGACTGTCTTGCTTCACCACCTGGTCTCGAATGAATGACTAATAGGTTGAATCATATGCTGCTAACCGATTAATCCCCGAACAAATGAGTTATCTATGACTAAATGACGATAATGAAATTATACAGGGGGAACAGGTATATAGTATACAAGATATAAGATGAAGAATTGAACACGGCACATATACTGGCACTATTATTTTCGAAAGTCTAACGATTTGAAAAAATTAAACACAGGCTAAAAACATAATTTTCTCTAGTAATTTGAACGAATTTTACAGTCAGAAGTAGTGAAAAACTCTAGCAAATTTCTTGAAGAGTGGAAAATGCACAAGGAGACATACAGGGTGTTTCAGATTTAAATATCTACATTTTGGTTTAGACTGCCAGGCTTCTCTACGAAGTTATTAGAGTTGGCCATGGAGTTTCCAAGTTTTACTTAAACGATTATTATGTTTGAATTACTATACAGGGTATGTCGACGAGCTTACACTATCTGTATATCGAGAATCATTCGGGAGAAATTCATGAAAATTTATGCATGCTAATATTTTAGATTACGCTCTCTTCATTTGAAATATTTTCAGCAATGAATTGTGAAATCCATCACCTAGAAACAAATTAACAATAAGGAAAAGTAGATATATCTACCTGCTAGGTAAGAGGTAGGTCATACTTGTACCTATTTTAAAAGGAATCAATGAAGATTATATAGTGAAACTTTAAAATTGCATCAATAAAGAATGAGGTGTTGATTGAGGCAGTTGTGGAATTGAAATATGAATTTTGAAAACCTACAAGAAAATCATTACAAAAACCCAAAACAAAACTAGAACTGTTACTTATGAATAAAATACAGTTTAATAAAAACATACAAGCAGCAAAATTATAAATAAATATTTCCAAGATACAATTTGAAATGTCATGGATATGTTCAAGTACCTAAATAATCAGTGATATATCCTTAAAAATTTGAATTCAACTTCAAGGAATGAATTGAAACTGTATATCATGCTATCAACTGAATCTGGGTTTTGGTTTCAATTTGTGTAGCTATCTGCACTTAATTGCAAGATACCCTGGATGGCAACTCTTCCCCTGCTGAAAAATTGAAGAAGAAATGTTAGTACCTACTATAAACAAACCATATCTATGAACTATTACACAATCTGAATATTCAAATAGAAATAGGTTGTGTCACTTCAATATACACCTATGTTCAAAGATTCAATTCAAACTATGAAGTAAATGCTACCTACAAAAACTGCTGACTACTTTGTTCATACCAGGGTTATTATATATTTATAAAATAAGCTTCTGTTGTTGCTCATATGAATGTAATAGGGAGCTGTATTCTAACTTAATTGTTTTCGAAGTACATGCAATCTGCATTGGCTATTTAACTACAGAGATGATACTACAAAATAGGAATCTATAAAGACCTAGGCAGGATGCCATGAACAATATTTCAATATGATTCAAAGAAGGCAAGCGCATTACAAATAGAACCATAAATTACCCACCTGCACATGTTCATATTGTCATATACTTTCTTGTCTAGCCTTGTGTATTGCAGTTCAAAAGTCAAAGGCATTGAATTTGCTTCTTTATTTTCATTATAAGAATATTTGAAAGAAAAACCATACTTATTTACTAAGTCCTAGTTTCTGGAGACATTTCCCCATAAACAGAATATGAACTGTTGATCATTTAAATCATGTTCTCTCTCAGATAGGTACTACAAATAAGAGTCAATTATCAGTAATAAATATATCTATGAATCACAAATTCACCTAATTGTTTTCATTATTGGACCAATGAAGTGAAGAAAGGTAGTAAGTTTTTGTTGGAGCTGCCAGCATCCAATTCATATTTGATTCACAACGCTTATCCATTTCTTCCATTCAACAGAACTGATTTTTTATCATCAGAAAAGACTTCTTAAGGGCAGGAAATTCATTTTAAAAGACATTATAGGTCCTATATTTTTCCATTGGAACCTTCTACTATTTTTTTTGTGGGAGATATAATTCCCATATCACTGATAAACTTGAAACTTCTGTGAGTTGTAATGTTGATTTCTTTATATTGGCTGTCGTTTGTGGTTATGTGTGATTGTCACTGCTTGTCATAGTGTCCGTACTCTGATATACAAGAAACGTCAAAATCAGCAGTGTCAAGTACATTTAGGAACTCTAGGTGCAGCTAGGTATGAATGAAATCATCGATGACATTCGTTTCAGATTACAAAACCGGATTCGGAGGCAAATTCGGCGTACAGGCGGACAGACAGGACAAGTCCGCCGTGGGCTGGGACCATCACGAAGTGCCGCAGAAGCACGAGAGTCAGCTCGATCACAAGAAGGGGTTTGGCGGCAAGTTCGGCGTGCAATCTGACAGATTCGACAAGTCCGCGTCGAGCTTTGATCCGCCCGCCAAAGTGGGAACGAACTATACCAGGACCAAGCCAGATATCGGCGGAGCGAAGCCGTCTGAGTTGAGGTCAAAATTCGAAACTTTGGTTAGTGGACTGTTGCTTTTTCAGTTTTCATTCTTGATTTTTACACCAAGGCTTTCCATTCTATTGTTACGTTATTCGGGTGCAAAAGCGAACACGACACTATTTATTTTCGAACTGATTTATCTTAACTAAAGGAACACTAATTTATATCGAACTTATAACTACTATTTATGTAAAAGGATTTATATCACGCGGTATATGACTGTCTCTCTGACACTCGCTGCTTGACTGACTGCAGTTGTCCGGCCGTCCATATAAATGGGATCCCTTGGTAGGCCTCGCTTCTCTAACGTTCTTTTTGTTCTAGAAGCTCCTTAGAACAATACTTCTCTCTCTAATTGTTCCATCGAACATTCCAGAATCATTGGGGTGTTGGAGAACAATCTGGGATGCGTGTTACAGGATGATCGTTGTACTCCTGCCTTCCTGATGATGCTTCTAAAGCCCCTCTACTCTAAGGGGAAAATAATTACACTATCATAATTCAGACATTTTCTGAATGACTTTGAATTTCAAATGAAGTCACTATGAACGTTCATCACGATGAGAAAAGTCACAGAGCTTTTAATTCCTTGATGGAAAATCGTCAAGAGGTACTAGCGTCACAGGTACTGTAATTATTGTAAAAAATTATAAATATAGTAAATCGAAAATCACTATTCAGTGACATAAACAGCGTTGTCGTCTCAACCCATACTTTACTCCCTGGATGAACTGAGCAAGACAGTTTAAAACTCACTTGTTCTCTGTTTTCTTATAAACTGGATTCTGCCATATTATGATGCACACATATTATGATACAGGTATTGAGTATACAGAAACGTTTAGTTAGATTGTATGAACCCCGATATAAATGTATAATTATGAGAATTAGACTGAATTTTGTTGCTGCTGATGGAACCTACAACATGCTACGAACTACTCAATACATTATAAACTTGTAGAATTATTGGTAACAGAGGTAATACATATATTGGTGACATTTATTACCTCAATGGATTGATATCAATAGATATTAAAAATATCTCGACAGTTAACAACTTGGCAACGTGTTGGCCGAGCTTCGGCGAGATTGGCGTAGCAATATCAACAAGTGACGTCAAGACGTCATCAATATCTGTTTTGTTCTTCAAGTAATCTTTGTTGGCAAATATCGAAGATGCGTCATTTTAATAAATTACCGGAGAGTCAGGTTAGGTTCTGTTCCGACCGCCAGAGTGGGAACGAACTATACAAGGACCAAGCCAACATTGGTTAGTGGACTGTTGTTTTTCCAGTTTCTATTCTTCATTTTTACACTAAGGCTTTCCATTCTCTCATAATTCAGATATTTTCTGAATGATTTTGAATCTCAAATGAAGTCAGTATGAACGTTCATCACGATGAGAAAAGGCACATAGTTTTTTATTCCTTGAAGAGTTCCCCATATAAATTCCCAAACAAATGCTTCCATCATAACACGACGGTAACTCGTCAGAGGTACTAGCGACACAGGTACTATAACACGTCGACCGTCTATTGGTAGTCGAGAGAAATCGAAAATCACTATTCAGTGACATAAACAGCGTTGTCGTCTCAACCCATACTTTACTTCTTTGGAAGTTTCAACATTAATCGCTTCCAAACTTCAACTGATTTCAACAATATCATGGATGAACTCAGCAAGACAGTTAACACTCAGTTGTTCTCTATTTTCTTATAAACTGGATTGTGCCTAAATATGAAGCACACATATTATGATACAGGCATTAAGTATACAAAATCGTTCAGTTAGATTGTATAAACCCCGATATAAACATATAATTATGAAGATTATACCGAATTTTGTTGCTGATCGAACCTACAACGTGCTTTGACCTACTCGATGAAACATAAATCAGTATTATAAGTTGAATTCATTATTCCAAATTTTTGGGATTTTCTCTCCTCGTTTCTATAAAATAAAAATATGAATATTATTTCAATATATGTAAGTCGAAATTTTGTTTTGTTCTCTGAAAAACGCGAATATAATAATGAAAATGTGAACAAACCATTATTTATAAAGATATTTCACTATATAGTTACAGATTTCACCTTCTCTTCCGCCTGTCTTTTGGATCGCATTTAGAACAATTTGCAATTTTTTTTTTCATCATTGTACAATTTATATGTCACAATGTACTTCGATGAAACATTTTTTTATACATGAAAGTCAACTAGAAATATGATTTTTTGTGGTATCTAGTGAAAAGAAGGAGAAATATCATTCAAAATCAATCTTTTGACATTTGACATCTCGTATTTGGATTGATTATTGATTAAATGGTCGTCATCAGGTATGATTGTTTACTAGATAATATGAAAAACTCGCCAAAAATCATATTTTGTGTTGAATTTTCTATTTAAAAATGTGTCATTGAAGTACATGGTAAGTATATAGAGTGTCCAATGACAAAATAAGAAGAGCAAGTAGCTCTAAATGCATGAAAGACCGTGGGGAAAAGAACGCGAAATTTCGAACTTTTTCTTGAAATATCTCGATAAATGGTGGTTTGTTCTCATTTTCATTATCGAATTAGTGTTTTTCAGACAAAAATACGTAGGTGGCAAGAACATTTTTCGAAAAAAAATTCCATCGCATAATGAATCCAAAATTAGCATATTTTGATTAGAAAATGGTGAAGTGAGTCCGTGGGACGAGTATTTTTTTCTGGTAGTTTTTTGAGTTAATTCGCCTAGAAGCAACAACACTGGAATTATAAATTTCAGGTTTACTTTGACAGAAGAAAAAGCTTGAATATAATTTAATGAATACAATATAAATAACATTGTTGTTGAGTTTTTTTTTCAATTTTTCCATTCGAAAACTCCAAATTGCTACATTTTCCACAAATCTGTTACTTTTCTGACAACGCAAGTTTGAGAAAAATGGACATAAACGTCATTAAAAATATGTTTTTCTGCAACCAACACAAAAGTGGTCCATTTTAATACCAAAATTAGCTCTTGAATTCGATTACTGACACAAAAATAGGTATGTTGCCAGGCAACACATTCAGTTCCTAGGAGCTAAAGTTAAACTTTAGCTCCTAGGAACTAAAAAGGATGTACTAGAGGTCATCAAGAATAAACAACATTGTGACGGTTGGTTATTTGGGTTGGTACGCATACCTGATTTGTTTCCGATTTCGGCAGATTTGGCATTTCATACCCATGCTGGAGATATAAATACACCTTCAGGGAAGTCTTCAAGATTCACATCATATTTGTTTGATCTGTATTTCATTTGTTATTCTCGGGATGGACAATTTATTTTTGAATGATCACGGCCAGCAATAGTTTCTTGTTTCTAACAACGATATTGTTTACCTTCATTTGATTATCAAGCCAAACACAGTGGACTATGGAGGGAAATAAATGATCGTCAGTGTTATTGTTGATATGCTCACTAACCTAACTTTTTCCACGTCCTGTTCCTATCCTATACCTGGCACTGGCGCGGTATTTGCCATTAGAGCACCTGGGCCATACACAAATATTTGTTGCATTGCATACATATGGCACGGCATTGGTGGTTACTTCACATATTTATTTGAGCTAATTGTTTCGGTTGCAGAAAAAATAGCATGTTTTATAGAGCAGTTCAGCTACCGTTGAGAGAGAAAAAAAATGTCTTCCCATCTGTCCTTGTCTTCAGTGTTCCAACATGAAATAATGAAAATCTTATGTCGCCAACACTGGAAATGAGAAGAAATGGAGAAGAAGACCGTTCTAACCTTCTTTTATATCGAGGTTAATATGATATTCTTCTTCATTTTTTCCCATTTCCAATGATGCCAACATAATATTTTCATTATTTTATGTTGGAACACTGAAGACAAGGACAGATGGGGAAGACATTTTTTTTCTCTCTCAACGGTAGCTGAACTGCTCTATTCGGATCAAAAGTGACTTTGTTTGACTCGCAAATTTTACAAAATTCAACCAAAGTGTCACTTTAGATCCTAATAAAACAATCTTAGGTTCAGTTTTTTTCCTAGTATAATAAATAACTATATTAGGCTCAAGAAAAAAAAGCTGATTCGGCTGCATCGTCTCCAACACCTCGGAAAATACACGCCAAAGCGTCGCTTTTCGCCAACGCTCAAAAGGAGGAGTCTTCAGAACAGCCCCCAGAGAAGGTTTTCGTTCCCAAGCAGCTGGATCAGTCGAAGACTGCATTCTTGACTCAGACCAGTCAACCAGAAGTTGCGTCGACCGAAAAGTCCACCGAAAAGTCCACTAACAAGTTGGACCAGTCTAAAATGGCGTTCTTGACACAGTCGAGTCAGCAAGATGCGGTTGAAAAAGAAGAGAGGACGCCTTCGAAGTTGCTGGATTCTGCGAAAGTTACTCAGTTTGATGCTCCAACTGAAGAAAGTGTCAGAGAGAAAGAAAACAATATGGTGAGTTTGAATGAAAAAGTCAGGTGTATATATATCCAGACATTCTGTGTTTCACTGAAACTTGGTATACAAGCGAGGAAGTTTCCATGGTGAAATTGGACGGCTACGATTTGGCAGCCTCATATTGTAGAAAGTCAATGACAGGTGGAGGAGTAGCTATATTCATCAAGAAAAATGTTGAATGTATTTTCAATGAGATTGAAGTGAGCCAGGTAAAGGATCAATTATTTGAGGTAATCACAATTAGACTGAAGCAAAATGATTATACTTTGAAAATAACCTGTCTTTATCGTTCTCCAAATGCAGATGATCTTTATTTCATTCTTGCTCTAGAAAATCTCTTGAATATGACAAATAATCACAAAGGAAAAACAATAATATGTGGTGATTTCAACTATGATTTTTCTGACAACAACAAAAAATCAACCGATATCGTTTCACTTCTTTCTTGCTTTGGATTGGTTAAACAATTCCATGAGTATTCTCGTATACAAAGTACTTCTAAAACCTTGATTGACAATATTTTACTGACATCGAGAGTGAACAGTTGAGCACACAAAATTTCACTACACCGTTATCTGATCATGAAGCTCAGCTATTCACCTGTCTCAAATGTCAAGATGAATATCAAGCAGACACCATGATCAGAAAAAGATTCTTTTCATCAGAAAACACTGCAAATTTCAAATACCTGTTGTCCAAGGAATCTTGACAAGAAGTATGCAACTCACAAAACTCGAAAATAGCTTTCGACACTTTTTTCGGAACTTTCTATTCTCTCTTCAATGATGCTTTTCCTATAAAAAAATGTTATCCTAGAAAGAAAAAATATAATCAATGGATTACACCTGACCTAATTGAGGAAGGTGTACTCTTGAGGAAAATACATCAGCTGAAAATTATTTCTCCCAATGATATGGATATCAGAGATAAATATAAAGTTCTGAAGAAACAACATGAGAAAAAAATACTTCTTGCTAAGAAAGATTTTCAGTCACGTAAAATTCTCAATGCTTCGAATAAATCAAGTGCTACGTGGAACATCATCAACTCAACAATAAACATGAGAGACACGAAAGTTCCACACTCTATAACTACTGAAAATAATGTGATACTGAGTGATACTTCGGAAATCGCAAGCGCATTCAATGATTTCTTCATAAATAGTGTAGGAGATTTAACACGATCTTTAACAGTCAATGATAGTTATGATATGAAATTGGAAAATAGCAACTCAAATTCTTTCTACCTAACTCCCGTCGATTGCCAAGAGATATCTGAAATAATTAATACAGTTTGCTCCAAAAACTCGAGTGGAATAGATGAAGTACCATGTCGAATATTGAAGCATGTATTGAATGAAATAGTCGAGGTGTTGACATTTCTTGTCAACATATCTTTTATATCAGGTATATTTCCGCAGCAACTCAAATCTGCTCTAGTTATCCCAGTTTATAAAAAGGGTTGTCAGTCGAATATGTCTAATTACAGGCCGATTGCCTTATTATCAGTCTTTTCAAAAATATTTGAAAAAGCCTTCCAAGTGAGGCTTCTGAGATATCTAAATAAATACAAGCTATTAACCAATAGACAATTCGGCTTCACAAAAAATCTATCTACACAAGAAGCATTGATGTCGTTATATGAACAGCTCTTAAACAATTTTGACAATAAATTGAAAACTTCGACTATGTTTTTTGACTTCTAAAAGGCATTTGATGTTGTCAACCACTCACTACTATTGAATAAATTAGAATTGTATGGAATAAGAGGACCTGCATTAACCTGGGTCAGTTCATACCTCTCACAACGAAGCCAGCAGGTCTGTGTAAAGAAAAATGGGACTACAACAGTGTCGAAGCCATTGAATGTGTCATGTGGTGTTCCTCAAGGTAGCACCCTAGGACCAACTTTTTTTATCATAATGATCAATGATATCTTCCTGAACGTTCAAGATGGACTCCTGACACTGTATTCTGATGACACATCAGTGGTCTTGAACAGCAAAAATTATGAAGACCTTGCTGAAAAGTCAACCAACTGTATCAGTAACATGAAAAGGTGGTGTGACACTAACGGACTGATATTGAATCTATCTAAAACAAACTTTGTTTTATTCACACCTATAACAACAAAATCTGATATCTGCTTATTGGTGAGGCCTGGTAATGAAAATAATGTATCCATCAAACAAAGTAATTCTGTCAAATTCTTGGGTTTACATGTGGATGAAAATCTTTCTTGGGAGACCCACACACGATATTTGGTAAAATCATTGTCATCAAAGATATTGGCAATTTTTCAACTAAGAAAAGTAACAAATACCGAAGCTATAATGGCATACTACTATAGCTGTGTACATTCTCAACTAATGTATGGCATACTATGTTGGGGTAATAGCTCTGGTTCTGAAAAGGTATTCATCAGTCAAAAACGGATAATAAGAAGTATATTTGGTATGAGATCAAGGGACTCATGTCGTCAGATATTCATTTCTCAAAAAATTCCAACCATTTACAATATTTACATTCTGACCGCTCTATGCTTCACTCACGATAATCTTAAAAATTTTAAAACATGTGGTGATATTAATCATTATACAACAAGAAATGCAGCTTCACTCGCACAGATTAGAAAAGGTCCAGTCATAACAGCTCTCAAAATATATAATCATTTGCCTGACTCACTCAAAGTTCTAAAGAATCCTCTATTCAAAAGACAGTGCAAATTATTCCTCAAAAATAAAAGCTACTACTCTCTCATGGAATATTTTGATGATTCATTTTAATTTGTATCATTCGTCTTAGAGTACTTCTGTTTATACATAATTATTTGTAAACTGTTCTATGTCTGTTCTGTTTTTTTTTCTCCCAGATCTTGGGCTAGTGTCTAGTTTTAATATTATTACAGCTTTTATCCTAAATTGACAATTTCTATACTTGTTGTGCAAGTCTTATGAAAAATAAATACTTACTTACTTACTTACTTACTTACTTACTTACTTACTTACTTACTTACTTACTTACTTACTTACTTACTTATTTACTCGGGTTCTACAATCTACTGGCTCACGTGCATCATTTTTCAATTCATCGACATGATTAATGAAAAATTCAGTCAAATTTCCGGCCGTAAGCTTCGCTCATGGCCGAACCTGAAAAATAACATCATTGAAATAGCGAATTACTATCGGCCTCAACAGTAAATGCCTCCAGAGTACATTTTTCAGGGAAGGAGGAAAATAAAACATTTAAAAAAATAAAAAGGGTAGGTTGAACAGGATTTGACGGACGCACAAAACTCACTTGGCTATCGTATTTGTTGCAAAAATATGTACAAAACATTCGAAGTCCCGAAGCAAAGTGAAATCTGAGTCACTAGCCGCTTGGCGCAGTTTCACAGAACTGTTGGCATTTTTTTTTTCTAACGAGAACAAACCTATTGTAACACAACAAATTGATCAAGTTCCTTCATGTAACTTTCTACTAATGATACAGCTTCCTTAAGAAATCATAGTTGATGTGATTATTAAAAAAAAATATTCCAGATTCAGGAAGAATTGGAGTTGCTCAGGCAATTGCAACAACAAAAACAAGATGATTCAGACTCCGACGACCAGGTATATGAAAACTTTGACAGTTCGACTATTAAAAGAGCAGGACACCATACAGAACAGCAAGTAAGTCAAAAAAATACCAGTCATATTTTTGAGAATCGCTGTGATTTTTCATCGATTGGATCAAACTTATTGCTTCAATTTCGTTCATTGATCCACTCGCCCTCGGTTCGATAGTTATATTGACATTGTTTATACAGCACTAATATCACACCAGCAAAGCTAAACCTAAATTGACAAACCACTTCTTTGCTTGATTCAGTTGATAGAGACGTCAAGTGTTCCCCCTGTAAACAAACATATTGATTTTGAATTGTGTCCCATCTAAGAATTATCTTACCATTACTATTGACAATCATTAAATCCATTCATGATCTACTGCTAATTGTTTGGGTGCCCTTCTTGAAATCAAGTAACCTCACAGCTATATTTCAAAAGTGACATTGAAGCAAGAGCATATCAAAATTTCAATATACATTGACCATTGCATCAACGTCAACACTGCAAGTATGCTAGAATATGGCCACTATACTGAACCACTAGAAACTCCACAAAGAAATAATTGCAAATCGTTTAAAACTCAGCATTTCTTACCATTATGGATAATGCCATGAGTGTTCGTGATACTATTATACTATAGAATGGGTCGCGTGCAAGATGACCGACCCTGGAAGTGAAACATTGAAACACAACCTTACTTTTCTGTAAAACATTCAAACAAGCTAATGGATTGAAAATGTTAACACACACGATCATATTTCGTCAGCATGTCAAACCAGTCCTCCCGTTTGATTGCATGAATCCAATTTTTTAGAATTTTCACGAGTATTTCTATTAGCTCCTATTGCAGAAGAAACTCCGATGAGAAATCAGAGAAATTACCAGCTTTCCAATTAAAACTATATGTGAATGACTATTGTAGGTACTTACTTTTAAATCATAATGTACCAATCGGATTCCTTCGTCTTCCGCTGCAGTTTTTGTGCATTTTACAACAGCACAATGTGATGGCATGCGCGAATTAATGAATAGCCGAAAAACACGAATCGTATGCCAAAAAAATTGTGAAAAACTATTTCAATCATTTGTAAACAAATAAGAAACGAGAAAAGTGAGGTTTTGTTTCAATGTTTCACCTCCCGGGTCGGTCATCTGACAGTTTTGCACGCCACCCTTGAAGGTTCATCATAACCTCACATCTTAGCCGCTTTCCAATTGATAAGTTGTTACCCCTGAAATGACCCGGTACTAACCTACACCAACCATTTTTAGTGAAATTTCATTGACGGATTCGGCTCAAAATTTCAATTTGAATTCTCAATGGTAGTGTTTTTATTCATTTTACTTGATTTTCGGGATTTCCTCTCCTCGTTTCTATAAAATGAAGATGTTCTTATTATCTCAATATATTTGTAGTGGAACAAATCAGATGATTTGCCCCAAAATGTCACTGCCTTTAACAAATTTTTTTATCAGGGAGCCAAAAAGAAAAATCCAGTAGCTTGACAGTGACACTTTGTTTGAAATTATGTTTGAAGGAAAGATATATTGAAAAAATATCGAATTTTCACTTACCTTTGGACGTTTCGGGAACGAATCTGCTCCCGTTCTCAACATGAAAATGCAAAATATGTTCCTTTGGAAGTTGTGCTCTGCTCATAGTTTGACTTTCATACACACGTTATAACACACGAAACAAGTGTAATCAAATCATAATTCCAAGACCTGAAAAAAAAATACGCGAAAAAGATATCATCTGTACTTGGCGCCAAAACTATACTACTATTATACTATACCGGGTGGCTACGGAAGTATTGCCTACGGAATATCTCAGTAATTGTATGAAGTAGGTTTGTGAAATTTGGAGCGTCGATATAATGACATAAGAGCTAGAATTTGAGCATATTGACATATCGAAGTTAACTTCCGGTCTGACCGGAAGTAACATCAACTTTATTATTTTAAATAGAAACCCTATTTTTTTTCTTTTCGCTTTATTCAGCATTCAATTCTCTTTCTAATGACATATCACAAGTTGGTATCTAACCAGAAACTAGATCAACAAAAAAAATTATCAATTTGAATTTTTTTTTTCGATAAATTGTTTTTTTTGTTATTTGAAGAATTATAATTGGATTTTTTGGTATTTCATTTCAAAAAATGACTTTCTATTATATCATTAGAAAGGAATGGTTATGCTGAATAGTACAGGCAAGAAAAAGTTGTATGTTCCTATTTAAGTTATGGACCTACAGAATATTGTTTTTTTCCCAATTTTTCCAATATTTTTTTTGGCGGCTTTTTATAACGCCGACGAATGAAAATGAAATATCACAGTAGTAGCAACTGTTATCAAGTGACGTATGGTTTCCATAGCCAACTTTTCAATTTTTGGCTTTCATTTTGATTCCACGGCCTACTCGGTGAATTTCAATAATATTTTTTTTCTGATCTAGTTTCTGGTTAGATACCAACTTGTGATATGTCATTAGAAAGGGAATTGAATGCTGAATGAAGCGAAAAGAAAAAAAATAGGGTTTCCATTCAAAATAAGAAAGTTGATGTTACTTCCGGCCAGACCGGAAGTTAACTTCGACATGTCAATATGCTCAAATTCTAGCTCTTATGTCATTATATCGACGCTCCAAATTTCACAAACCTACTTCATACGATAACTGAAATATTCCGTAGGCAATACTTCCGTAGCCACCCGGTATAGTGATACCGGATGAATATAAAAATTCTCATCAAATCCATGCATTCAGAATCAAGATGTTGTTATTGCAAATTCTTATTCAAATTTCTTATATTCATTTTTACTGAAAAAATATAGCAATACTAATGATTTTTCGTGAGAAACATTTGAGAATTTTATATTTATATCGCTTTCAAAGATTGCTTTTAGGGATTAACTGGTTTATTTTCACTTTTTGAATATTTTTACTATCGAGGTTTATGTACCTATATTTTCTGTGATTCTTTCTCACAATGTTGATAATTATATTTGAAATTATTGTATGTGTATTTCTGTGTTAATAAAGATTATTATTATTATAAAAGGATGGTTTTGTTAGTGTAAATAATAAAGGCTGTGATTGTGTCTTTGAATATAGGCGACACCTACAATCAGTGAACCGGCTGCAGCCACCACAGCTCAATGTGAAACTCAAGAGACTGAGGAATATAGTCAAGAAGACATTGTCGACACTGGCATCACTGCCATAGCCTTGTATGATTATCAAGCTGCTGCAGATGATGAAATATCCTTTGATCCTGATAATGTGATAACACATATAGATAAGGTGAGAGCACCATATTGTTTTTTTTTGTATCTTACCTAGTTGTAGACTATACCCATATATCTACGACTCTATATATGGCGCATCGCCTCTACGATATTCCAACAAAAATGGGATCAAAATGAAAGGTACTTTTTGAATCTATAAGAACGGAAAGTGAAGGATGGAAACTGCTGACGTGAGGATCAGATTTTAAGTTAGGTTAGGTTCGTAAATAATTATTCGTTCATAATAAAATATTAAAAATCGTCAATTGTTGATAATACTACAGAATAATACCGTCAACTTCAATTTATTTTGTAAAAAGTGCTGACTACATATGAGATTGGGGGAATAAGTTATCCCCAATGATTAAAGCCATAAGTTCCTTCGTTCAGGGTTCTTTGGGAGTCTAATAATAATAATAATAATAATAATAATATCACTTGAGGCACTCGTACGGAATAGACGAGACCCCAGTGCTGCCCTATGCTCCGGGGGATATTGAGTCCGTTGTGGAGAATGAGAGGTGCCGAATTTATTGGAACTTCTCATTCCCCACCCTCAGGCAAATACAAGCTAACAAGCCTGGTCTAGTCCTCCTCGACCATCAAACTAAAGCGATGTTCGTGATCGAGTTTTCGGCGCCAACCGAACCGAACATCGTTTTGAAGGAGGAGGAGAAACGGACTAAATATCGAGATCTTCTCTTCGAACTCCGCCGGCTCTATCCAGACCATTCTGTGGAATTGGTCATCCTGATAATCGGCTCCCTAGGAGGCACACGACACACACGCTGCTCTCGGAGATCCAGAAAATCCCAGCGTGCCGTGATAAGGCACACATCCTGGCTGGTGGAATGCAGAAGGCCGTCATACTAGGATCATTGCGTCTACTCAGGGCACACGGTACTTGGTCCCAGTGATTACTCACCTCACAGGCTGTGAGGAGTAGTCACTGGATTTTATCCAGCACAACTCTGCGTGACGTCGGAGGCCGCAGGGTCGTGACTGGAATTACATAAATTCAAATCATAATAATAATAATAATATCACTTGAGGCACTCGTACGGAATAGACGAGACCCCAGTGCTGCCCTATGCTCCGGGGGATATTGAGTCCGTTGTGGAGAATGAGAGGTGCCGAATTTATTGGAACTTCTCATTCCCCACCCTCAGGCAAATACAAGCTAACAAGCCTGATGTAGTCCTCCTCGACCATCAAACCAAAGCGATGTTCGTGATCGAGTTCTCTGCGCCAGCCGAACCGAACATCGTTTTGAAGGAGGAGGAGAAACGGACTAAATATCGAGATCTTCTCTTCGAACTCTGCCGGCTCTATCCAGACCATTCTGTGGAATTGGTCATCCTGATAATCAACTCCCTAGGAGGCACACGACACACACGCTGCTCTCGGAGATCCAGAAAATCCCAGCGTGCCGTGATAAGGCACACATCCTGGCTGGTGGAATGCAGAAGGCCGTCATACTAGGATCATTGCGTCTACTCAGGGCACACGGTACTTGGTCCCAGTGATTACTCACCTCACAGGCTGTGAGGAGTAGTCACTGGATTTTATCCAGCACAACTCTGCGTGACGTCGGAGGCCGCAGGGTCGTGACTGGAATTACATAAATTCAAATCATAATAATAATAATATCACTTGAGGCACTCGTACGGAATAGACGAGACCCCAGTGCTGCCCTATGCTCCGGGGGATATTGAGTCCGTTGTGGAGAATGAGAGGTGCCGAATTTATTGGAACTTCTCATTCCCCACCCTCAGGCAAATACAAGCTAACAAGCCTGATGTAGTCCTCCTCGACCATCAAACCAAAGCGATGTTCGTGATCGAGTTCTCTGCGCCAGCCGAACCGAACATCGTTTTGAAGGAGGAGGAGAAACGGACTAAATATCGAGATCTTCTCTTCGAACTCTGCCGGCTCTATCCAGACCATTCTGTGGAATTGGTCATCCTGATAATCAACTCCCTAGGAGGCACACGACACACACGCTGCTCTCGGAGATCCAGAAAATCCCAGCGTGCCGTGATAAGGCACACATCCTGGCTGGTGGAATGCAGAAGGCCGTCATACTAGGATCATTGCGTCTACTCAGGGCACACGGTACTTGGTCCCAGTGATTACTCACCTCACAGGCTGTGAGGAGTAGTCACTGGATTTTATCCAGCACAACTCTGCGTGACGTCGGAGGCCGCAGGGTCGTGACTGGAATTACATAAATTCAAATCATAATAATAATAATATCACTTGAGGCACTCGTACGGAATAGACGAGACCCCAGTGCTGCCCTATGCTCCGGGGGATATTGAGTCCGTTGTGGAGAATGAGAGGTGCCGAATTTATTGGAACTTCTCATTCCCCACCCTCAGGCAAATACAAGCTAACAAGCCTGATGTAGTCCTCCTCGACCATCAAACCAAAGCGATGTTCGTGATCGAGTTCTCTGCGCCAGCCGAACCGAACATCGTTTTGAAGGAGGAGGAGAAACGGACTAAATATCGAGATCTTCTCTTCGAACTCTGCCGGCTCTATCCAGACCATTCTGTGGAATTGGTCATCCTGATAATCAACTCCCTAGGAGGCACACGACACACACGCTGCTCTCGGAGATCCAGAAAATCCCAGCGTGCCGTGATAAGGCACACATCCTGGCTGGTGGAATGCAGAAGGCCGTCATACTAGGATCATTGCGTCTACTCAGGGCACACGGTACTTGGTCCCAGTGATTACTCACCTCACAGGCTGTGAGGAGTAGTCACTGGATTTTATCCAGCACAACTCTGCGTGACGTCGGAGGCCGCAGGGTCGTGACTGGAATTACATAAATTCAAATCATAATAATAATAATATCACTTGAGGCACTCGTACGGAATAGACGAGACCCCAGTGCTGCCCTATGCTCCGGGGGATATTGAGTCCGTTGTGGAGAATGAGAGGTGCCGAATTTATTGGAACTTCTCATTCCCCACCCTCAGGCAAATACAAGCTAACAAGCCTGATGTAGTCCTCCTCGACCATCAAACCAAAGCGATGTTCGTGATCGAGTTCTCTGCGCCAGCCGAACCGAACATCGTTTTGAAGGAGGAGGAGAAACGGACTAAATATCGAGATCTTCTCTTCGAACTCTGCCGGCTCTATCCAGACCATTCTGTGGAATTGGTCATCCTGATAATCAACTCCCTAGGAGGCACACGACACACACGCTGCTCTCGGAGATCCAGAAAATCCCAGCGTGCCGTGATAAGGCACACATCCTGGCTGGTGGAATGCAGAAGGCCGTCATACTAGGATCATTGCGTCTACTCAGGGCACACGGTACTTGGTCCCAGTGATTATTCACCTCACAGGCTGTGAGGAGTAGTCACTGGATTTTATCCAGCACGACTCTGCGTGACGTCGGAGGCCACAGGGTCGTGACTGGAATCATATAAACTCAAATGATAATAATAATCATTTATTATTTACCATTAACAAAAAAATAAGATTCCTATGTGTTTAGGTCTAAAAACTAATACAATAATAATAATATGGTAAATAAATGCTGTAATGTTAGGCCAAAGGTCGATTCTTCCACGCTACCATTAACGAGAAAATTTGAAATTTCAAACTTATGAAAAGAGGATTCCTATCAATTCTTTTCTCCGCAAATACTGCATTTCGTTTCACTAGACATAAAACCAATTTGAAAATTTGAAATTCGTAGCCATATTGGCTTGATGTAGTGATGAAGTATCGTATTATTTTTTCCCTACGTCGGCATCAACGCCTATTGGTCGATTTCGTTACCTATAGAGATAGAAGTTGGTCCCGCTTCGAGGACAGCTATGCTTCATTTATAGAGTAGTAGATATATGGCTGTACCCATAGTACTATCAAAAGTATGTGCATTAAAGAGAGAACGGGTGGTTGATGACAAGGATGGATTGGTTCAAGGCAGTAAATTTACAATTGAGATCAAAAGGAATATTTCGTTGACTCTCACTGCAATTTTCATTCTGAATAATATCCATCATTGATGGGTGTAGAATATTTTCTTTATTTTTCACTTGTCCATTACTGTTTTATAAATCCTTGGCAACGGTTGCTATTAACAGAGGGCATTAGGAATCATAACGCCCGCTTATTGTTTTTCATGTAGTTCATAAAATTACATATCAATTCTTGAAAGTACGCCAATAACACGGTCTCATCTATGGCATTCATTCCTATTTTCGGTAAATCTGCACTTTAATGTGATGGGTTTTTTATTTGAAACAGCTTACTTGATATTTAGCCGTCATTGTTTGGACATTTTTTGTAAATGGAATTTTGCGATCATATTGCCAGTCCCTATAACCCCATAAGTTTTGTCGGTTTTATCTACGGACACCCTGTATAACGCACTTGGTACATAAACAATTATTTCACCACTAGCAATACATTTCAATCCACATCTAATTTTCATTTGTATTTTCCTCTCAGATCGATGAAGGATGGTGGCGAGGACTTTGTAAAGGAAAATACGGATTGTTTCCTGCAAATTATGTACAATGTGATGAATAATTATATTTTAACTTCTAATGAGGTATACGTACTTAATCTATTATGAGTTTATGAGAATTCTTTTCGTGTCTGAAAGTCTCGAAAACCTTTTTTTATTATGTAAATAGGTTTTATATCTAGAAAATGTCTAGTAACAAAAAACTTGTTATTCGTTCCTATACTTATTATTCTTTGATTTGTTTGGCTGGATTTTGTGCACTGATGAATCATTATTTTGCTCAACTATCCATTTACTCTAAGGAAAACCGCATATTCTAAAGAAACTGATTTGTACTCAAAATATAATTTTGAGAAAGTGTCAACCTGTTTTTGAGAACGCTGTTCTCCAGATATTTTTAAATTTTTTCAGGATATTGTACAAAACCATTAATCTTGTTTTTTTTTTAATGACAAGACTAGTCACCAACGATAATGTTTTATATCTGGGATGGTTTATATGTACAGGGTCTTCACATGATATTTTGTACCATTCATTATTCTTTTTTGTTTTTGGTTTTCCGAAATTTCATCTCGTCAGATATTTCTTATGGATGAAAGAATTATTTTCGTATATCTTGTATCTACTTAGTTATTTGACATATCGAAATAGAAGTTGTCATTGTAGAATTTGCAATGACAATTCCTGGGAGTTCTAGTGAAAAATTGTAAGATAGTCAACTGTTCTCCTGTTAACGTTCTTGGAATTTAGAAGAGTTTCTATCATGGAAGACCTATACTGAAATTGTTTTTAATTCGATTATTTGATGGTTCAGAACGGGATTTCAATAATAATAATATGTCGATAATGATATGCCAATCAATTGCATTCTGAAGTTTTTAAATATCAATATTATTTTATATTTAAATGTTGTAATGATAATAATTATACATTTTATACATACATTCCAAGAAAATGCATTTCATTAACCATTTCCACACGAAGATCCAAGAAACTGAATCAAGCAGTTGAAAGAATGACATAATTTGACATAATTATCCATAAGAGGGGTATTATATTTTTTTACATGTCATAATTAGAGGTATTGGTCGACAAATAGCAATACGTATTTCTAGCAAACCATTATTTGTTTCCTTACTGACAGTTCTTCGGAAAATTCAACGTCATCAGTAACTGTCAAAAAATTTCTTCAAATTTGATAAAAATCTAGCAAGTGGAATAATTTTATAATGTGGTCATATCTAGTGAATAACAACTGTAAATCTTTTTCACAAAATCTTCAATATAATTAACAACATTGGTGGAACCAGAATATTGGTAAGTACATAATTTTTTTTATTTTTATATCTTTTGAGAAGTTCAGGCTTGGTGATTAAAATTCTATTTTTCCTGTGAAAAACTTATTTCTGAGGTAATTTTCATGTGTGAAATAATTGCCTCAATCGCCTCCTGTATAAGTTGACATGATTTAAATGAGTGGGTACCTACCTATAGTTAAGTATTATAAATTTTCCCATTGAAAATGCAAAACCATCCAAACAAAACTATAATTTATTTCAGAAAAGCTATTATACCAACCATGCATCATAGCATAGATGAACTACTGATGATGGGGTGCCTTTTTTAATATACAGGGTGTATCTAAATAACACCGAAAAAATTCAAGATACAGGATGTTGAAGTTTGAAGTATCAATTTTTTTTATTTATAACCCCTCTGTATATGGTTTCATGGTGCCAAAATTCAGTATGGTTAGAGACTGAGGGGTTATTGAGTAATCTCGATGGAACTCTTGAAAACAAATTGAAACAAATTTGGAGTCAAATTGAATTTTTATTGTTCCCCCAAAAACTATGCTTGACACTAAAATCATACAAAGGATAAAATGGTTGTTATTTCAATAGTTCAATCTAATAAAAATATGAAACTCAGAAAAACCCGTGGCGTACAGGGTGATTCACCATAAATGTCCCCCCCTCTAGCCCAGTTATTTTTGAACCGATTTTAGAATTTGAGATATCGTCTTGAATGATTTTCGATAAAGTTTTTTTCTGCTAGATCAGAAAATACAGGGTGCTCGGAACAAACGATCTACAGAGTACTACTTGATTTTTTCAAATGGAACACCCTGTATTTCATTGTATTTTTATATTCTCCCTGAAGAGCTGATTTCATCAATATATCACACTTGGGGTCTAGCGGGACTGATTACAGAGATATAGGGTGTTCAAAATCGAGATTTTTAACTTTCGGATTTTTTTTGTGACGAAACTATTCATTATCAGTCACGCGGTTTTCATGTCCGTATCTTAACTTTTTATTTACTATCTACTGACATTCAATAATTGGAACAGATACAGAGGGTGACCAGAATTCTGAATCCTGAACCACCCTGTAAATGTTTCAATTAAATTTCACTAGATAGTTAATCAAAAGTTGGGATGGGATCATAAAAGCCGTTTTGACCAATAATGAATAGTTTCGGCACAAAAAAATCCTAAAGTTGAAAAATATCGATTTTGAACACCCTATATCTCTGTAATCATTCCCGCTAAATCCCAAGTGCGATGCATTGATGAAATCAGCTCTTCAGGAAGAATCTAAAAATACAATAAAATACAGGGTGTTCCATTTAAAAAAATCAATTAGTACTCTAGCTGTAGATCGTTTGTTCCGAGCACCCTGTATTTTCTGATGCAAAGGGAAAAAAATTTCAGAAAAATCATTTAAGATTATCTATCGAATTTTTAAAACGGTTCAAAAATAAGTGAGCTAGAGGGGGGGACATTTATGGTGAATCACCCTGTACAATGACATTCACCATAAATATCATTAAATTTACCCACTGTGACGCCACTGGAAATATCATTTCGAAATAAATTGCACCGAAAGAAGCTCCATATTACCATTAACAAAACCACAACGTTTTTCCGAAATTGATGAAGAGACAATTGAGCAATGAATAAACAATCGATTTTTCATGGAAATATTAATTCCCTGTATCACGAAAACGAAGCAAGTTAGGACACATGTTTGTATGAACTTTATTTCCTAGAATATCACAAGGAATCGCCACTTGAATATTCTCGGTGTTATTTAGATACACCCTGTATATCGGATCGATGATATTGCAAAAACATCTAATCCAAGAATAATAGGTTAATCGTAATCCAATCATTACAAAATCGTCAACAATTTGAATTACTTGCATAAAATGATATGTTTCACCATTGTCGATCTAACTATATAGATAACTAGCTTTTAGCAAGCTAAAAATATATTTGTCACACAGTTACATCATGGCATCTTCCTTGGTTTTAGTATCATGATTATTACTATTTAATATAAAATCTGTCTCTATTCTCTATATTATCAATAATACAACACACCCAATAAGGTATATAGTAATGTGTACTTCAATATCCCATATAGCACTCGACGTCATGGGGACGTCCATTTTAGCTCCGATTTAGGTCTGAACGTCCTGGACCTTTTCAAGATGTACTGAAAACGTCCATTAATACGTACGATTCAACTCCGGACGTTATCGAATATTTGTGGAAGGTATTGAATACATACAGGGTCGCTGATATGTATGGAAACAGGTGAATATCTCGGTAACCTGTTGTTAGATTTTTTGAATTTATGTGCAGTGTGATTTCAAAACGAGGCGGATTTGTAAATTTTATAGCCTCTGTTGCCACTTTTTCAGTTATTCCGGATTTTTAGTAACTTCCTTATTTTGAATGAAACACCCTGTACTTTATTTGATTTTCAGATTCTTCTTGAAGAGCTAATTCCATCGATCTATCACACTTGGCGTCTAGCGGGAATGCATACATAGGTATAGGGTGTTTAAAATCTAGATTTTTCAACTTTAGGATTTTTTTGTGTCGAAACTATTCATTATCGATCAGAACCGCTCCAATGTTCCCATCATTACTTTGATTTACTATCTACTGACATTTAATTGAAAAAAATACAGGGTGATTCAAGATTCAGAATTCTGATCACCCTCTTTATCTGTTCCAATTAAATAGTCAGTAGATAGTAAATCAAAAGTGAAGATAGGAACATTGGAATGGTTTTGATCGATAATGGATAGTTTCTACACAAAAAAGTGTGATAGATCGATGGAATCAGCTCTTCAAGGAGAATATGGAAATCCAATAAAGTACATCAGGGTGTTTCATTCAAAATAAGGAAGTTACAAAAAATCCGGAATAACTGAAAAAGTGGCAACATCAGAGGCTTTAACATTTTCAAATCCGTCACGTTTTGAAATCACACTGTACATAAATTCAAACAAATCTAACAACAGATTGCCGAGATATTCACCTGTTTCCATACATATCAGCGACCCTGTATATTGTATTATATGATAATCGAAATCATTGCATATAATTTATACCGTTAATCTTTTGATATTTATTCATATAGGAACATAATACAATTCTCACAATTCATTTTTTATTGAACTTACCTGATGACAAAACATCTATTATATATTCTCTGCCGCGTGATCATCTTATTCTTTTTTTTTTATTGAAAATACGATTTTTTTCTGTAACGGGAAAAAAGTTTGGCATTTCATCTCTGTTGGCAGGTTATAAAATGTCAATTTTCATAAATTACTTTTTTCCCGTTGGAAAAAAGTGAGTACTTTTTTCCCGGATATATATCACATATATATACACTGTTAATGGCTTTTGTTGTGCTATAGTTCCGAAAAATGAGTCAATAATACCGTCTCCGAGAAAGAACTGCAAGTCCTTTTATCTTCCATTCGACTTCGCGGTTACGTATAATTACTAAACAACCACTAAATTCGCAATTTAATTTTTGAAATCAAATCACAGAATTAGACTGACAGAAGTGACACCAGATATTTGATTACTTCAAAAGAATGAAAAAGATGCCTACAACGCAGGTGTCCCTATACACTCCCTACTGCTAAAAACTTGAAATTTCACGTCGATAATTTTCAGATTTACAAATAATGTAATATCTTTTCAATATTGATTCGTCCTTTCTTCTGTCACAGAAAAAAATAGTGCATTATACACGGGAAAAATATTAGATTTTAGCTCGCGGTTTCTTGTCTCCGCTACGCGTCGGGAGACAACACAACCTGGAGCTAAAATCTACTACTTTTTTCCCATGTATAATATAGTTATTTTTGTATCTAGAGCGCGAAATGCTACTTTGATGATCGAGATCTGATTTTTTTTACGAGGCGTAGCCGAGTTAAAAAAAATCGTCGAGATGACCAAAGTATTTCGCGCTCGAGTTGCAAACAAATTTTTTTCTACAAACGTCAAAAAATATAGTTCTAAAGTAAAAATATGCCTAGCTTGATATGGAAAATAGTGTTGAACTGGCTTAAAAAGCCTCCCACTATCCTTCCTCGGTACGCACGATGTTCCACGAGCATAATAGGGATTTTCTTTCGTGCGATCCAAGAGATAAAACAAAGTTATTGGTGAACATTCAGAAATAAATGATTTTGTGGATGTTTGCTTGATTGGGGACGATAAAGTTGAAATATAAATATCTCATATATTTTACATAACAGTGCGCGAAGTAGGTACTTCGCGCACTGTTTTACTTCGCGCATTGTTATGTGCAAGGTATCATGGTAACGTAGGAAACTGAAAAAAAGTGTCACTTCGCAATTTGTTATCAATTTTTTGACGTTTGTAGAAAAAATAACTATTTCTACTCTGTCTACATCTCTTTTTCTACTATCTGAGTAAATAAAGGCGGATCTACATTGATTCGTATTCATGTACCTAACTAAATGTACGTACTGGGTATGTACAAATGCTCGGAATCTGGACGTCCCCAGTACGTACCTATAGTACGTATATATGGTCCTAATCTGGACGTCCCCAGTACAGTACAAATCAATTGTCTTGGCCGGACGCTCTTAGTACGTTTTGGGGACGTACTGGTGCATATTTCATTGTTGGCATTTTGAAGATATTAAATGTAAGGTAATTAACTATAGATTCCCTATGCAACAAAGTCATTAACACAAATTTATAATCACTTAAAATCCATATATTTCATGATAAGTTGTTCCTTTGGAACCCAACCCACTTGTCTTCGCGTCAATAAAAGTAATATATATCCTGAAAATAATAACAAAATGAGTATTATAGGTACCAATTTTTACTAGTCAATGTATTACCTGTCTGCCCTTATCCCAATTGATTTCGTTAGGTAATCAGTGAATGCCTTAGTATGTTTTTTGTTCTCTTCTACTCCTATAACCCCGATGGCGGCGAGACCAACAAATGTAGCTAGTGCAGCTGGTTCATTATTGCCTCCCCAAGACATTTTGACTCCTCCAGTCACTGAAGCACAGCAAACCTACCAAATATCAAGACAAATTATTACTTCAATCATGTTCTTCCAAAACTTCTGTATTAGTCCAGTACGTGGTGGTTTTTTTGATGCAAAAAGTGGCGATTTTCTAGTATGTTGCTAGGTTTGGGGGCCATCATGAAAAATACAAGGTTTCGACCTCGAGGCGTATGCGCTCAAGCCGCCATCTTGGATTTTAGGTACAAAAATTTGCTTTTTTGATAATAACTCAAAAACGGTGGCTGTCACGACAAAACATGCTGTATACAAAATTGAAGAAGCCAACATTTTGTACATTTTTAGTGATTGAAATTTTTTTGTAGGACACATATGTAAGGCGAGTTGCAGCTCCATGAAATTCTACTATTTGAAAAAAAATGCAGAAACTTCATTTTGATTGAGTTTTATTTCATTATTCTCATTATAGATCATTATATTTTGACAAAATCATGAATAGAGAAACTAAAAGGCACTTTAATATTATCAATTAACAGTATATTTTATACATTTCGTGAACAAAGATATGGCAAAAAATAAAACGAATCAATAAAAAATCTATATGGTTAGATTTTATTAATATAACACGATTGAAATCAAATGAAAAAAGATAATTAGACCTCAACTGCTCAATATATGTCGTCCATTCTGCTGCAAACATTTCCTAGCTCTTTTGATAACGTTCATTGTGAACCCTATGTATCACGTTGCGATCAATTTGTGCACATAAATTTGTGATTTTCTCTTTCATTTCTTCCATATATTCACAATTGGCGACTCATAAGCCTGTGGTTTCAAGTAGCCCCACAAATAAAAATCAAGTGGGGTGAGGTTCTGACGATTGATGCAAACACTAACCAATCAAATTCAAATAAGAAACGACGTTCTTCAAGATGATGCGGCATTTGCTATATTATAGCATGCAACAAACACAAATTGCACTTTTAATTTATCAATATTCACCATCGTTAATGTTTTAGTTATTGTTATTTAAATGTTCCTCGAATAAGTTTCCTATTATATCGATGAAAAAAAATCTATTTAATTATTTTTCAGTGCATAAAAATATCGTGCGGAAAAATTACTTTACCGCACTAGTGCTGAAATAGTATATTGTTTAATGAGCACGGAATGATAGTGATAGTGGAGAGATGGGTTTTTCTGAGCCTAAGCTGATAAAAACCTATTTGCAATCGAAAATGTCTCAATCTAGATTGACAAACTTGGCAACAAAATGAACTTTCTTGACCTGATAAAAGAGTTTGGCAATACAAAGGCTAGATCGAAAAGTGAAATATATTATAGTTATTAGGGGGCGCCGTAGAATTCTTGCCCAGGACGCTGGTAGTGCTTAAACCGGCACTGGGTAATAACTTACATCCAATGGTTTTGCTGAAGATTCTGCCATTACTTCACATAATTTTGCTGGTAGATCGGCGGGTATTTTTTCATCAGGAACATTAGTTTCTAAACAGAAGTACGGCATGACTGTCAACACGTTTTTTTTATCGACTATCGTTGATTGATATATCTTATAATTACTACTGTAATGATAATAATATACTGTGCTATTTCGCTTATATATCAATCAACGCGACTATCAAAGAGTAAACAGTGTAGTTTATCCAATGGCGTAGCAACCTAGGGGCTAGACAGGGGTCCTCAAGCTCAGGGGGCCCTTATCGAATCCTTACCAGAAAATCTCGATCGAACCGAACTTATGAAAATTCAAAAAATCCTCCTATTTTCCAGATAAATACCTATGACAGGTTAGAGGTGAATTCGAGTGAAGATAAGGAAAGTAGAAAAATATTTTAATGAATTAGCTGCTGATGATCACCGATTTCCAAACAGAGAAGAAAATTTCGCATCTCACATTTCATCACCTGTTCTATCGATCTAAAATATTTAGAAATTGCGACGTTGTCGTTTTTATCAAAAAGTCCTAGTAACTTCATTTTTTCAAATAGAACACCCCGTATTTTAATAAATTTTCAGAATCGCCTCTTCATTACAATACTCTCTTTCGTTGATGAATTCCTATACCTATTTCTATCGGTTTTCGAGATAAAAAATAATTTGTGTTAAATATGATCCAAAAAATATCCCAAAATTAAACTTAAATAAATCAGGGCTCTCAATTCATGAAGAGTTGATATTTTAGTAGTAGTTTGGACTGGCTTGATGTATTCAATTTACACCGAGAAATCGCCTCCATATCATACAGGGCGTGCTGAAATTATTATTATATCCGTTGTTCATCCGAGTGGTCAAAAGTTCATTTTTTTAAAAGGAACCAACTGTTTTTGACTCAATGAATTGAAGGACGAAGAAAAATGCTACAAGATGACATAGCATGTGATGCGCCTATACAGGGTGATTCAAAAGTAAGCGGCATCCTTTCAGAGGCGTATTCCTTGCATGAAAATAAGGCAAAAAGTTCCTATTGATAAGGATCCGAAAATGCTTCCTAAGGGAGCTACGGCCCTTTGAATAGGACACCTCAAAGACGGTTTTTTCTCTATAACTTTAAAATCCTTCACAACAAATTTTTAAAAATTGGTGTACGGCATAAACATTCGATGGTAAATAGGACTCCGTATTCGAAATAATTTCCAAACGAAATCACAGTAACCTGAATATCCGGAGAAGAAGGGATATTTTTACACTTACCCTCTCCCGCATGTGACGCCCCTGAATGAAATTCTGAAATTTCGAATACGGAGTCCTATTTACCATCGAATGTTTATGCCGTACACCAATTTTTAAAAATTTGTTGTGAAGGATTTTAAAGTTATAGAGAAAAAACCGTCTTTGAGGTGTCCTATTCAAAGGGCCGTAGCTCCCTTAGGAAGCATTTTCGGATCCTTATCAATAGGAACTTTTTGCCTTATTTTCAAGCAAGGAATACGCCTCTGAAAGGATGCCGCTTACTTTTGAATCACCCTGTATACCTAAATCATCAATAATTTTTCTCAATAAAGCCGCTTTTTGTGAAAAATATAATTGTATAAAGAAGTTATAGTTTTAGATAATCATGGAAATACCGAACTCATGACAGTTCGGTGACAATAATGAGTACTTCAGTAATTCTTATTGACAGTGTTTCGAAAAATCTCCCAGAATGAACGCAAATATCGATTATTCAAACGGAGTTCTTATGAAGTTATTTATTATACACGGACACGTCTAAAAATATATTAATATACGGGGTGTTCAATTTAAAAATATGGGATTGCTAGGACTTTTTGATAGAAACGGCAACGTCGCAATTTCGAAAATATTTTAGATCGGTAGAACAGATGATAAAATGTAAGATGCGAAACTTTCAGAAGAATCCTGCGTTGCGTTCTCTAAAAACGAATGCAGTGCACGAAAAAGTGCTGATAATAAAATAGCTCAGCATATTTGAAGTATTTGTATTATTTAATAGTTTTACTTGATAATCCCTAACTAGGTTAGATAGCAGTGGGGCCTCATTTTTTTATTTGTCCCAGGCACCTTGGTTACCTAGCTACGGCACTGAATTTATCAATGACTATCAACTTTTGCCTTTTCTGTTTTGTTGAGTCATGTTATTAAGCAGAATCTCAAGATCATAAGATCTACGACTAAAACTGCGGTTAAACCAAAACCACTTCATAGACTGAACTATAAAAGTATAAAATCATTGAAATATGATTGAAATCAATCCAATTCAAATTTAAATTTTCCTTCTTCCTGCTTCTCTGATTCTGTTATTGTCCTCTTCCTGAGGGCTGAAGCTGCACGTGATACGTGAATGCGTCTGATCCTGTATTGTATACTTGAAGAGTCTGTAGACGAAAAGGCTTTATCGACATGTCAAAAAATATATAGGGTGTTCAATTAAAAAAATCAGAGTGTCCTCTCCGAAAAAACGAATGACCCTGTATGTAAAACAACTACATAAAATAAAAGTTAGGGCCGTTTCATATAACTTCTTCTTTTGGGATTTTTTCATATCACTCAAAACGAAAGAGTTAAGAGGGTGTTCAATTTTTAGGGGCCCACCCTGTACTTAATTAAATCAATTAGAATAATCCTGAAATTTCAAGGCTTCTCCAATCACCAACCAGGCTAGATTTTGCCACTATGAATGCTTCTATTAATCCAAGCAAACGGTATCAAAATACCTCCTAACAATGAATCCTAAAATACACTCTCCTTGCAAAAATCCGGTAGTAGGGGTGGGCGACAAGTGATTTTGGATTATCGATATTACCAATTTATCGATATTATCGGTTTATCGATATTATCAAAATTGTCGATATTATCGAAGTTATCGAATTTGTTGATATTACCGATAAATCGATATTTTTTTATGAATTATTGATATTGTCGATATTTTTTGCATTAGAAATCCATGCATTAGGTATCTGAAAAGGAACATTGGGCGTGCTATGGGTAGAAAGCGAACTATACAGGGTGTTACGACATTCGACCGCGCTTTGACATCAGGCGATAGTCCCCGTGAATTCGTGGATGATTTCTCGGGTTCATCTTTGAATGGGTCATTTTTGTGACCAGGAAGCCATTCCGGACATTTTATTCATGAGTCATCAGTGTTGCCCTACAGGGTGGTTTGGCAACTTTTCCTGCCATATTTTCTACGCCACTGATTAAATCTCAATTATTTCCAAAACCTCGAATTCATTGTTCAATTTTGTTCAAAAAATGCATCACCTTCCAACTCAGCTGAAATGAACAGTTTTCGAGATATTCGACCCAAAATAGAAGATTTTGCATAGTAATATTTACGAGTTCAAAATTTTCAGTAGTAGAAAATTGCAAACATATTTTTCTGGTGTTGATGAGTAGATCATATACTATATTCAGATCTCATTCTGTAGCTGAACAGAAATAGTTATTCCACGCCTAAGGGGAAAACAAACATTTTTGTAATCTACTACTGATGAAGAAGATGAAAAATTACTATATGTAAACTTCTATTTCGGGTCAAATATCTCGATAACTGTTCATTTTAGTTCAGTTGAAGGTAATGCACTTTTTCAACATAATTGAACAATCAATTCGAGAAATTGGAGATAATCGTAATTTCATCAGTGGCGTAGAAAATATAGCAGGAAAAGTTGCCACACCCCCCTACAGGGCACCACTGGATAAAATGTCCGGAATGGCTTCCTGTTCAAAAAATGACCCATTCAAAGATGAAACCATATACCGAAGTTGAATGCATCACATTCAATTTTTCTTGAGATATTGCGAAACAACTATTTTTATTTCTTAACTTTAACGCCCTGTATCTTGAAAACTGAACACTCGAAGACCGTATGTCCCTATCTCAGTGATTATGAAATCACGAGGGCTATCATCACCTGTCAAGCGTTGTCGGTCGAATTTCGCAACACCCTGTAATACTGCATTCCAAATAAGAAGATAGTAGATGACGCTTCTTCTGAAGGGATGTTTACACTGACATAATAAATATATGTCGCCTTATACAAAATAATTAATGGTAAAATTTTAATGTACGCAAAATAATCGAAATTTCATTATGTGGTAATCTTTCCATAAAGAAAACTTCAACCGTTACGCCACGTCATAATATATAAGTCATAATATTTGGCAAATGTAGGCAAATGTAATATTGCCTCCAATATGAACCAATGAAAGCGAAGGTCAACGCTTTCCTATGACTTCCAATGCTGTCTTCTTGGTTTGAATGGACTATAGGAGCGGGCCGATTACACGGATATTTCGAAAATTAATGAAAATCATCGAAAATGTTATCGATATTATCGATTTTATCGATAATTATCGATATAAATTATCCATAAATTTGCCCACCCCTATCCAGTAGTATTTGTTTAGTTTTCGAGTTTCGAGATACATCAGAGGATGTTCAAGTCGGGAGTATTAATTGTTTTTTCTATAATTCCCCCGTATATAATAGAGGCAATCGGTAGTTTAACGTTGCGAAAAATCCAGAAGTCGGTTCCCAGCAAGCACAAAAACATCTTTGAGATGTTAAAAGTACGAAATGTCTAGTAGGGTTATAGCATGTTTGTTTAATCTATGGTTATAGTTCAGTGGATGTCTATAGACATTGAACCTCCACTGCGATGTCACAGCCAATGCCCGCCGCAGGCGGCATTTTCGAATATATCCTTGGGATGTCACAAAAATTCATTCAGATTGGGAGCGATGCTGGTAGATCAAATGGATGACTCATAATTTGCCGAGTAATTTGCAAAGAAACGAAAATAAGGCAATTTAATTCTGGTTTTATTTCACCTGAACCCTTTACATGACTTGAAAACTTCGCGATTCTTACGTGAATTCATTCCACGACTTATGTTTTTCATATTATGTAAGATTATCTGATGATTTAGATAACCGTCGCCCCTTCCAGATCCGCTCCTTCTCGGCATCTTCTCAGCATGTTTGTTGCATTCATTAATTCAACTTTACTAAGAATCAACAATTCAATTAAGTTTTGAATTGACTCGGCCGTTACTTGATGGAAATCCATGGCAAATGTAAAAACTTCACAAACGATAAGATTTCAACAAAATTCTCAAACACACGACATGTTCCGCTAACACAGTAGCTTCGTTAGGTGATATACTGGTACAATGGTCGTATGCTGCAATGCCAATGCCTGCAATACGAAAAAAGTCTTTGAAACGCTTATCCATGCATAATATATGGCACTCATGGACGTTCCGCCCCTGGTAACCATGGATACCGGAATGCGCTATCTATCGGTAGTATGAAATAAGCTTGCGAATAGAATTCTTTACGTTCGCTCGCTGGCTTTTCACTTAGTACATCCACTAGTCGCCAGATGCTTCATCGTGCCAAAATATCTCGATATTCCTTTCATACTCATTCTTTCATTTGACTTAGATCAAGTAACACAAGCAGTAGCGAGACAGCCATGTTGGGCAGTGACGGTAAAGGAAGTGCTTTTTATCCGTAAATATACTGAAAGAATAGTGACAATAAGTGGTGTGTGTCCTAGGGTGATCACATTTATTTGGATTATGACTTCGATATCAGAAAATATGAACTGGGGAACAGAGCTCTGGGTGAGTACCTATCCACTGAAACGATTTTTGATCTCGCTCACATCTATTCTGAAAAGGATGTCCTCTGTTTCCAGTGCAAGATATAATATAGGATTTTTTATTGTATCATTTACCTGCGTATCTATTTAGATAACAATGCGTGACGATAGATAATTACAAAACGAACATTTTCAATGCACATCATTTTGATGAAAGTTTAGGATTCATCCGAGGGGTGTCTCACTCTGACAATCTGGTGTACACTTTCTTTCCAATCCGCTTCGAATCTAGGAAATCTCACCAATCCAAGCTTCAATCTTGGAAATCCACAAATATCTCTTCGAATCCCTAAATGTTTCTTCAAATCTGACAATCCGCGAAAATAATGTGTCAATCTTTGGAAATCACAGCTCGATTCTTGAGATAAATCTCTTATCGAATCTCTCAATCTTTCTTCGAATACTACCAATCCCGAAAATATCGTGACAATCTCTCAATCCCAAGCAAGAATCTCTCAATCCCAAGCAAGAATCTCTCAATCCCACGCGCAAATCTCTCAATCCAACATCTTCCCTAATTAGATTTTTTTTAACTTTTGGAGATTATATAGGGTGTCCCATTGGGAAACGGAAAAACTTCAACGGTGGGTAGAGGTCGTCAAGGTGGTTCTGAATATACCATATTTGTAGGGTCTAACAAGTTTTATATCCGAGATATAGGGTGTTTTATCAATTTTGCCCAATTCTTTGTGAGGACATAACTTACGAACCACTTAGTATATTCTTCCGCAATTCGGTACACAATTCCTTCTTTTTTTACCAAAGCGACTCACCTATCAGTCACGAAAAAATTCCAGGTCCGAATTAACGAAAATTGATTATATTTCTGGGCCCCAAAAAGAACACCCTGTATTTTCGAATTTCCATTTTATGCTTACATATTTGAAAGTTGCACAAAAAGCTGAATCGGATTGTCTACTTTTCATTTTCATACGAATGCTATTTCACTACTGAATTTCTAATTTTGAATTTGAGGTTTTATGCATTTGGATAGGTAGAAATCGAGGTGAAATGGAAAGTTTTGAGTTTTCAGAATCAGAAATTAATAAGTGAAAGAGCATGCTGGATATTGAAAAGTACACGATTCGAGTCATCTGTTTGTGAACTTTCCAAATATGGATTCGGATTTTGGAAAATCGAAAATACTGGATGTTCTTTTTCGGGCCTAGAAGATCATAATTCTTCGTTAATCCGGACCTGGATTTTCATTGTGACTGATAGGTGAGTCGCTGGGGTACAAGATGGAGGACTTTTGTACCAAATTCCAGAAGAATATACTGGGTGATTCTTGATGGTTTTTGTTATTCGATTGAGAAAACTCAAAACATATCATTTTTACCTATCTAAATGCATGAAACCTCATATTCAAAATCAGATATTACCTAGTGAAATAGCATGCGGAAAAATGGAAAGTACATCATACGATTCAGATTTTCATGCACTTTCCAAATATGTGAGCGGATTTTGGAAATTCGAAAATACAGGGTGATATTTTTGGGGTCCAGATATATGATCAATTTTCGTTGATCCGGTCCTGATGGGTTTTTCTCGTGACTGATAGGTGAGTCGCTTTGATAGAAGAAGTCGAAATTGTGTACCAAATTCCAAATGAATATACTGGGTGGTTCGTGAGTTATGTCCTTACAAAGAATTGAACAAAATTAATAAAACACCCTATATCTCGAATATAAAACTTGCGAGACTCTACAAATATGGTATATTCAGAAACACCATGATGAGCTCGACCCACTGTTGAAGTTTGTCCGTTTCCCAATGGGACACCCTGTATAAGTTCTTGAGAATATTTCCTTTCGCAAAGAATCCCAAAGCTTTGCCGTTTTATTAGATAATGTAAAAACGTCACAATGTTCATTGTACCAGTATATCACCTGACGAAGCTACTGTGTTAGCGAAACATGTCGTGTGTTTAATAAATTTTGTGGAAATCTTATCGTTTGTGAAGTTTTTACATTTATCATGGATTTCCATCAAGTAACGGCCGAGTCAATTAAAAAAAAAAAATACAATGAATAAGTCATTGTGTAGGTCTCTTATTTCGATGGACCTATAGAGATTTTCCACACTATCTGGAGACCCGAAGAGCGATTGCTTATTTAAATGGAAATGTCACGAGATTAAATTTTTTTCAAATCTGACCTCGGACCTCGACCAGTTGGAGTCAGTGGCAGCGAGGCAACGAGGATTCGCTTTCATTTTGTCAGGGAGGTATACTTTCTGCAGGTTATTAGCATTTCTCTTTTCTGAAACTTTTGCTTCTCATAACAGTGTATTTTATTCTTGAAAGAACATAATGATTGTCAACCATTATGACCAGAAAATTTTTTTCTGATCTTGAAAACTGAAATGTTGAAAAAATCCGTTCAATTTTGATGAACCTTGCAAAACTTTCGACAGTCTCATGTATACTGAAAATCTCCAGAAATCTCTCAATCCTTGATAAATCTCGTAAATCCTTGAGGAATCCCTAGGAATCCGAGAAATCTTGAAAATCTCGAAGATTTTTGGGAAATCCCAGGAATCTTGATGAATATTCAGGAATCTCTCAATCTTTGATGAATCCAATAAATACTAAGAAAATCCCTAGAAATCTGGAGAAATCTTGGAAATCTTGCAAATCTTGAGGGATTGCTACAAATCTAATCAATATTGCTTCGAATCTCACAATATCCAATATGGTGTACACATTTTGTTGAAGTGAGACACCCCTCGGATTCATCTTTCTTGGACCAAAACAACGGTCAGTTCAAACAAGAACCAGACCTGCTCGTTTAGGTGAAAGAGCGGTCAGGTACTACCTAGTTTCAGCCAAAATGCCCTCAGGTGCTGTTCAGTTGTCACATTATCATAAATATGTGCAAGACGTTGAAATCTGTGCTGTTTTCTAAATAAATAATAATAGGTATTGTAAACCGTTAAAAAAACAGTGAGCGAAGAATTTGAGTGGAAATGAATAAAGATGGATAATTGATAACAGATTTCTCTAGACGTTATTCTGGTCCTTATTGTCGAATGCTGGTCATATGATTTCCAGACGAGTTTCCACATATTATTCCGACGTGTTTACTATGATGACTAGGTGAAACAAATACAGATCAGTGATCTACCTAATATAATGATTATTACGGATTATTATTACCTCTCAAATACCTATTAAGGTATAATCCGAGTAAGAATCCAAGGTATAATCTATAATCTAAATTCTTAAGCAAAATAAATGTCTGATAATTAGGTAGGTATATCATCTGAAATTACTGAGAAAATTGCCAATACTCATGCTATTTATTTACCTATAATAAATATCTACCTACATGTTAGGGGTGGCATGCGCTCTTCTAGTGTCTAGAGGGCGAGTTTGGAAAGTGAAATAATCATGATTGTTTTGTATGACTCATCATAGTAGTCAGCCCGAAATATACCTACCTACCTTCCAATGATGTTTTTGTTTCACCGAGCCTGTCACCGAGATAATTCATTCTAATTTACTGGCTTACCAGATATTATACCTACCAATCCATCCCTGCTTATACCTACCTCTCGTGATACCCTTACAATATTTTAGTGTACAGAGTGTCCCAGAATAACGTTTGTGTAGGTACCCTGAATGGTAATTCTACAGATAAAATGAGGAAATACCCGGAAATACCTTTATACCTACCTGTTCCTCGAATGTGCCTACACACATTCTAACAACCATTAAAATCACGGATAAGTTTGGTATAGGTACCTAGGGTAATCTGATCTTACAAATCGTTTCCTGGCAAGGAAAAATAATATTAATATACAGGGCGACACGCAGAAGGTGCGAAACTCGTAACCACTGCTATAAGAATTGCCCAATTTTTTTTCACGATTTGGGTACCTATCCCATTTTTAGTACCCAGGTACCTATACCAGAATCATAATAAAATGCTCTTGTTAGACTGCCGTCAAATGAACCGTTTATTGGAGAACAGTGTCATAGGTAGGTATTTCATGTTCCAAAATATTAAGTACCATTCGAGGTACCATTAGAGGTATAAGGTATAACATTCATAGAGAAATACACCCATCCACGTGTATTTTGAAAAATGTATGATTTTTTCTCGGATTTGTTATGTAAAAATGCGTATATATCCAAATAGAGGTTCTCTGGGGTTGAAAAGTTGAAAAGTCCCGGAAAAGTTATGATTTTTTTCTCGGGATGTTTTTCATAAATATCCAAAAAGGAGTTCTATGGAGTTTTAGGGTTAATTCTTGCCCAACAAAATATTGTGAGATATGAAGATTATAAATATGTAGGTACCATCAGAGAAATACATTCATAGAAAAAACCGGAAGAAACCTTCCTCCATGTGTATTTTGAAAAAGTTATTATTACTGCTGAGTTTGCTCGAAGCAAGCAAAGCCTCAGTTTATTTTGAAACTATGCAGCAAATAATTCCAAAATGGGATAGTTATTGACCTCACAATCAATACTCGAAACAATACTAACCCTTTGCCATGAGTAAATATGCTTTTGATAAAAATGCATAATGTATACCTAGTGAATAACATGGGTATTTCGACAAATCATATGTTGTTTTTTTGAAACGATGAGCAAAACATTCGATAATATGGTAATGAATTAGCCTATCAATACCGATATATTAAATCAGTGAAAAATATACTCTTTTCAATCATTTGATATGCTGATGAGTTCCCCAGTAGCTATAGCAAAGCCACAGGTTTCTTTTGAAAAATATGCAGCAAACAATTCCAACATGGGATAGTACTTGGGCCTATAGTCCTAAAAAAATCTGCTTTCTATAGACTGAACTCATAATACCTGGTAAATATCGCGAATATCCACAAATACTGTCTGTAGGTTAATCGAGGAGGTGGTATATTCATTTTACTTGATTTTTTGGAATTTTCTCTCCTAGTTTCTATAAAATGAAAATATTCTTATTATTTCAATATAAA